TACAACAATTGCACAGCAAAGGGTCCAGCTTTTCCTTCTACTCACTGGTTTCTTCAGTTACTGCACCTTGTGGCTACTCTGGTCCAAAGAGGTTTCTTTTAGCAAAGATACTAACCAAAATGCAAGATCACAAAACGTGAGCCAGGGAGCGAGGAATGCCTTCCATACACAGCAAGATGAAATATTCTTTTCTGCTTTTAAAAAAAAGAGAGCTAAGGTTAAATAAGTTGAGAGAAATGTAAAACTAGTAAAACTAGTAACTTGAAAAAATAACAAAGAGGAAGCACATATTTGATAATGCTGGAGGACAACCAATGAAGTGGATGTAAAATGACAAGTTTTAAAGCTTTCCCCCCAGAGTACTGATAATCGGAACTTACTGATATAGAACTGGAAATGGTTAAGACTATAACTGGGTTAAACCAACTATCAGCAGAGATACTAACAGCTCTTAAGAAAATAATAATAATTATGTTGGAACAGGCCAAAGGCCTGTCTTAGTCCAGCATTCTGTTCTCACAGTGGTCTATTGACTAAGACCTGTTCTTACTGAGGTGGTAACCTCATTCTGGGCTGTACCACTTCAGATTGCAGGTGGGGACTCTTCCAATTATTAAGTTCTCTTTCACAAATGTGCCCCCTGAAAACAAAAAAAGGTGTTAGGTAAAAAGGTTTTAGACTATCCATCTCGACATGCTTGTTTTCTATATAGAAGGAAGAACCACACAAATTTATGAGCTCCAAGCTGCAGATATAATAGCCCAAATACAGGGTTTGAGTTTTGTTTTTTAAAGTAAACATGAGTTTGCCACTTTAGTGAAAAAATAGGTAATGCAAGTATATATTATTTTGTTGAGGAATGGACTTACTGATGTGAACTGGGAGTGGCTGAAAGGAAATGTCTTATTAGTGACCTTTGCTATACCAGTTGTTTTGGATCAGAATCTTACCTATTTCTGTTTTTTATGTATTGTTCGTATTTCACAAACCCTCTCTGTGAGCAGTAAATATAGTATGTGGAGAGTTTGTCCTTATTTTTAGTGAAAGCGGAAATTGTGTGTCCAAACAAATTTCCTTCTGCCTTCAGTTTCAGAAATATGTGTTGTGGGGAGGGGAAAGGAGGGGAGAATTCAGAGGCAGTAAAAAGCAATAACAAGTAAGCTATCCAAACCTAATAAGGAAATGTTGCTTTTTGGAATAAAAATATAATGCATAATTATATTTTGTGTGTCATACCCTGCCTGAAAAGTTGGAATTGTCTTATGCATTAAAGCTTTCTTTAGCCCAATGACACCACTCATCTATCTGTCCCAGGGATGAAGAACTGGTGGCCCTTCAGATGTTTTTGCACATTGGCCATTCCAACTGGAACGGATGGGAGTTCAAAGTCCAGCAGCATTTCTCTCTCCATCTCTGATCTAGTCGAATCCTGTCTGCTCCAGCCTTTCCCAATCTGGTGCCTTCCAAACCATGTTGGCCTCCAATTCCCACCAGCCCCAATTAGCTTGGCTAATGCTCAAGGATGATAGTTGTTGTCCAAAACATGTGGAGAGTGCCAGGTTGGGGAAGACTTTTCTACAACAAATCTCTGGGCTCTCCAGCAGAGGTTTCCTCCCAGCACTTAGCACCATAAGTCCTTTTAGCTGGAAGCAATTTGGGATCTGAACCTGGGGATTTCTGTATCCAAAGAATAGGCACTACCACTGAGCTGTGTATCCAACACCACAATCCAATAGCCAATTCAGCATGCGGGTTTCCAGTTCCTGTGGAGAGCTTTGAATCCATGTGAGGTAGCCATCTAATTTTTCACTGCATGACCTGTTGTGGGTTGTTTCTCATGTATAGCTCAGTTGGTAGAGTATGAGACAGGGTGAAAGATTCTTGCATTGCAGGGGGTTGGACTAGATGACCCTTGTGGACCCCTCCAGCTCTACAATTCTATGATCCATGTAACTTTCCTCTAAGCAGGTTTTGAAAGCGCATATGGGAAGTGGCCAGAAAATGACTAAATGATAAGTTTTTGTCAAAGCAGGGCGTAAATGTGTTTTCCAGTTCACATAAGAAAATAATTCATGGTACACCTACAGAATGTTCCTATTATTTTATTCTCCTTGAGAGTATTCCCTAGTCTGTCTGTTTGTTTGTTTGTTTGTTTGTTTGTTTGTTTTGCATCAGGTTTATCATACACTTGATTTAAAATGAGCTCCCATACACTTGTCTCATCCACATGAATGGCATTCACAAATTACATATTCCAGACTGAGGATACGGTTTTATACACACTTACCAGGGAATAAGCCCTGTTGAAGGCAGTAGGCTGTACTTCTGAGAAAGCATGCATAAGATTGCACTGCAAAGGGTATTCTTGTTGGCACTTGCATACCTCCCCACAAAAAACATAGGTTACCAAAATCGGGATACTAACATCTTCGCTATTGCTTTGGTTCCCATGCAACTTGGTTTTTTAAATATTTTATTTCAAAGTAAAAGTTACTTTGCTGTTTTGCATCACTGTTTAGTGATGGTTACCTGTTTGAATTCAAATAAGGCTCTTAATATCCAATTGCCGTTCTGGGTGGCAATCTTGGAAGTTGAAGATGTTGGTCTTGCATAGTTCCACACTGCACCCTACAGGACACAAGAGCAAAGTACAAAAACATGTTACTATTCTTTTCTCTTATAGGAGCAGGCTGTTCTGTTTCATCCTGGACTTGATTCCATGGACTTCTGTGGGAATGTTGTTGATATACTTAACTTTCTCCTGCTGAAATAGCGTTAAATTAGGTACCCCTGCCCGTATGGGCCAGTCTTGACAGACTCTAGGGTTGTATGCTCATCTCACTCTATAGGCTGGGAGCCAGCGTTGTCCGCAGACACTTCCGGGTCACGTGGCCAGCGTGATGAAGCTGCTCTGGCGAGCCGGCACCAGAGCAGCACACGGAAACGCTGTTTACCTTCCTGCTATAAAGCGGTACCTATCTATCTACTTGCACTTAAGGGTGCTTTCGAACTGCTAGGTGGGCAGGAGCTGGGACCGAACGACGGGAGCTCACCCCGCCGCGGGGATTCAAACCGCCGACCATACGATCGGCAAGTCCTAGGCGCTGAGGTTTTACCCACAGCGCCACCCACGTCCCACGTTAAATTAGAGGGGTTTATAAGGACTGTGTTGTGTGTGAGGTTTGATTGTTTGTTTTACTATTGAAGAAAGCAGTTTTCTGAACAAGAGACAAAAAAGGCTTGTGGTCAAAATATTTAATGCCAATGTGTAAATACAAGAGCTATTCTCTGTACTGGGTGGCCCAACAACCAGTGGGACCAGACCATGGGGCTCTGGGAACAGAACCACAGGCCCAACACAGTAGCTAGTACCCCCAGTGGCAGCCTAGGGGGGCTAGAGGAGGGAGGCATTCCTACACAATCTGCTGGGAGACCCCAGAAGCATAGGAAGCCCCCAGAAGGACTGAACTTGTGAATTAAGCAACAAGGACTGAGAACTGTGTTTGCTTTACTCAAGAGTAGAAACTCTGTGGAAAACCCAGCTACTACAACAAGAAGAGGGGGTGGGGTTTCTGCTCTTGGAACTGTGAACTGACCTACAAAGAGATTGTGCCTGCAAGTTCAACAATGACTTTGAAATGCTGTGATGTCTTTTGTTTATGTGCATGCTGTGGTTTTGGGATAGTAAATTCTTTGTTTAAATTACTCTGTTCAGGGAGAAAGGCTTGGAGGAATCCAGGAAGCTGGGGGCCGCTTACAAAAGAACTGTTATTGTGTTTTTAAATGTCTTCTTGTGTCTTTGATGTAACTTTCTGCTATCTTTCAAGCACCGTGGAATGCTGGTAGTAACCGTGTTGGACAGCCATGGAAGACTGCCTTTTGCTAAGGAGGGGGTGGTATTATAGAAATAGGGGGATCCCCCTAAACCCTAAAAATTAACAAATGCTAAGATTTTGGGTTCTTTGTGCTATGCAGGGAGACTATAAGCTGCCAAGGGGATTCCTGGGTTGCCTTACTCAAACCAGCCTGGCTGGCCAAGGGAAGAGCAGAGCATTAAAACAGAGAGCCATTGAGGACAACTCCTTGTCCCGAGTGTGACCAGAGACTGGAGATTTGGAGGATAGCCAAGGTAACTGCTCTGGGGGAGGGCAAGGGGCCTCTCGGAAGAAGAAAGAGGGAGAATGGCTGAGATCCATCTTGGCAATGAAGGAAAGACTGCCTGCAATGCTCTGGGCCATGCTGTAAGATCGGGACCCCCTCCATGCAGATGGAAGGTGTAAATAAGTGAATAAACCCTGTTTCCCAAAGCACAACAGCCTCCGTGTGTCTTCTGTTCTTCGAAGGGCCGCAGAGCCTGTAGGTGTGCCTGTGACGCCATGCGCTCTGGCCGCTCCTTGGCAAGTACCAGGCTTTTGCAACAATACATTAAAACCAGTTAGTGGGGTGGGGAGGGGAGGTAATGCCTTAAAAGTATCCGAGTTTGGTGTTCCCAAACTGAGCTGGGTTCTGGTGTTCCGTGACACGTATGTGAAGAACACTTGCAATAACCTGAATTCTGCATTCTGGTAGGTAGCCATGTTGGTCTGACGCAGTTGAAATAAATAAATAAAATTAAAAAATTGTCCAGTAGCACCTTTTTTTTATTTATTTCGACTGAATTCTGCAAAAGTCAAATTGTAATACAATGTAAAAAAAGGAGGAATTAAAATGCAATTAAAATCCATTACACATCTAGCCCAGGGCATTACAATTGCTACAACAGGCAAGAGAAAAACAAATCACCAAGTGGTCCAACCAGACCCTCAGAAATTTCCAACTACGTACTGTATTAACGACGAGGGACATTATGAATTGAGGAGGCCAACGAACTAAGCTTAAATCCCCCTCCCTCCTGCTCCACGTTACTTCCTGCCACGGGCTGCTTTCCGGTTGTCGCAGTCCGGCCTCCCGTCAGTCAGCCTTTCCCGTCGACTTCTTTTCCCTCTCACGCGAGAGGGACTACATTTCCCATCATGCTCTCTTGCGGCGTGACTGCGGGCGCGCAGGTAAAGCGAGGAAGTCGTCTGTTCTGCTGCTGACCGAACAGCAGTTTAGGGGCAGTCGCATTTTTTGTTGCTCTTTATGCAGAATGTGCAGGGAGATGATCTTTGCTTCCTAGAAAGAGAGCGGGGTCTGCACTGCGTTTGCTTTTGATAGGATACAGGGCTTTATAGAAGGCGGACCCGCACCCTCAGAATTGCAATTGTGCAATTCTGCAGATCTGGACAGTCGGGATCTTCTGGATTCTGAAGAATGGTGCAACCGAAGACAATTTTCTTTTTTACTTAGCTTTTCCCCTCCTACACACCCCTGCCCCTCTTTTCTAGCCGGTGTCTGACTGCAGAGGGGAATAGCCTGCCTCTGAAGAAGAGTTAGTGGGCTAAAAATAATAAACAAAAACCCAAATTGTTGAGTGCTGCATAATATTTTGTCCTGAAGCTGCTGATCGCGCGAGGCAACCAGGCCTATAGCGCAGCTCAGTCGGAGTGTTTAGTTTTAGAACCAGCGCCTAGAGATGATGAGGAATGACCTGTCCGTGGCGCTTGCTGGCATCGGCGGGGCAGGGAGCCTTTTAAGAAGCAGCGAGCCCGTGTCTCTGTCTCCAGTGGCGTCCCAAGCAGCTTCCTTACTGGAAGAGGCTGCAGATCTGCTGGTGATGAACAGGGACTTCGCGGCTGCTCTGGACAGGTGCGAGAAAGGCTGCGAGAGGCTCAGGAAGGACCTCGAGAATGAAGATGCTGACAGGTAAGTGCTGAATTGAGGCAGAGGTCGGGTGAGAACTGGGAAGAGTGGGATTGATCAGTGCCAGATTTAGGTATGTGCTGAGCTACCTGCAGCCCATGAACTAGGGGGTGGGGCTCATCCTTTTTAAAATAAAAAAACCAGGCAGATTTTATTACCTAGGCCCAGTTGCTTAGTAAAATTAAACACACAATGTTTATGTGTCTATGACTGTGTATGAGTTACACAATTGCGTACTTACTATTTAGTAAAGTTCGTGGAGGTTTTATGCTGCTCAGAATCAAATAATAAAGGCAGCCATGAAGCAATACAGTGTTCGGATCACTGTCTAGCATTATAGAGTACATTTTGAGAACAAGTGAGGATTATAACATAGCTGTGATTCCCCTATGAATGTTCTCTGTGAATGTCTTTGATAATTCCATACTTTTGTAAACTTACTAAACTCCTAGCCCGTGGCCTCCAGTTGCTTTAATCCAGTCCTGGAATTGATGTCGTTCTTCTAAAGGGAATTAAATAACGATATTTATTCCAGTACCTGTTAGCACAAATGGCAGAAGAATGCAGTTTCTTACAGAAAAAGATATTTTACCATGTTACAGCAGAGGGACGGGAAGGGTAAAATGGCCACTGGCTGTGCTGGAAGACAGCAACTTCCTGCTCCTCCTCTCCTTGAACTTCTCCTATTACCATCTGGTTATTATAAAACTTTGTAAATAAGAACTACTGTCTGTGTTTGCTCCCCCCCAATACCTTTGCCTTTTCTGTCATGCCTTTTAGATAGCCCTTGCCCCCAGACTTCCAATCTTGTTGCTGATCTTTGTGTGGCACACTGGGAGTCCTTTTCAGCAGCAGAGTGAGGTTAATTTTTAATAATAATAATAATAATAATAATTACATTTTGTGCATCTCTTTTCTGAATCAGCTCTGAAGAACTGAAATGCTCCTTATGCACTGTGGGTATCCAGGCCTTGGCTGAGATGAACCGATGGAGAGAAGTCCTTCCTTGGATTCTTCAGTACTATCACGATCCTGAATGTTGGCCTTCCAGAATTCTAGAGCTGTGGTGGGTTCTGCTCTTATAGACGCAGAGTTATATTATTGTATTTTGGGGGGTGGCAAGCCTGTTACTGGACTGTACCAGTTTAGGCTGCGGGTGGGGGCTTGCATAGCTGAATGCACCTTCATGCAGATCAGTTCCCTGCATACAGAAAACTAGATATCTGGGAGAAAGAGGCATTGCACCCTAGCCTTCTGCCAGACATGCTAGCTTTCTGTGTGTATGGATTTTCTTTTTTTATGGAGATGCAGTAAGTCATATGATCTCTCCTGAAGGAGCGTCTCCATCCCCATCGTTCAACCCAGACACTGAAGTCCAGTGCTGAGGGCCTTCTGGTGGTTCCCTCACTGCAAGAAGCGAAGTTACAGGGAACCAGGCAGAGGGCCTTCTCGGTGGTGGTGCCCGCCCTGTGGAACGCTCTCCCATCAGATATCAAAGAAATAAACAACTATCTGACATTTAGAAGACACCTGAAGGCAGCCCGGTTTAGGGAAGTTTTTAATGACTGATGTTTTAATGTATTTTTAATCTTTTGTTGGAAGCCTCCCAGAGTGGCTGGGGAAACCCAGCCAGATGGGCGGGGTATAAATAATAAATTATTATTATTACTATTATTATTATTGTGTCTGGGAAGGACGTGTTGCTTGGAGAGTGTTCTGAGGGCCAGATAGAGCCCTGCACTAAATTATGCTAGCTCCCTCTGTGTCAAGGGCTTTCTTGAGAATGCATAAGAAAAATAATATGCAAATACAATGGTGTCATTATAATAATATTAAAGTGGTGGTATTGCTTTGTTTCCCTCTCAGCATCCTCCTGCATAGTAAAGTGGAAGAACCTCATGTGATGCTAGAAGTCGCCAGAGATTGGTTACATTCCTCAGCCAATCAGCACCTGCCTAGTTACGGCCTCTTGGCTCAGCTGCACCTGTTCCATGTGCTGTTGCCGCTCAGGCTCTTTGCGGAGGCAGAGGACCTAATCCGAGATAGTAAAGCATTGAGCAAAGAGCAACAGGTGGAGGCCTATGAGAGCATTAAGGAGCAGAGGCAGCAGTGGCTGCAGAAGGAAGAGGAGGTGCGCCAGCTTCCCGAGGAGCGGCCAGAAATGGTGTGGAAGCAACGGTTGGGTAGGCTTTTCTTAAAAGCAATCTTATGTGTTTTGTAGCTGAAACCATAGATGCCTGGAGTATATAAATTTTCTTGCCATCTGGAAACAAAGCCTTATGAGGAATGGTTGAAGGAGGTGGTTATTGTTTAGCCTGGAAAAGAGGAGAATGAGAGGAGATATGATAGCCATCTTCAAATATCTGAAGAGCTGTCACATGGAAAATGGAACAAGCTTGTTTTCTCCTTCTCTGGAGGGTAGGACTCGAACCAATGGATTCAAATTACAAGAAAGGAAATTGCGACTAAACTTGAGGAAAAACTTTCTGACAGTAAGAGCTGTTTGACAGTGGAACAGTCTCCCTTGGGAGGTTGTGGACTGACCTTCCTTGGTGGTTTTTAAGCAGAGGTTGAATGGCCATGCTTTAGCTGAGATTCCTGCATTGCTGGGGGTTGGACTAGATAACTCTTGAGATCCCTTCCAGCTCTACAGTTCTATTATTCTAGTAAGAGAATTGCAGTCCTACAGTATTCAGACAGCTTAATGAAATTGTTGGGTGAAGGAGACACACTTTCAACATCTTCACTGGGTTTTACTATTAGCATAGATAAAGCATTTGCTAAGGGGCAAAAGCATTTCCTTGATCAGCCACAAGAAATCGGTGATGGCTGTACAGTCCTCACATGACAACGGTGGTGTCTGGAGAGCTTGTAAGGGAGGTTATTTTTCATGGAATCTTCTCTGGAAATAACTTTTAAAAGTTTCTTTTGAGCGGTGCCTCCTCACCACTTTCCCTGGCGTAACGTCTTCCTTTTGTTTTGCAGGTTTGGTATCCCAAAAGGTGTTGACCATATTGGCACAGCTGGGTCGAGTGCTGGGATCCTTGGCAGGCCAGCTGTGTTCCATCCCCTACAGAAAGACACTCTTGGCTGCTTTCATGTTGTGTCTCATTGTCGTGAGACTTGACCCAGGTATACTTGAGAGAGGGGAGACAGTGGGAGGGGAAGGGAAAGGAGAAGTATCCAGCTGTTACTGTGTGAAATATTTAGCCTATGTGGGGGCGTATCTGGAATGGCAGTGTGTGTGTGTGTATTGACACACAGTGCTGCTTGGCCATGTTTGGGATTTCAGGAATGACTTGTAAAGCACAGACTGCTTGGGATATGGTCAAGTCTGCCGTATCTGGAGTGGGATGGAATGAGAGCCCCAAATTCAACCGAGGTCCAGGAGCAAAGGAGTAGAAGGCCTGGCAGGGAGTAGCTGCATAAGAACCAAGTATACGACAGTTTCCTGAGTTAGACTCTTGGCTGATCTAGCACTGGCAATGGCTCACTCGAGTTTCAGGCAAGGAGTCTGGGAACAGTAGTTTTAGGTGCTGGGAATTGTAGCTTTCTGAGGGGTCTTCTAACTACTCTCAGCTACCTTAACGAACTACAGTTCCCAGGTTTTTTTGGGGGGCGGAGCCGTTGCTGTTAAAGTGATATGACAGTGTTTTAAACATATGGTGCATGTGATACCTTAGTGGTTTATTTTAGTTGTATGAGAACCCTTGGGACATTGGGTGTTTACAATTGGAGGAGGAATGTTTGACCAATGTCGTGAATAATATTTGCTTATTGTTATGGGTAGATATGAGAAATGAAAGTCATCATCATCTTCTTCTTCTCTTTTCCAGCATCGCCCACTTCTCTGCCCTTCCTCAACAGGCTAATCCAGCTTTTCCATCAAGCCCGCTTGGCTGCATTTTCACCACACTACAGGCCTCCAATTCAAGACTAACTGACTCCACTGCCTTCTGTATGATGCTGAAGCAGTGCTTGTTGGAGGACCGTGGAGAAGCCACTTGCAAGTCAATGAAGGTGACTGCAGCTGTTGAGAGAGCACCTGCAGTGAGGCAGAGACTTCTTCGAGAATTAAGGATAGTGGCAGGGCAGTATCTGGGCGGGGTGTCTGCTGTGCCATGACCACAGCGATGGGACTGATAAAGCATTTCCATGATAGATAGTTGGAATTTGGTGACTTTGTATATGATCACTTAGAAACACTTGGCAACTAGATATCTTTATAACTGAGTTCTTGGAGCTTCTGTTTAAGGCTGATTTTTTTTTTGTATTTTTGATTCTGTGATGTTGATTTATGTATTATATATGTATGCTTGTAACATTAATTTTATTTAAATCACTTCTGTCTTGGTTTTTGGTCCCAGTTAGGAAATGCCCCTGTCCCCCGACAGATCGCAAGCTGTGATCACGTCCACACCATTCGTTTAAAGCAGAGTTTCCCAAACTTGGGTCTCTGGCTGGTTTTTTTTACTACAACTCCCATCATCCATAGCTAGCAGGACCAGTGGTCAGGGATGATGGGAATTGTAGTCAAATAAACAGCTGGACACCCAAGTTTGGGAAACCCTGGTTTAAAGCAAATTTATAGCACTTTTAACAGTCATGACTCCCCCACCAAAGAATCCTGGCAACTGTAGTTTACCCCTCACAGAGCTGCACTTTGCAGCACCTTTCACAAACCACAGTTCCCAGGATTCCTAGTGGGAAGCCATGTGCTTCAAATGTGTCATGTGGATATCATCCAAATGGACAGAGGTAATAAAATGAAGCAGAGAGCAAAACAAAGCTAGCCACATTACAACTCCTAGCAGCAAAGGGAAAAAAATCCTCCAAAGGCTGCTAGAAAATAAAGGTATTGACAAATAAGGGGACTAACCAGGACAGCCAAGGAAGGGTGTTCCATAATTTGAGCAGTGCAACCCAATGGACTCTTCCCCATGATGTGGTTAACCAAACCTCCACTGGCAACAGGACAGAGTGAGGCCTCTGATGAAAATCACAGTGGGTGGGCAGGCTCACATGGAAGGCTGAAATTCTTCAACTGTCTGGTCAAAATCCCTTCCTTAGGGTCCCCAAGCGCTTGACAGCCAAGCTGATTGTTGGGTGCCCATTGGGCAAGTGCAAAGGGTGTTTTGTAAGCCACCCAGAGCTGCTGTTTTAAACTTCTCATGTCCTTGATTTAAAGAGGGAATGTGGGGAAGCTTTTCAAAGGGCTTTAAGGGCAAGAGCAAGTGCTGGAAACAAGCAGGTAGGCAGAACTGGAGTTAATAGGCTCAAAAACGCAAGTCTAGCTGCTGCATTTGGCACTGGCTGAAGTTTCCAAACACTTCAGCAGCCCAGCAAAGTGTGTGCTGCAGTCATTGTCTAGAAGCACCCAAGACCACAAGCTTGGTTTTTCAAGGAAACTGCTATCCCTTCCAGTAAAGGTGTGTGTCTAATCTTGGATTGGCTTTCCTACTGATCCAGAAGTACCTCTGTCTTGTCTGGCTTAAAGTATCAACTCATTGGCCCACATTCAACCCACCACTGCTCTCAAGTTGCAGTTCAGGATCTGCACACCCTCCCTGGACGGAAGGAAGGAAATGCAAGCTAGAGATGGGTGTCCGCAGCATATTACTGACACCAGATAACCTCCTAGCTGTTTCATGCAAGTGTGAAATAACGCAGGGGACACACTGGAGTCCTTTGTGATGTAGGGAAGAGGCCAAGGAATTAAACACGAATCTCTAAATGCCCTGTTCAGCAACTGACTTGCAAGGTAAGACTACAGCCACTGCTAAACAGCACCTCCCATCCCAAAGGGGTGGTCAATGGTATTAAAAGCTTGTTGCGAGGTCCAACTGGCCTGCAGTCCCCTTGTTCAGCTCACAGCACAGGTAATCCACTAGTGTAACAGCTATTTCAGTGCCAAAACCATACTGCAAAGGATAAAGATCGTACGTTGAGCACTTTGCCCAAGTAGCATAAATAGGAAACCAGCAGGTAATCGCCTAGGATGGTGGGATCTGATGAAGGCTCCTTTGATAATGCCTTACAACTCCTTCCTTCAGTCCATACGGTACTTCACCATTCTTTACAACCTGCCCCATCCAACTGACCTGCCCTGCTCTGGCTGCCTTAAGGAGTCAGGATGGGCAAGGGCCAAGAGGACAGATGATCAGCCTAACACCTCCAAGCACCTCATCCACATCCTCAGGCTGAAGGAGCTAAAACATACCTATTAAAACAGGATGAGCAGGTAACAGCCTATGAAGTGCCCTTGCTGGATCAGATCAAAGGCCTATCTAACTCCACCTCCAGTTCTCACAGCAGCCAACCACATGCCTATGTGAAACCTGCAAAAAAGTTATGAATGCAACAGCAGTACCAGATGACAGCAGGAATAGCATGATGCTCTTAATCCCAGGGTCGGCAGCGAGGCTCCTCACAGGGTCTCTGCCATGGGAGCATATTCACCCAGTGCTTTTCCAGCTGCACTGGCTCCCGGTGGAGTACAGGGTCAGATTTAAGGTGCTGGTTTTGACCTTTAAAGCCCTTTAAAGGCCTAGGACCCTCATACCTACGGGACCGCCTCTCCCGGTATGCCCCATGGAGAGCCTCAAGGTCCATACATAGCAACACCCTAGTGCTCCCGGGCCCTAAGGAAGTTAGATTAGCTTCAACCAGAGCCAGGGCCTTTTCAACACTGGCTCCGGCCTGGTGAAACGCTCTGCCTCATGAGACCAGGGCCCAGGCTTGGAGCCAATTTGATTCCCTCCCCCTCTTTCTTTTTTCTTTTTCCTTTCTCCTCCTGTGATGAGGCTGCATTTTAATATTTTAATGTTTCAATATTTTAATGTTGTATTTTGTTTCTAAGTTGTATTCATTCAACTTGTTTTTATTATTGCTTGTTAGCCGCCCTGAGCCCAGCCTTGACTGGGGAGGGCGGGGTATAAATGAAAATTATTATTATTACCAAGGCTTCCATAGACTTCACAATGAGAACAGGCTCTATTTTGAAATGAACACAAATGACTTTATCAGCAAGGTGCCTTGCAAACTAACTGCTTGCTCTAGGCCAGCGCAGTGCCCTTCCCCCCCTCAGAATACTTTCCCCCTTGGAACAGCTCTGCTAGATGACAACCCATTGATAGGAAGATGACAGAGAAAGCTGATGGCAAACAATAGGTGCTAGCTGAGGGATGGACAACCTGTGGCTTCCAGATGCTGCTAGACTCCAGCTCCCATCACTTCTGGTCATTGGCTGGTGGAGGCTGATGAAAGATGTCCTACAACATCTAGAGGGCCACAGGTTCCACATACCTATGTTTTGTTGGATTTGTGATGTGTCTTCCAAGGTCTACTCAGCAGATTCAATGTCCTGAACTCAGAAAAAAAATGAGCATTCAGTAGAATCAAATGGGAAAGCTTTCCCATGGCCTCTACTACTTCAAGATGCGGGTGGGTATTTGCAAATTTGAATTCTTCCCAGTGGGGGCAGGTAACTCCTTCTACATAGGAAACGATTCAGCCCAGCTTCCTTGAAATATATTTCCCTGCATGCAAGCAGCTTTCCCCCAAAAAACTTGTCCATGGCAGAAGCATTCAAACAAACCACCCCTACACAAAGCCAGAAGTGGTAGAGTCCCAGGAAAAGAACCCGGTTCTGCTCAGAGAATAAAACAGAGCCAAGAGGAAGACGCTCCTATCATTTCAGGTGGGGAAGGAAACTTGGGCTGACGGCTTCTGCTGAGCCCACCACCTGAGAGTGAGTGAGTGTTCAGTGATGTAAATGGCAGGAGCAGGAAAGGGGAGGTTGCCAAGGGTGATTATGACCTTCCTCCCCTGCACTGTGATGCTCAATGGCACTCCCTGGGGGTGGCATGCATGGCTTGGGGCCCTGGCACCCAGCTGCCTAGAGCGAGACAGCAGTGGGAACATCAACATCCACAGCTGCTGTTGTTAATCGGGAGCGAGAGTGAGCACTACTTGAGGCACCATGGTAAGGAAGGCAGGGGAGCTGCCTGCACATGGAAGGTACCAAGGGGAGAGAAGGTTTCCTCTGCTTCAGAACTATTGAAAGGGTAGAAGATCAAGGCAGTTTGACAATACAGGATTGATGTGGTGTAGATGTCAGGGTGTAGATCAGGGTTAGGGAACCGCCAAATCCTCCTGGGCTTTTAAGTCCATCCCTGACCATTGGCCCTGGGGGCTGGGACTGGTGGGTGTTAGAAGTCTAAGAACATCAGGAACGCCACAGGGTTCCCTTCCCTGATCTACACCCTGACATTTTATCCACCATCACATCAGTTCTGTGGTGGCAAGGTTGATGCTGCAGCAGCCAGATGTTCCAGGCCAGCAGCTGAAGGACTTGAGTGCATTTGTATCCCACCCTTTTCTCCAAGGTGCCAAGGAGAAGCCCACAAGCAGGAATAGCACTCCTGACTCATGTTTCCCAGAAACTAGTACAGTGGTACCTCGGGTTAAGAACTTAAATCGTTCCGGAGGTCTGTTCGGATTAGCCTTCGAACTGCTAGGTGGGCAGGAGCTGGGACCGAAAGACGGGAGCTCACCCCGCCGGGGGGATTCGAACCGCCAACCATACGATCAGCAAGTCCTAGGCACTGAGGTTTAACCCACAGCGCCGCCCGCGTCCCGATAAATATGGTACCTCTTTCCAAATGCTTCTGGAAAATTTCTCTGCTAGTAAATGCAAATTGGCTTTAAAAATGCACCACACATAGTATTTATACAGTGGTACCTCGGGTTAAGTACTTAATTCGTTCCAGAGGTCCATTCTTAACCTGAAACTGTTCTTAACCTGAAGCACCACTTTAGCTAATGGGGCCTCCTGCTGCCGCCGTGCCACCGCTGCGCGATTTCTGTTCTCATCCTGAAGCAAAGTTCTTAACCTGAGGTACTATTTCTGGGTTAGCGGAGTCATCTGTAACCTGAAGCGTCTGTAACCTGAAGCATCTGTAACCCGAGGGAGCACTGTATAAGACCTCTGACATTGGGGATAGAAAATAGCCAGCATGTCTAGGAGCCACTGATAGCTTTATCCTACCTAAATTTATCTAACATTTTTAAGGCGTCATAGTTGGTAGCTATCACAACATCTAGTGAGTTCCATAGTTTAACCATGTTCTTTTTTCCATTAATTGAATTCTTTATTAAACATATTTTACAAAATTATACAGCAAGATATTACAATTTGTATCCCATCCCATACCGCAGAAAAATTAAAAATACATTTTTTAAAAAAGACCTAAAATAGACTTCCGATTGTTCTAAAAAACAAAAACTAAATTACACTTGTTCTCTTTTACAGTATCCTATTAATATATTATTTTCTTAAATCTTTTTGATAACAAAAAAAGGAAAAATAAATAAATAAAAACATTAAGTTTACATATATGGTCTGTACAATGCAAGACTCATTCAAGATCTGCCAGGAGGTTTTTGCTGTCACAGTAGTTTTTCAGGTACTCCTTGAATATAATCCATTCTTGGTTTACTTTTTGCATCATGTTCTACAATGATGATAAATGAGAGAGAGCTGTCAAATATTGGTTAGGCTTTCAATCCCTCTCTGTTTTATTCAGACATTGCCAGTTGATGTTGACTGAAGCTTTCCCCTTGATTTTATTTATGCCAGCTGTCAGCAATGCACACTGTAGCAAAAAATGCCAACCACATAACTCTAATGGCATCTGAACTGGTCCAGAAAAAGATATTGGGGTTCAATATTGTTTATCTAGTGTGTGTGTGTGTGTGTGTGTGTGTGTGTGTGTGTATATATTTGAAAACACCAATAAAAATTATCTAAAAGTTAAAAGTGATGGATAGCTTTATGTGCAGCAGCTGTGAAAAAGGTTAATTCCATGTTAGAGATCATAAGGAAAGCAAATGAAAATAAAACTGCCAATATAGCAACAATATTGCTATACAAATCAATGGTACAACCACATTTGGAATACTGTGTACAGTTCTGATCACCACCCCTCCAAAAGAAGAATGTAGAAGGGAAATGTTAGGAAAGGGCCACCAAAATGATCAATGGGATAGAGTAGATCCCCTATGAAGAAAGGCTACAGTGTTTGGAGCTTTTCATTTAGAGAAAAGGTGACTAAGGGCGGATTTACACACAGGAATAAAAACGCTATAAAGAAGTCAGAAATTAAATCGTTTTATAACAAAAGAGGGGAAAAAAACCTATGTAAAAATCACATAGAAAATTTGTTTGTTCTCTGGCGCCATCTGGTGTTGCATGTTTATAACACTTTCAAAGTGTTGTTTTTTGACTAATGTAGTTGAGTCCTAAGTAGGGGATATAACAGAGGTATAAAAATTGCATGGTATGGAGAAAATGCATAGAAAGATGGTTCCACCCACCCCCCACATCTCATAAAACCAGAACTTGGGTTATCTACTGCATTTTGAACCAGCTGAAGTTTCCAAATCATCTTCAAGGGCAGCCCTGTGTAAAGAACGTTGCAATAACCCAATCTGGAAATTACAAAAGCACGCAATACAGTGGCCAGGTCATTTCTGTCCAAAAGGAACTAGAGCTGGAAAAGGGCACTCCAAGCCACGGAGGCCACTCCAGCGATAGTATTGAACCTAAAAGCACCCCAAGCTGAGGACCTGCTCCTTCCAGGGGATTGCAAAGCTGTCCTGGACAGGCTGTCTCCCCACCTCCTTGACCTGAGAACTTGGAACACGCAGTACCTCTGTCTTTTCAGGATTCAGCCTCTATTTATTAGCTCCCATTGCTCGGTTCCAGCTCCTGCCAACTTAGCAGTTCGAAAGCACGTCAAAGTGCAAGTAGATAAATAGGTACCGCTCCGGCGGGAAGGTAAATGGTGTTTCCATGCGCTGCTCTGGTTCGCCATAAGCGGCTTAGTCATGCTGGCCACAAGACCTGGAAGCTATACGCTGGCTCCCTCGGCCAATAAAGTGAGATGAGCGCCGCAACCCCAGAGCCTGCCACGACTGGACCTAATGGTCAGGGGTCCCTTTACCTTTACTTACTTACAGGGTGCAAAAAGGAATGCACCTGTCCCAAAGAGACTGTGTCGTGTCTTCTGACTTCACCCTGTTCTCCATTCTGCAGCGTGAGTGCATCTCCATTCACGTTGGCCAGGCTGGAGTTCAGATCGGCAATGCATGCTGGGAACTCTTCTGCCTGGAGCATGGAATTCAGCCAGATGGCACCTTCGCGGAAAAGAACCATCCCAATAATGACGACTCCTTTGCTACGTTCTTCAGAGAGACTGGCAACGGGAAGCATGTGCCGCGAGCTATCATGGTGGACTTGGAGCAAACTGTAGTCGGTGAGTTAAGGCTGTCTCAGGTCACATGAAATGCTTGTGAGATCATATAGTGGCTCAGGGGGCCACATTTCCTCAATGGGCCTCAGGTTTCCAAATCCCGGAATATGCCTTAGGTGGGATAACCATTAATAGATGAATCTTCCGTTCCATGTGTGTAGTCAAGCCCTACTGAATTGTTCAGCTATAAGACGTGGGTGGAGCTGTGGGTTAAACCACAGAGCCTAGGACTTGCCGATCAGAAGGTTGGTGGTTCGAATCCCCGCGACGGGGTGAGCTCCTGTTGCTCAGTCCCTGCTCCTGCCAACCTAGCAGTTTGAAAGCACCTCAAAGTGCAAGTAGATAAATAGGTACCGCTCCGGCGGGAAGGTAAACGGCGTTTCCGTGTGGTGCTCTGGTTTGCCAGAAGCGGCTTAGTCATGCTGGCCACATGACCCGGAAGCTGTACGCCAGCTCCCTCAGCCAGTAAAGCGAGATGAGCACAGCAACCCCAGAGTCGGCCACGACTGGAACTAATGGTCAGGGGTCCCTTTACGTTTACCTTTAAGAAAACAAAAGTTGTTTTCTAATGGTATGAACAATCAATCTATTCAACTCTTTAAAGCCACAGCTTTCTATGCAATGCCCCAGCTAATAGATACTTCGGAACCTGTAGCCCAGCAGATGTTGTTGGACCATCTCAGCATCTCTGACCATTGACCATGCTGGCTGGGGCTGATGGGAGTTGGAGTGCAACAGGTTCCTCACCACTTAATTGAAATACCAGGCCATGGTTTTCTATCTAGATTCAGAGTTCGGTTGCCTTGTATTAAAATTCAGCTCCTTTTGGAAGGCCTTACGCTTCCTTTCCCCTTTCACAGATGAAGTGCGGGCTGGCACCTACCGTCAGCTTTTCCACCCGGAACAGCTGATCACTGGCAAGGAAGATGCAGCTAATAACTACGCCCGTGGTCACTACACCATCGGGAAGGACAGGATTGAGCTAGCACTGGATCGCATCCGAAAACTGGTAAGGCACAACGGAACTGAAAGCATGTTTTGGTAGGCTACAATGTTATATTGAATGGCACTTCAAAGAGACCAGAAATGCATTGGCTGGGTCCCTGGAGAACCTGAGGACCAAACAAAAGAAGTTCCCCCTTTGGTCCACCTGAGTCAAACTCCACCCATCAGATATCTCTCTTAATTAGGAGAGTGTCATAGCTCTAATTTACTTGTTCATTCTAATGATTATGTTTATGTAAGTCAATATATCATCTTATTTTACAATAGATATTTACCATATGCCAATCAGTAGATTTATTGATTGAGATCTATGGGTATAGGACGATATACATATTTAACAAAAATTAAAATAAAATAGATACACAGAGAGAGACATGCACACAGAAACGCACTCATGCATATGTATGGACACATACACCATCCATCCCTTTCTCCTAGCCACTTTCTGATTGGTTGAGAAAGGATGTGGAGAGGCCAGTTTGTACCACACTAAGCAGACACCTGGGTGTTTCTTTAATTCAGATGGAGAAACACTTGTTTTATAGAATGACTAGATAAAATGGAGGGCCCTTTAATACAAGGATGGGGAAGCAGTGTTGAAGAATAGTAAGGTAGGACATGGATCCTAATATCACATTTGCCAATTGCATGGAAAGAGAAATAAAGTTTCCATCCTCTCCTAATGTTTTTGGTGCTGAATCTCCACCCCTCTGTCTGCCTACTTAAACAGACTAAAATACTTTTCACAATGTACAGTCCTTCCTGGACTCTAACATTTCAGAACTCAGGAGGGGTATCTTATTTACGCAGGCTCATTGGTGTAATAAAAAAGCTCTCTGCATGTGTGAGGAAAGCACCTAAATGATGATTCCCTTTACAGGCTGACACCTGTGCAGGGCTACAAGGATTCCTGATTTTCCACAGCTTCGGAGGAGGCACAGGTTCTGGCTTTACCTCCCTGCTGATGGAGCGCCTGTCTGTGGACTATGGCAAGAAGTCCAAACTGGAGTTTGCCATCTACCCAGCCCCCCAGGTTTCCACTGCGGTGGTGGAGCCCTACAATTCTATCCTGACCACCCACACCACCTTGGAGCATTCCGACTGCGCCTTCATGGTGGACAACGAGGCCATCTACGACATCTGCCGCCGCAATCTGGACATTGAGCGCCCCACGTACACCAACCTGAACCGCCTCATCAGCCAGATTGTCTCCTCCATCACCGCTTCCCTGCGTTTCGACGGCGCCCTCAACGTGGACTTGACTGAGTTCCAGACCAACCTGGTGCCTTACCCTCGCATCCACTTCCCCTTGGTGACCTATGCGCCCATCATCTCCTCCGAGAGGGCTTACCACGAGCAGCTCTCCGTGGCCGAAATCACCAGCTCCTGCTTTGAACCCAACAACCAGATGGTGAAATGCGACCCCCGCCATGGGAAGTACATGGCCTGCTGCATGCTCTACCGAGGTGATGTGGTGCCCAAAGACGTCAACGTAGCCATTGCTGCCATCAAGACCAAGAGGACAATCCAGTTTGTGGACTGGTGCCCAACTGGCTTCAAGGTGAGGAGAGATTCATATTGGCATGAAGTCTGGGTCCCAATGCAATCATTAAGGTTTATCAAGAGAGGAATCTGTGGAAAAGATTCAGAAAATGGTTTTTTCTGAACATCTGAAGCTTTTTACTTTAGAAAAAAAGCAGATAAGGGGAGACATGTAGTGTGGAGAAAGGGGACGCCATAGGAATTGCTGGTGAACATACCTGTGGTTTGGTGATTCCAGAAAAAGTCACACTCCATCCCATTCCCTATTGATATTTCCCGTATAAAATAGAACTGCCTTGCAAACTATTTCACCATAGGTAAAGGTAAAGGGACCCCTGACCGTTCGGTCCAGTCGCGTATGACTCTGGGGTTGTGGCGCTCATCTCGCTTTACTGGCCGAGGGAGCCGGCATACAGCTTCTGCGTCACGTGGCCAGCATGACTAAGCCACTTCTGGCAAACCAGAGCAGTGCATGGAAATACTATTTACATTCCCGCCGGAGCGGTACCTATTTATCTACTTACACTGTGTGCTTTCGAATTGCTAGGTTGGCAGGAGCTGGGACCGAGCAACGGGAGCTCACCCCGTTGTGGGGATTTGAACCGCTGACCTTCTGATCTGCAAGCCCTAGGCTCTGTGGTTTAACCCACAGCGCCACCTGTTCACCATAGGGTTGCCAACAAATAGAGGGACATCACTCAGTTCCCATAGAGAATTATGATGGAAGATATCAGTCTTTACCAGAACTACAGGCAGTATGTCACCTCATTCTTATTCTACCTCTAGGGTTCCAATTTAGAGGTGGTTGCTTGAACTGATACCATTTATGTGTGTGTCTATATGCTTGCTTTCTCCCCTTTCCTTCTAATCCTACTAGGTTGGCATTAATTACCAGCCACCAACTGTAACCCCTGGAGGAGATCTGGCCCAAGTCCAGCGCGCTGTCTGCATGCTCAGCAACACCACTGCCATTGCTGAAGCCTGGGCAAGGCTAAATCACAAGTTCGACCTGATGTTTGCCAAGAGAGCGTTTGTGCACTGGTATGTTGGTGAAGGCATGGAAGAAGGGGAATTTGTCGAAGCTCGAGAGGACCTGTCCGCCCTGGAGAAGGACTATGAGGAAGTGGCAACTGACTCGTTTGAGTCGGTACTCGACAGCGAGGAAATCTAACAGTTTGCTCCTCTCTGTGCACCACAATGTCTCTTGTCTGTTTTTTTCCGTCCTTTGGGCCTTTGTGGGAGAAATTTCCCTTGGGGATTCCGTGTGGAGGCTCATGAAAAGTTCCCAATGAGTCGGACTTTATTCAGTAACGCATTACAGGACAGAGTCAAAAGAGTTTGTGAGAGCTTTCTTTTAGAAAACACTGTATACGAAAAATGTGTTGTCTTAGCTGTTTCACCCTCTGGCCTACCACTTCATTCCACCATGTTTTCACCCAACCACAGCCCTTGAAATGCAACTTTACCCAACCAGTTTCTTTTACTCTACATGCAGAGCCCTCCTTGTACCTTATGCAGAGTTGTTTTTCACTCTAACAGTGTTAGGTTCCTCCTAACTGGTTCCTACCAGTTTTGTGGTCAGGCCACACTTTTGCATACATGATGACAGACATTCCTTTTGCAGGCATTCCACGTCAACCTTTAACTCAAGCCTGTGTAATGTGGGCATCCAGCATCATAATACAAGCCTACAGTGAGTCTTGAAATGAGTGAACTGAAGAAAACTGGGCAGGGATTCAGCCTGTTTGAGATCAGCCTCCCCTGGCCAAAGGAGAGAATTGGGAGGCAGCCAAGTAAACCTCCTCCAATTGGGTGCCAGAGCAGGTCAGGTGACTCCTATAAAAGCTTCCACATCAGGAGCAACTAGGAGACCTGGGCTGCATATACACCATACATTTAAAGCATATGACTCCCCACAAAGGATCTGGGAACTGTAGTTGATTAAAGGTGCTGATGGAAAATGTAGCTCTGTGAAAGGTAAACTGCAGTTCCCAGGATTCTTTTTTGGGTGGGTGGGGGGGTGGGAAGTGGAGCCATGTGGTTTAACTGTGTTTTAAATGTATGGTGTGTGTCTAACCCTGATTTTGTTGAAGACAAACCACTTTCTGAGTTCTGCTCTCAGCTGTACAGTGGTACCTCGGGTTACATACGCTTCAGGTTACATACGCTTCAGGTTACAGACTCCGCTAACCCAGAAATAGTACCTCGGGTTAAAAACTTTGCTTCAGGATGAGAACAGAAATCGTGCTCCGACGGCGCAGCACCAGCGGGAGGTCCCATTAGCTAAAGTGGTACCTCAGATTAAGAACAGTTTCAGGTTAAGAATGGACCCCTGGAACAAATTAAGTACTTAACCCGAGGTACCACTGTACACAGATGGGGTCTGGCAGCCTGGCCTCCTGGCTAAAGCACAATCCACCAAGTAATTATTCAGCACAGGTCAGTTCAAATAAGTAGGAGCGATTCAAGAGCAGCAGAACTGGTTCCATGTTTCCAGGGCCCCTTGGGCACAAGCTATCAGAGAACTCCTTGCTTTCCTCCTGGCACCTCATTCCTTCTTGGCCTCACTCCTTTAAAATGAAGCAAGTCTTAAGCAATATGGCAACCCCAATTGTCAAAGGAAAACTATAAGAAATGTTGAACTTTTGAAATGATGATTGTTAAGTTGTGGGTGAACATATCAGGCGACACAGTGATTCTTCAAACAGCTCTTGTTTATTCAGAGGCCAGAACGGAACTGAGTGAAGGGCTCAGTCAGCCTGCTTATATAGAGCTCCAGTACAACGTTACTGTAGCAACTTTCTAAAACTATCCAATCACTGAACGTCACTTTCGATCCTTCATTTGCATAACTATCTACAGTATCCCCCTGCTGGCCCAGGGTGAGAACTTCAGTACATAACAATGATTGCCACTTCATCATAATTGAATGGAGACACCGCTGCCCCACATTTCTAGTTAAGCCCTGGGTCTCTACTGTAATCTCACTTCAGACTTCATTTTGGAGATTAAAAACGTAACCTTTTTGTATAGGCAAAGTACATAAATAAATGATTTTTTTGCTATTGTAGCAATAGCCATAAGAATGTAAAAAGACGGATCAGGCCAGAGGCCCACCTCATCCCACATCCTGTTCTCACAGTGGTCAACCAGATGAACCAATGGGAAGCCTGCAAGCAGGACCCAGGTGTCACAGCACTTTTGATTCCCAGCAAATGGTATCCAGGGGCAAATTGCCTTTGATAGTGGAGGCTGAAAAAGCCATCACAGCTAGTAGGTACCGAGGGCCTTATTTGTTTATGAAATGTGAATTCTGTAGCATTTCAAACAACAAATTCATATATAAAATGTAAAAGTATGAGCCAAATACTGCACACGGTCTAAAAGATTACAATTTTAAGACTGCAATTTGCTGGAACCTGTCTTTGCATGCAGGAGAAGTCCCTAACTCACTGAGCGTTTGAGACCCATTCAGCTATAATAACATATAATAAACAGAAGGCAGTGAATTATTCATGGAGAAATTCATTTACTCCAAATTTACTCCAAATGTCAGATAAAGTTTTCCATTTTTGAACTGTTGCATGATATGATCATTTGTCTTAATTTCTTCATTTACTCCATTGAACAAAGAAAGCAAAACCCTGATAATCTTCTTTATTTCTGCAAAAGTCTTTAACCAAAATTGATGCACTCCCACCACAAATGGAAATAGGTACCCTTGTTCCCGCATGTCCTTCGACACAAAGGAGAGGAGGTGGAAGTTATGTGGGGAAGCTTTATTGGAGTACAGTGGTACCTCGGGTTACAGACGCTTCAGGTTACATACGCTTCAGGTTACAGACTCCGCTAACCCAGAAATAGTACCTCGGGTTAAGAACTTTGCTTCAGGATGAGAACAGAAATCGTGCTCTGGCAGCACAGTGGCAGCAGGAGGCCCCATTAGCTAAAGTGGTGCTTCAGGTTTCAGGTTAAGAATGGACCTCCGGAACGAATTAAGTACTTAACCCGAGGTACCACTGTATAAATACTATGTGTGGTGCATTTTTAAAGCCAATTTGCATTTACTAGCAGAGAAATTTTCCAGAAGCATTTGGAAAGAGGTACCATATTTATCGGGACGCAGGTGGCGCTGTGGGTAAAACCTCAGTGCCTAGGACTTGCTGATCGTATGGTTGGCGGTTCGAATGCCCGCGGTGGGGTGAGTTCCCGTCTTTCGGTCCCAGCTCCTGCCCACCTAGCAGTTCGAAAGCACCCCTAAGTGCAAGTAGATAAATAGGTACCGCTTTATAGAGGGAAGGTAAACGGCGTTTTCATGTGCTGCGCTGGTGCTGGCTCGCCAGAGCAGCTTCGTCACGCTGGCCACGTGACCCGGAAGTGTCTTCGGACAGCGCTGGCTCCCGGCCTCTTAAGTGAGATGAGTGCACAACCCTAGAGTCTGTCAAGACTGGGCCGTACGTGCAGGGGTACCTTTAACCATATTTATATGCTTATGCTAGAAGCCTTCAAGCCGAGATGGATCAGCTGGAGTGCTTAGATTTCAGTGAGGTCATAGATATGGCTGGCAGAAGAGAAACCTGGTGGAGTGGAGAGAACTAGTCAGTAGCAGGAGGAGACAATTGGCACTTGCTTCACCAGCCACTTCCCAATTAACACCCATTGTTCACTCCCCATTACCAAGGGGCTAAACTGAATTTGAGACACATCTCCTAACCTCATGGGCTTCTACAGAAACTGGGAGAAACTAACCTATCATGGGGACCCCCAGCAGAAGAAACATTTCAGCCCCAGCAGAAAAAGTGTCCAGGCAAGTTAAACAGATCTGCAAAGTTTGGCAGCGGGTTAGGTTGAGAGTTTTTTTAAAAAAATTTTCAAGTTTTCAACTTTTTAAAAACAACTCAAGGAGAACAACAAACCAAGAAATACAAAGAAACCAATAAATGGAACAACTTGCATATCTGTGGATCAATACATAAAACTGGAATTAATACCAACAGCGATTCTCAGATGATGTTATATTATCATAACATTGTCCAAATAGCTGAATTATTTTCATGCTATAATGCTGAATGTCACTGTTAGATGCCTAGGTAATAAAGGACCACCAGGTGGCCTAAAAGGACTGTGGCCGTGCTTTATCCTGCATTACTTGTAGTATATGGAGTGTAATTTTTTCAGCTATAGTTACTGACCAGACATTGCTATACCATGCAGATAAGTTTAGGTTCAGAGATTTCCAGTGCCAGGTGACAATCTGCCCCTAGCCGCTACCAGCAGAAAGGGTTAGGCTGAGAGTTGTGACTGACCCAAGGTCAGTCTTCACAGCTTAGTTAGTGCAATAGAGCACATATAGGTTCAATTTTTAAGGGGACTTCACAGGCTCCATCTCTGCAGTCCCCTCTCTTCTTCACAGTACTTTTCTTTCGGTTCAAAGAGTGGCCTTTGCTGGGAACTCCAGGTATCATTTTAAGTTCTGCTTCATTCCATCATATGACCCTGGAGACTGTAGTAACTGCCTTTAGTTACAGACGCTTCAGGTTGTGCATTTTCGGGTTGCGTACCACGCCAAACCCAGAAGTACCGGAACAGGTTACTTCCAGGTTTCGGCACTCGTGCATGTGCAGAAGCACTAAATCGTGCTTTGTGCATGCGCACAAGCGCCAAATTGCAACCCGCGCATGCACAGATGCGGTGCTGCGGGTTGCGAACGCTGCGGGCTGTGAACATGCCTGCCCGAAGTATCACATTCGCAACCTGAGCATCCACTGTATGTTTTTATATATGTTGGAAGCTGCCCAGAGCGGCTGTGGCAACCCAGTAAGATGTGTGGGGCATAAATACTAAAACTATCGCTAAGGAATGGGATGTCCCTATTTTGACAGGAGAAATGTTGGAAGGTATGCTACCCATAGACATCGGGCCCTAAAGAGCCAGTAGAATGTATTCCATACCAGCCACTAGCCACTGAAGGCCATTAAAGAAGCAGTCAAGCTAGACAAAAACCCAGAGGACAGGATCTTAATCAGAAGTCTGTGTGACATGCTGGAAAACACACAAATGCACAGAGAGTGGAAGAGCAGTGCACTTGGGTTGCACCGTTTATCTGCCTCTATGTAGGAGCCTGGTGATGTAATCAGGCAAGGGCTGTGCGTGGTGGGAATTGTGACCTCTTTCCTCATCTGCTCTATGACACTGAAGGGCATGAGCAGGTGCTTGGTGCCAGTGGCACCTCTCCTCCTGCCTTACAGCTCAAAGTGATACAGCAGGAGTAGGAGAGAGACGGAGAGAACAGAAACGAAGCCTTCTAACTGTTCACCAAGAAGGGAAGTGAGAATCAGTCAGAGCATTATGGTAAGCAAGAGGGGAGATGAGGAAACCACAGAACGAGGGGAAACGAGAGTCTCTCTGCTGCCACTTGCTCTGCTATGCAGCCGTGGCCATCAAGAGGCAAACAGAGATTTATTTCGGACAGGATAGCTTCTTCTGCAGCCCTTGGCTAGATTTCAATGTTTCTGGCGCAGACAGCAAGCTGGAAGAAGTCACCAGGACTGCATTCCTGTGCGTCTTCAGAGGGTGGGTGGGTAGAAAGTCCCACTCAAATCAGAAGGCATTACTTCTGAGTAAACCTGCTTAGGATTGCACTCTGAGTAGCTACATTTCACCACGAAGGAAACTGAGACACTAAAACCTGGGGTGCTTGCCAATACGTTTCTATACCGAAATTAATCATGCTTTCCCACCAATTCAGCTGCGGGGAGCAATGTCTAAAAAAATAGATGAAGTGTTTCATATTGTCTCCATTTTAGAGATGGGGCTGAAAGCAAGTGGCTTGCTGAGTCACACTCCTTAGCTATGGTGGGCTTGGGTTTCCAGGTCAAAGTCTCACAATCTTACCTTTGGGTCAGCTATGGATGCTCTAAAGCATTCTTTTTTGGCCGAGCCAGAAGTTGAACTAGGGCATTTCTATTATTGTTTTATTATCTATTAAATTTATCAGTTGCTTTTCTTGCTGCGGGTAACACAAAGTGCCTTTGCAAATAAATGCAATGTCTGTACACTAAGACCAGTCTCACACCAGTTTAATAGTCATGGCTCACAATCACATAACGTAAGTATAATCTCTCAGAAGGGGCAAGGGATTTCTTACAAAGTAGCAGAATTCTCAAGCCCCTTTCCTAAGAGCATTTGGGCAAAGACGTGGTGATTAAATTGGTTTCCAACTAGTTTAGATTTGCAGCCTAGAAGCTCCCTTGTGAACAATTACTGTCGGAAAGGGCTGTAGCTCAGAGGTAGAGAGCTTGCTTTGTATTCAGAAGGACCGAACTTTAACTCTTGGCATCTCCAGGTGTGGCTGGAAAAAACCTCTGTCTGAGGCTCTGGAGAGGGCCTGCAAGTTAGTGTAGATGATGTTGAGTTGGATGGATCTATGCTCAGACTTGGTAGAAGACTGCTTTTTTTTTGCTAAAGCATCCATGACAGATGGCCATCTAACCTGTTTAAAAACCTCCAGGGAAGGAGAGTCTACTACCTCTTGTGGGAGTCTGTTCCACAGCTGAACAGCTCTTACTGTCAGAAAGTTGTTCCTGATGTTCTTGCAACTTGAAGCCATTGGTTCGAGTTCTACCCTCCAGAGCAGGAGAAAACAAGCATGCTCCCTCCTCTATGTGACCACCCTTGAGATATTTGAAGATGGCTATCATATCTTTTCAGTCTCCTCTTTTCCAGGCTAAACATACCCAGCTCCTTCAAGCATTCCTCATAAGGCTTAGTTTTCAGACCCATGATCATGTTGGTTGCCCTCCTCTGCACACATTCTAACTTGTCAACATCCTTCTTAAATTGTGGTGCCCAGAACCGGACACAGTATTCCAAGTGTGGTCTGACCAAGGCAGAATAGAATGGTACTATTAATTCCCTTGATCTGGACACTATACTTCTGTTGATGCAGCCTAGAATAGCATAGCTTTTTTGGTTGCTGCATCACATGGTTGACCTATGTTAAGCTTGTGGTCCACCAAAATGAAACAATTAGCTACTCGGAGCTAACAGCCACAGGTCAAACATGTGCATCTTGTAGTCATGAGAATCTTGTTGATATATTATTTTCTTGTTGATACTATATTTGGAAGGGACCATAGTTCAGTGGTAGAGTGAAAGAGAGTTCTGGACTCAACCAGTGGCAGACATTGGGGTCTCAAATTTTAGCGGCATCCTGTGTGACACCCAAATTTGGTGGCCTCTCGCCTTCTAAGGCTCTGCGCCCAGTGCAACCAAACCAGTTGCGCTTCCCTAAATTCACCTCTGGACTCAACCCCTGGCATTGCTAGATAGGGCTGGGAAGAGTCTCTGAACCCCTGGAAAACCACTGCCAGTCAATGTCAATAATACTAGCCTCAAGAGACTAATGGTCTGACTCAATATAAGGCAGTTTTCTATGTTCTGATGTAATCCAAAGCTTAAAGATGAGCTTATACCTCTTCTCTCACCTGAGACATTTTCTAGCCAACAGCATAGCCACGTGCACTCTAATGTATTCTTCAACTTGTGTTCAGGTAAGAACAGCCAAATTTGCATGAATAAACTTACCTTGGGAAAGGAAATCAGATTCGCGTTTCTGAAATAATTCACTTAGCAAGACTAAGGTCAACAGAATTTTGCCCGTCTAGGACATCCCCATTGGCTCTGACCTCTGACCTGGAAGCATAATTTTTCTTGGCTCCCCATGGGCAGCCTATTGGCCACACACATAGCTCATAATTTGAGAACCAGAGACCTCTGTTTGCTCTTTTGCAAACAATGCATTACTCCCTCCATCACAAGTCTATAGGAGTTTGAAAGATACCCTCTCATCTATTTATGACATCAGACACCTGACAATGATTAGCTTCTGTCATCAGAAGCTCTTGGCTTCAATGAAAGGTTGCCAAGAAAAGAGATGGATCTTGGGCGTTACAAACTCACAAATACAAACCTTATAGGATCACCCACACCTATATATGCAGTAGTTGGAGAGTCTTTCCTTGAGAATCCTTAAAGTATCAGAAACTGACTCCACATCAACTCAGAGCAGGGCTTTCAATGTAGCTACCCCTTGATTTGTGGAACAGTATCCCTGTTGAGATATGATAGGTCACCACTATTTGTGGGTTCCAGAATAATTGTAGACATTTTAATTTGTTTTGATAAGCTTTTCCAGCAGCATGACAATGATTTTAGTCTCTGCCTTGGGTGTTTCTTTGTATTGCTTTTAAATCTTTTCTTTTTTTGTTTTTTTGTTCCTTTATTGACCGGCTGAAAATCATGCTTTCCCAAAAGCTCGGACTTTTTGCTACAAGGAATGTGACAGGAAAAGACACTGGAAAGTGTAGGATAACACTTGCTTTGATGCAAACAAATCAGGAGAAATATTCAGTAAACTGGTGATCTGGACGTGACCTTAGAGAACAGCATATTATTGTTTGAGGCAATCAATACATCAAACAGCTTTCACATTTCTTTTCCAGAGTACTAACCAGGCATTCATGGGGAGACTCTAGGACATTAGTGTGGCTTTAGTATTTAAAGAATATGCCTTCCTCCAAAGGCTACTGGGAGCTGCAGTTTATGCCTCACAGAGCTACAATTGCCAGCTTTAAATGTATGGTGTATGTGAAGTCTAAGATGGCGTAATTGCTGTGTAGAAGAGGGGTTTTCAGCAGGTGAAATTCCTTATTCTGTACACCTATCAAAGGTGCAGGAAAGTCTTGTCTTCTTTTCCACCTGGCCACCCTAAATTATTAGGGAAGCAAGGGTTTATTATTAATGGTGTTTCTGTCCTTGATAACAAAATTTCCCCAATTTGTGAGAATCAATGCTACTTTCTGGATCAGAAAGTATTTCTGGAGGGGCACAAGCTGCCGTTCTTGTCACCAGAAAAGAGTTAAGAAATCAGAAGGCTCTGCACCCTTCTTAAGTTACACCCGGTGGAGAAATACCATCAAGCTGCGTCAGGTCCCAGTCAGGAATAAAAATAAACTCACTTGGCACACAGTATCCTTTCAAGATCTATCAAAATCCATATGGGATCAAGAGTGTTCTTTGTACACCTGTACAGTGTTTGTACATGGACACAGCCAGAGAATGCGGAGCCCATTTTGGAATGTGCAAACTTTTGCCATATTGCCAGACCGAATAATGCTTTTGTGGCAAACTTTTTCAGGTGCTGGCTTTGCTCCGGTTCCATAACATCTAGCTTGCATTTGTCAGATGAGAATGGATACAGATTTGCTTCTGTATTATTGAAATAAATAGTCATTGTAGTACAGATTCAGAAATTTTTAAATGAAGACTTATGATGATTATTAATAATAATTATATTAAGTTCAGAAACTGAAGTTCTACCAATATGTATCTGTCAATATATTGGGATATAATCAATTACAAATTAATTAGATAGCAACAACTGCACAGATAGTGAAAAAAAAATTATTAAAGGATACTGTGTTCTTACAAGCTTGTCATGACTTCGTTAATAATAAGAGTATTAATGGTGAACAAGATTTTCTGAAAGACAGTATGTCCGCCATATCTGATCAATCTGTCTGCAATGTTGAGTTATAGGGGAATATTTGCTGTGTTCTACAGCACTGGATGGGTGAAAGTCATTTGGGATCTACTGGTGATTTGCCATAGTTGGCAAGAGTTTGTGACTCCCAATTGGTGGTTCTTCTTCTTTTAAATGAGGTTGATGAAATGAAGAAATTTGGAAGGGTAGGGATGGCACCAGGAATATAATTTTGTGTTGAAGAACTGTGAGCAATGGTGGCTGATGCTTGTTGGGACAGGTGGGGTCAAAAACAGAGAACCTAACAGCAGGTTAACAATGAAAAGCGGAGACAAATAATTCTAGTCTTACCCTCCTTCTGGTTGAGCCCTGTAAGGCAAAATTGAGACTAAAAGGGAGGAAGCTGATAGGAAGTTCTGTCCCTGGACCTGAGGGAATGGGCAGACCCAATGTGTGCTCTTGTTCTACTGACCTTTGCTCTGTTGTCCTCCTTCTTCCACAGCGTGAGTGTATCTCTGTACATGTTGGGCAAGCTGGAGTTCAAATTGGCAATGCATGCTGGGAGCTTTTCTGCTTAGAACATGGCATCCACCCAGATGGAACTTTCCAGGACAAAGCCAACAAATTTAATGACGACGATTCTTTTACCACATTCTTCAGCGAAACTCGCACAGGAAAACACGTGCCGCGGGCTGTCATGGTGGACCTAGAACCCACTGTAGTAGGTCAGTGGAATAACTAGCAGTAGCATATGCAAATGAGACCACTTAATGTATAACTGTGCTGGGGACCAACGTAGAGTGACTTGATGTGCGTACAAACAGTGTTCCTTCATCTTTAACAGTTGAACTGAAGAAACTTGGTGCCATGCAAGCATTGGGGGGGGGGGGCGAGAGTTATATCTTTCAGAAGTCCTCCTCACGCAATTATAAAGGCACATTATAAAGATCTATTGTGCTATCCAGAGGTCTTCTGTTCTTCAGCAGAAGCCTGCTATGAGGCTGTTGCATATACAGTGGTGCCCCGCAAGACGAATGCCTCGGAAGACGAAAAACTCGCAAGACGAAAGGGTTTTGCGGTTTTTGAGGTGCTTCGTAAGACGAATTTCCCTATGGGCTTGCTTCGCAAGACGAAACGTCTTGCGAGTTTGTTTCCTTTTGAAGCGGGAACTGGGCTGGCAGGGAGCGAGCGAGGGAGCGACCTACCTTTTCCAGAGGGATCCTCTTCTGGAGAGGGCACAGAGGAGGCAGGTGGGCTGGGATCCAGCGGATCTGGCTGGGTCTCTGCGCCGCCGCCGCCTCTGCCTCTCTCTCTCTCTCCCCCTCCCAACGTGGCTGCTCCATTTTGCCCTAACTGCGCGAAGGCAGGAGGAGGCGGGACAAAGGAGGAGGAGGAGGCATCCACTGCGCTTGGGCCGCCGCGAAGGCGCCTTTGCGGGGGTGGGAAGAAGCCGGGAGCAGCTGCCGAGACTGTGGGGAGCCCGGCGGCGTGGCGCAAGGTAACGGGGGGAGCAAGGGAGAGTCCGCGCCGGGCGCTTCGTGCGTCCGCCCTCGGTTCCTGGGCTCGAACTTCCTTTGGCACCTCGTGGAGAGAGAGGGAGAGGAGCGGGCTGGGGCTTTGATGTGGGACACGGTTTGGCGGAGCGAAGACGCGGCAAGGCTTGGCGACAGAGGAAGGGGGGCTGTTTTCGTGGGGAGGTGGGAGGGGGTGTCTTTGCCTCTTCCCGGCAACAGATCCTCCAGGCTGTTGAAAATCCTCCTGCTGGGGAGCGACCCGCTTTGTGCTTTGCCCGCTATCCCATTATAATACAGTACCAGGGTGCATCCGTGCTTCGCAAGACGAAAAAATCCGCAAGACGAAGAAACTCGCAGAACGGATTAATTTCGTCTTGCGAGGCACCACTGTACTGGGTTCATTCATATTCCCTTATGGGTGTCAGCTGCATCCCATTGCTGACAGAGAGGGGGAGAGCGTGGAGAGACAGGAGGAGGTAATTAGGCAGGAATGTGGAAAGAGGGAGGAGCAGCCTAGTTGCAGTAAAAGCCTGAGCTCCGAGAACAAGGAGAAGGAAGGGGGGAGTTCAAGGGAGAAGACACAGACTGACAGTTTAAGCTCGGACTCAGAGGGAGGGCCACCGGAAATAGCCCATTCCATGATGCGCAGGCGAGCAAGAATTAACGAGAGGTATGAACAGGAAAGGAAGCAAAAGTGGGGCTTTAAATAGGGGAAGAGGAAGGGGCGGAACTCAGACTTGGCAACGGCTAATTTGGAAGCAGACCCTGAGTGACTGAGCTCCAGAGTGATTTGTATGTTTTGAGCAATAAACCTGAGTTAATTGCTGCTGGAGTTGTCTCGCTATTGTGGGAGAGACCCAACCATTACAATGGGTCATTAGTCATTAGTCAACCTTGCACAAGGTTGGGCACAAAGAGCTTATCTTGCTTGTTGCAGAGTGTATAAAACATTGGTGCACCAAGATCTATTTTCAAGGATTTGTGATTTCCCTCCCATAAATGTTGAAAGCTGCATGTCCTTGGTTCAGGTAGCATATCTCTCTTAGTGTGTGTGTTTGTGTATGATAACATTTCTTCGTGAACATTTCTTGCTATGTGTTCTGAGAAAAACACAACTATTTGCCACAAAGGAAGAGCAGCTCATGCCATCTTCTGTTTGCTCCCACATGCATGCACACCCACACACCCACACCCCAAGCAACAGCTGCATACCACATAGTTATCAGAAGAAGCATCAGCTCAGGAGCTTCTTTTGGCATAGCAATGGCTGTCTTGTGCTGCACCATCAACATTAATCTTGCTGTTCCCTGGCCTAGTCTGAACCAGCAGGGATTACCTTGGGTGTTGACGCAGCCCCTGTTTGGCTTGTAAGCATCATGCACAAGTATGCGTCTGTGGAAAAATGCTGGATATGCTTGTTTCTGTTTAGTTTGTTTAGTTCCGCTTAGTGCTTTGAAAAAGATCCATGCCCTCTGTTGTACATCACAGCCAGGGTTCAAGGCCTTGCACAATAATAACCGTGTTTAATTACTGTTTAACAGTAGCTGCTTGGTGACATGATCTGAATGCAGTAGGTGGGGCTGGGGAGACAATCATTTTGAATATTGATGGACTGGGCTTGGATCAGGTAAATTCATTTTAATTTTGCTAGTTAACTGCACATTCTTTACTGACGGAAACGTCTGCAGGGCGGACTTTGGTAATTTGGTCCCCTGAGCAAGGACAAAATTTGACACCACCCACGCTAAATATTTCAATTTTCCCCACAATAATTGCTTTTGGTACAGTTGTTTTTTTATGGCTCTTCAGTAGGTACCGATATAAATATAGGTATCAACATCACTATTAATGTACGCCCCCCTTGCCTTGGCACCCAATGTGGAAACCTGCCCATACCACCCTAAATCTGGCGCTGACCTGCAACCAAGAAGAGCCTTCCATTTCCCAGGCTAATTTACCTGATCCATCCTCTGTCTCTACATATTACGCACAGTTCTCTCTCTCTCTCTCCTTCCACTTTTGGGAGTTGTTACCAAGCAGCTACTGCTAAACAGGCCTGCAACGTGGGAACAGCACAAGGCCTTGAACCCCAGAAGTCCCACTCTGACATCAACAGGAGCCACCAATCCTTTCTCAAAGCACACAAAACGTAAAACACACACCCAGCATTCCTCCATAGACCCGACACTCTGTTCAGAATCGCAGAGAAAGCCAGAATAATTTAATAATTTTAAAGTTCATCTGGTTTACAACAAAGACGGCATCCTATATAAGGTATTCAGTTGGCACATATCAGCATTAAAGAAACATGTCCACAACAAACTCTGACCACACTCTGCTTACTTTCCTTAACAGATGAAGTGCGGGCTGGAGCTTACCGCCAGCTTTTCCACCCAGAGCAGCTGATCGCTGGCAAGGAAGACGCTGCCAATAACTATGCCCGTGGCCACTACACCATTGGCAAGGAGAGCATCGACATGGTACTAGATCGCATTCGCAAGCTGGTAGGTAGAAGGTTGCCAATGGAAAGTGATATGCGGTTTGGGAGCAGGATGAGGCAGAAATCTGGAGGGCTATAATTTTTTATTTCATTCTCAGAAGTTAGGTCCATAGTGGACAGAGGCTGGATGTTTCATTATTCAGAGATCAGTGGTTTTCCAAAATTAGGAAATATTTCCTCAATAACTGTGAGGAAATATTTTCCACACCACCTTCTTGGCCAAGGAACCTCTGCATGCTTGCCACATACCTCCTGTGCTGTAGGAAATCCTGGGGCATATTCTAAGGAACCTATGAAGACACTGGCCAACCCTGTTGGACCTATAGCAGAGAAATGAATGAAACTTACTTCCTCCTCTACTTAGCTTGTTTGGTGGGCTTCTTGTTGGGGGTGGGGAAAGCTGATTTATTTAATTTAAAATACTTAGAAATGTCTTCATATTTAAAAATCTCAAAGCATTATATAAAAGGATGAAAATCTCACAGCACATAATAAAATAATATAAAACCAGCATAAAATACAATTCCACAGCTTCACAGTGATGAATATCAAGAATCTAAACACTTGAGCAAAGTGTATATGCTGAAAACATAAAATGTTGCTGTATACCAGAGGTCAGCAAACTTTTTCAGCAGGGGGCCGGTCCACTGTCCCTCAGACCTTGTGGGGGGCCAGACTATGTTTTTTTTTGGGGGGGGGAATGCATTCCTATGCCCCACAAATAACCCCGAGATACATTTTAAATAAAAGGACACATTCTACTCATGTAAAAACAGGCTGGTTGCTGGACCGTCCGCGGGCCAGATTTAGAAGGCGATTGGGCCAGATCCGGCCCCCGGGCCTTAGTTTGCCTACCCATGCTGTATAGCATATGTCCATGTTCCATGCGGCAGGTGCCATCACACTAAAAGCCCTACTCAGGATAGCCACAAAATGGATTTGATATACAGATGATTGGATATCCGTGCCCCAGGAGATTATACCATTGTCCAGGCTGTGAATCAATCAATCAATCAATCAATCAATCAATCAATCAATTAAATTTCTATACTTCCCATCATCTGAGGATCAGTGTGGTGGCACTTCATCCCTGCCAATCCCTGCCTCACAACACCACTGGTTAACCCCTAATTATTATTCATTATGGTTCCCTTTCCAGACTGACGCCTGTTCTGGGCTACAAGGATTCCTGATTTTCCACAGCTTCGGAGGAGGCACAGGTTCTGGCTTTACCTCCCTGCTGATGGAGCGCCTGTCTGTGGACTATGGCAAGAAGTCCAAACTGGAGTTTGCCATCTACCCAGCCCCCCAGGTTTCCACTGCGGTGGTGGAGCCCTACAATTCTATCCTGACCACCCACACCACCTTGGAGCATTCCGACTGCGCCTTCATGGTGGACAACGAGGCCATCTACGACATCTGCCGCCGCAATCTGGACATTGAGCGCCCCACGTACACCAACCTGAACCGCCTCATCAGCCAGATTGTCTCCTCCATCACCGCTTCCCTGCGTTTCGACGGCGCCCTCAACGTGGACTTGACTGAGTTCCAGACCAACCTGGTGCCTTACCCTCGCATCCACTTCCCCTTGGTGACCTATGCGCCCATCATCTCCTCCGAGAGGGCTTACCACGAGCAGCTCTCCGTGGCCGAAATCACCAGCTCCTGCTTTGAACCCAACAACCAGATGGTGAAATGCGACCCCCGCCATGGGAAGTACATGGCCTGCTGCATGCTCTACCGAGGTGATGTGGTGCCCAAAGACGTCAACGTAGCCATTGCTGCCATCAAGACCAAGAGGACAATCCAGTTTGTGGACTGGTGCCCAACTGGCTTCAAGGTGAGAAGGGACAAGCAGGTGCTCTCTTTTGTAGGACTAAAACCTTAACACCCACAATGATGATGATAATAATAATAATAATAATAATTGTTAAGTTGTGGGTGAACATATCAGACGACACAGAGATTCTTTAAACAGCTCTTGTTTATTCACAGGCTAGAACAGAACTGAACTGAAGGGTTCAGCCAGCCTGCTTATATAGAGATCCACTAGAACACAACAGTAACCATTTTCCGTAACTATCCAATCACTGAACGTAACTTTCAATCTCTTATTTGCATATGTGGACCTGAGTGAAAACTATCTACTGTATCCCCCTGCTGGCCCAGGGTGAGAACTTCAGTACATAACACCAATAATAATAATAATAATAATAATAATAATAATAATAATAATAATAATAATAATGGTGACAAAAGTATTGTTTGTATGTGCTGCAGTCATACCAAGAGTCATTTTTTGAGTGGACCCTTGTGGCTGGGAACTGCATTTGGAGGACTAATTTTGCCCCTCTCCACCTCTCTGCTCAGTCCTCTAAGGGCAATTTTGAGATCAAGGAGGAGGAAGCTGACAGGCGCAGCCACCCCCACCCCACTCCAGGCTGATTTCAAGTTGGAATGCTGGCAGATGGGTTAGAGGTCCATTCACCTGAACTGTCCAGCCTCCCCCATCCCGCTCTTCTTGGAAGAGTTTGCGGGGGGAGCACGTGCAAGCCTAGCATGGAGAAGGGCCATATCTCTATGGCAGAGCATCTAGTATGCACACACAAGGTCCATGATTCAATTCCAAGCATGTCCAGGTTAGGCTGGGAAATGCTGCCAGCCAGTGTACGCAATAGTAGATGGACCAATAGCCTCACTCCGTCTCCGGCAGTTTCCTATGTCATTATTAGTATAGTGGTACCTCGGGTTAAGAACTTAATTTGTTCTGGAGGTCCGTTCTTAACCTGAAACTATTTTTAACCTGAAGCACCACTTTAGCTAATGGGGCCTCCCGCTGTTGCTGCGCGATTTCTGTTCTCATCCTGAAGCAAAGTTCTTAACCCGAGGTACTATTTCTGGGTTAGCGGAGTCTGTAACCTGAAGCGCCTGTAACCTGAAGCATCTGTAACCCGAGGTACCACTGTATGACTATTTAAAAAACTTTATACCATCAAACCTTGGTTGTCAAACACCCTGGAACTTGTATGTATTTGGCTTGCAAACGCCGCAAACCTGAAAGTGAGTGTTCCGGTTTGCGAATGTTCTTTTGGAACCTGAATGTCCGATGGGGCTTCCTGCAGCCAATCAGAGGTTTCCGAACATTTTGGCAGTCAAACGGACTTTCGGAACGGATTCTGTTTCGACTTTCCAAGGTATGACTGTACTGCTTTCATCAATAGATCTCGGAGCAGTTCACAACATAAAATGACAATATAAAACCTCAAAATACATAGTAAAAAATAAGAACCACAACAAACCAACCCCCCTCCCACTCATACGTACAGTGGTACCTTGGGTTGAGAACTTAATTCGTTCTGGAGGTCCGTTCTTAACCTGAAACTGTTCTTAACCTGAAGCACCACTTTAGCTAATGGGGCCTCCCGCTGCCGCCGCACAATTTCTGTTCTCATCCGAAAGCAAAATTCTTAACCCAAGGTATTATTTCTGGGTTAGCAGAGTCTGTAACCTGAAGCGTCTGTAACCTGAAGCGTCTGTAACCTGAGGTACTACTGTATATGCAGTCCTCATCAGCTAATTTTTTTTAGGGGGTTCATGGCTGATTTTAAATGCAATGCACTTCTGCATATCCCAGGCATAGTGAAACCTTAGTTCTATTTGTAGCTGCTCCCACTCTGCTTCCCCCGGAAGCTTGAGCTTGCTATTTGAGGGAATGGTGAGAATGGGCCAGTATCAGCTGAGGCGTTCTGCTGCCCATGCTGAATTTCTGTCTGTACAGTTGCCTTTTCTTCCCTCCTCTTGGTTTCCAGGTTGGCATCAATTACCAGCCGCCGACCATCGTTCCCGGGGGCGACCTTGCTCAAGTGCAGCGTGCCGTCTGCATGCTCAGCAACACCACCGCCATCGCTGAGGCCTGGGCGAGGCTGGACCACAAGTTTGATCTGATGTACGCCAAGCGAGCTTTTGTGCACTGGTATGTTGGTGAGGGCATGGAGGAAGGAGAGTTTGCGGAGGCCCGGGAAGATTTAGCTGCGCTGGAGAAAGATTACGAGGAAGTTGGGACAGACTCCTTTGAAGAAGAAAATGACGGGGAAGAGTATTAAAAATGGTGCTCCTGGCAGCTCTTCATTGCACTGGGGATACAGCTCACCAAACGCTTTGCTGCACAGCAGCTTCTGATCATTTCATGGGGGGTGGATGGAGGAATGGACAGTGGAAGGGTTTGGTGGATTGGACCCTGTGCCTACTCCTGCAGTATATGTAAAAAATAGACCATCCATCTGCAAAAAAACAATTTCCAGTGACTTCCTTTCTTTATTATGCCTTATATTGTGAGGGGGGAGGAAATATTCTGCTCCTTTCTTAAAGCAGTCCAAGAAAAAAATACAAGTACAGTGGTACCTTGGGTTAAGAACTTAATTTGTTCCAGAGGTCCGTTCTGAACCTGAAACTGTTCTTAACCTGAAGCACCACTTTAGCTAATGGAGCCTCCTGCTGCTGCTGCGCCACTGGAGCACGATTTCTGTTCTCATCCTGAAGCAAAGTTCTTAACCCAAGGTAATATTTCTGGGTTAGCGGAGTCTGTAACCTGAAGCGTATGTAACTTGAGGTACCACTATACCAGTTAGTACCAGTTAGTACCAGTATGGCATGGGTGACACAGGACTCAGGGGCTGTTGCAACATCCCTGGTTAGGACTTATGCCTCAACTGTCCTACATTCCAGATTCATAGCCAGAAATTCTGAAGTGAGGAGGCCGAAGGCAGTAGGGAATCATTGCAACAGATGAAACACAAGTAGTCTAAAAGATCTGGAATTCATTAGTCTGCGTTATTTCTTTGTAAGCAATTGGGTAAAATATTGGCTACGTACCTGCTTATAAGTCAACGGAAAAGGCTACAAAGTTGAATTTAAAAAGGAAGAAAGAACATTCAACATTCTGGAAGGGGGCATGGAATATCTCCAAGTGGGCTAGGCTCCTATAGTCCTGCCTCCTCCTCCTTTTTTACCTTGCCTTATAGCATAGCTGTCAACGTTTCCCTTTTTTAAAGGGAAATTCCCTTATTCCAAATTGCGAGGATTCCTCACAAGAAAAGGGAAAAGTTGACAGCTATGCCTTATAGCTACAGCCGTAGACAGCCTGATGTTCTGATACTTGTTCCAGGTAAAACATTTTCCCCATTTTATCTTCTGGAGATATGTCAGGGATGCCTTTAAAAAGTTTTATTATTGTGCACTCGATTGTGCTAGACTTCTGCGCATTTCAGCCCCCTCCTTGTTCCAGGTGACCTGTTTATTGAGAATTCTTCCTGATTTGTTTGCACCCACTTTGCAAGGAAGTTGGAAGACCTTGACCATTTATTGAGCATTCATTCTGATTTGTTTGTGGGTGGTCTCATGACATTGCATCAACAAAGTGTTTCTCCACCTTTAAGTGCATTTCCCCATCCTTTTTACCAAAAATAAAAATAAAAATCCATTTTTGGGGGAGAAACAAGTACTGTTGAATGTACATAAGTAAAATCTTCCATCATTTCAATGCCTTGGTACATAAAAAGTGATGTTGTTGTTACCATCAAGTAATGTTGTTAATCATAAAATATATATCGTAAGAATATTTAAATATATATAATGTTACACAAGAATGTCTTGTTTAATTTTCTAATTTAGTGAGGCAATCAGTCCCAGAGAACTCACTTCGATGGGCTATTTGTAATTAAATAAAATCATTTCATTGAGTTTACTAAGTAATTAAGATCCCATTAAAAATCAATCAAATCAGATATATATATATCCCAGTTTAAACTAATCCCAGAGATTACTTAATTTAATATCTCTCCAAGCAACATATGTGGATTTTTACAGTTCACATTCTTTTCTTCCAGTAAGAAATTGGCATTTAAAAAAAAAAACCCACAAATCTATTATCCTGTTGTCAACCTAATTATGTTTGTTTTATCAGACCTTAGCAAATTTTCTAATTCAGGAGGGTCTGCTTTTCTCCTCATCACTGACATACAGTGGTATGAGTTACTGTTAGAAGATTAATGATCATTATTGAGGAAAGTATTACATTTCTGTTGCTAACAATTCTTAGAATACACAGATACATTTGACGCTTGCAACACATTTATTATGGTACAACTATTCATGGGCTACAGCTAGGGGTGGATGAACTTGTCAGTTTCATTTTCTCTCAATTTGTAAATCCACCCCCCTGACTTGCTAAGTTCAGTTCTCCACATTTCTGCATTAGTTCCTTAAAAAAGGACTCATGAAAATTTATCAGCATTTTAGTGCAAATTTATCCTAATATACATATTTCTATGTGCCATTTTGTTGGATATACATTTATTGGCAATTCATTTCCCTATATAAAATGCATTTTTGTATGTTAGTTTCACCAATATATGCATTTTTATGTATGCTTTACCCTGGCACATACATTTTTGTACACATTACTTGGCTTGAAAACCACATTGCAACATTCAGAGAAGTGTAACTTTTGAAAGAGGGCTGTGTTTCATTTTGTGTATTGCTCCTGAAAGCACAGGTTTGATAGATTCATCTTTACGTGAATGAAATGGATGAAATTTCCCCCTCACCCCTAACTACTGTCCATCAGGTGCATGAAATGGCATCTTGAGTTGCAGGAACCAAATCTACATAGTTGGGGGGGGGGCTTGTAAACATGAAGGTCAGCAAGAAATAAAATGTAGAAAGGGGCAGACCTTGATAATGGCCTTATTAACAGGGACTATTCACTGTGGCAAACCCAGACACCGGTTCTTGTCTCCCGATCTACTGTGGCAGCACCTTTGGGGAATATTCCATTTCTGAATTTCCTGAATGCATCCCCTTCGCCTCTGCAACTCTATGAAACGAAACTTTTGTCAAGCTACCTAACATGAGGGCTGGGGAAATGCTATGTTCTGTATAGTCTGAAGCAGCCAGGTGGCCAAACTGGTGAGGGCATTTTTAAACCTCTTGGTATTTGCCACACTGGGTCTCTCCTAGCCCTATTAGGAGATGCAGGGAAATTCAGCCTTTGATCTTCTACATGCAAATCATGCGGTCTCCCACTAAACCACAGCCTTAGCACATTAAATGAAAAACAGACCTGAGGTTTGACAGAAACCCGCTGAAACCAGGAAACAATAGTAGCTGAGCTCCCACTGTTGACATACGCAGAAGCTAAGAAATGAAACTTAAAGGCTGTGGGGAAGGTCTGATCACTGCTGATCGAGGCAGCTGTCACTCACACAACCCAGCAGGGTGTGTGTGTGTCATCAAGTCCCAACAATTGAATACCAGTGGATTAGGGGGCAGAGATCATATAATTGTTCTGTGTCAAGTTACATTTCGTGAAAGAATCAGTTGCCATAACTTGGCTTAGGATATATCTTCTTAAATCCATTTTTGATGCTGCGTGGCATGGTAATTTTTTTTTTTGGGGGGGGGGGGGAGTCCACGTTATGCTGGTGAGATTTACCGTACTTTTCTCCTTCCTCAGGAGGAAATTGCACTGATCTCAGTCAGGGCTTATTCCCTAGAAAGCATACACAGGACTGGTCATATTTCGGAACGACAGTTCAATCCTATACTCAGAAGTAAGCCCCACTGACTTCAATGGCACAGCCAGGTAAGGTATAATGGATGTCAGCCTCATTGGATTCAGTGGGCACTTCCCTCTGTGTAAGCGCACATATAGGATAAGGCTCAGGGCCAGATTTAGGTTTAATGAGGCCCTAAGATACTGAAAGGGACGCGGGTGGCGCTGTGGGTAAAACCTCAGCGCCTAGGATTTGCCGATCGCATGGTCGGCAGTTCGAATCCCCGTGGCGGGGTGAGCTCCCGTCGTTCGGTCCCAGCTCCTGCCCACCTAGCAGTTTGAAAGCACCCTTAAGTGCAAGTAGATAAATAGGTACCGCTTTATAGCGGGAAGGTAAACGGCGTTTCCGTGTGCTGCGCTGGTGCTGGCTCGCCAGAGCAGCTTCGTCACGCTGGCCAAGTGACCTGGAAGTGTCTGCGGACAGCGCTGGCTCCCGGCCTCTAGAGTGAGATGAGCGCACAACCCTAGAGTCTGTCAAGACTGGCCCGTAAGGGCAGGGGTACCTTTACCTTTTAAGATACTGAAGGTAATAGGGCACTTTATATTTTAGGGAGCAGGCTGGCAGGCGCGGCCCATTACTTACATTCGTTCTGCCCGGACACTGAGGACCAGTGCCGAGGGCCTTCTGGCGGTTCCCTCACTACGAGAAGTGAAGTTACAGGGAACCAGGCAGAGGGCCTTCTCGGTAGTGGGACCCACCCTGTGGAACGCCCTCCCATCAGATGTCAAAGAGAAAAATAACTACCAAACTTTTAGAAGACATCTGAAGGCAGCCCTGTTTAGGAAAGTTTTTAATGTTTTATAGGTTATTGTATTTTAGTGTTTTGTTGGAAGCCGCCCAGAGTGGCTGGGGAAACCCAGCCAGATGGGCAGGGTATAAATAATAATTTATTTATTATTATTATTCTTCTTATTACATCATAGGAACCTATACAACACAAAACACTGTTGCTGTACGTAGGTTTTATTTTATTTGTTTTATTTTTTGGAAATCTACATCCAGTTTTTTTGCGGCCCCCAAGAGAGGCCCCAAGCTATAGCTTGTTTAGCTCATACGTAAATCCAGCACTGATCAAGCTCAAACAACACAGGTGCCCGTCAGCAATATTATTTGAAATCACCATGATTAAAAATCATCGCTGGAGGGTATCTAGATAAAAGGCAGTCTGCAGTGGCATAGCATTAAACTAAAAAACAAATATCTGCTCACCCCTCCATGCGGGCATTAAAAAAAAACAACGTACCGGACCCTGCTTAGCTACCCCCATCCCTCTTTAATAATTGAAAATGCAGAAGCGCGCCTAACGTGTGATCCAGTGCCGGATTTACGTATAAGCTAAACAAGCTATAGCTTAGGGTCCCACTCTCTTGGGGCCCCCCAAAAAATTTAAAGGAAAAAAACACCTGGTTGTACATTTCCAAAATATAAGACAAATAAAATAAAACTAGCCTGCTCGCCTGCTCCCTAAAATATCACTGGTTTGCTCCTATTAGGTCCATAAATTACCATATAGCATATATTCAACACAAAAAAACCCAGTCCAGCTGTCCTTTGTTGTTGACAAAGGACAGCTGGACATATAAAGGGCCCCATTACCTTCATCAAACCTAAGCCCGGCTGTGGTGCGGTCCCTTTTCTGCTGGAAGCGGGTGGGGGCGGAGCTGCTCCGGAGCCGCGCTTAAGTTTCACTTTCCAAGCTGTTCTCTCAAATGGGGAAATCAAAACTCATCTCGGCGGCTCCGCTCTGCCCCCTAGCCGAGGAGCGCCGCGCTCAGAAGGGAAGCTTGGCGAGCGAGGCGCGGACGGGCTCGTTTCCACGCTCGTGGAAAGCGAAGTGAAGCGGGGCAACGAGGAGATCCGAGCGGCTGGCGGTCGAGGCGCAGTAAGTCCCAATTCTTCTCGTGCTCAAACGTTGCATATTCCGTTTGCTTGCTTGTTTTTTTTTTGAATATTTCAGCTCTTCGGAGAGAGTCGGTGCTCCACTTGCTTTGGGAAAATAGCGCTGTTTGCACGCGACTCTTAGTCCCTGGGTCGTGGGTTCGAGTTCTGCATTGCAGCGGGGTGGACTAGATGATCCAATTTTGTGATTCAATCCTTAACTTCATTCTACCGGGATGGCTCTTTGCGATCAGGAACTTCTCCCCAGACTTATCAGCAGGCTGACAAAAACTACTTGTTGAGAAACAAAATAATAGGGAATAGGGAATAGAAAGGAGCCCCAGAGGGTTCATTGGGTTCACTCAAAAATTAAAGGGTGCAGGGTTAACTGAGCGACATGGATAAGGGATCATATTCTGCCTCCGTTTTTAACTCAGAAATTGGCATACTCCTATAGCAGAGAAAAATTGGTCTGTCCTATTTAAAAGTGCATCATTAGGTGGAGCTGAGAGAGTCTCTTGCTGAAGTCCGGGTTCACCTACTGCTCTCCAGATTTCTCTGCCTTCAATTCCCTCCAGCCCCAGCCATCACCTGGCAAAAATTTTGACCCTGGTCTGAATGCTTATGTTGCCCCTACAATGCCACCACTTTAGACCGCAGTGCTTATAACTTCACTTCAGAACCACACCATTAACATTTATCTTCTTCCTGATAAGTTAGATCAAAACCCCCAAATTTGCCAGCCAGCCCTGTGATGAGGGGGAAAGAGAAAGAAATACTCTGAGCATGTGCAGGTTTTCATTTTAAACACATGTACATCATAGCACCATCGTGAACTTCAGAAATAAAATAGCGTTTTCTGCGGCTGCCCTGGTGCTAAACACATTTGCATGGGAGTAAACACCATTTTGTTGTAGGAAAGGGTAATATATATTTAAAGTGGAAAAGAATAAAATGTACCTGCCTGGCCAACTGCTCCAGATATATGACATTAAGGAGAATAAAAATAAGAAATGATGATGCACGGTGAGCAGCAAGCCCTCTTCTCCCTCCTGGGAAAACAGCAGCAGGAGCAACAAGAGACAACATGAGGTGCTTGTTTTGGGAGAAAATTGATTTGCATGTTGTCTACTTGTGTTGCATTATAGTACGTTTGATGGGTCAGAGAGCTGGACGTCCAAAGCCAAAAAGGACATTCAAGCTGGAGGAATATCAGACGATGACGGCTGAGGCAGATGAGGAGAGCTCTACAGAGGAAGCTTTGGAGACGTGCAGCCAGAAGCTCCAAGAGATTTGTGGGATGGCAGACTCAAGAAATGGTACATCTTATTTTTTTCTTACATTTTCATTTCTCTCTCTTTTTTTAAAAATGATATTTATTAAAGTTTCACATAGAAAAAGACACATCAATAAGAAAAAAAATTTAAAATTAAGAAGAAAAATACAGTATACAAAATACAGAGAAAAAAAGAAAAAGAAAAAACAGTTAAAAACAATTCCATCTTTTCATCACTACTTTTGGATTCACTTATTTTCTGGACCTCCTCATACCTCCCTCTTTTGTATTCCAATTCAGTTTGTTTGTCCAGCAATTTCTTTCCCTCCTTTTTAATCCCAATCCTTGATCTTAATATAATATAACATTAAATTTTTACCTATTAATAGCCAATTTTCCATTCTTTTAACCTTTTTAATCCTAATCCTTAATCTTGATCTATATATAACTTTAAAGCCTGTACAGCTAGAAACCACTTAATTTCAATCCATCATCACTCTAACATTCTTTAATTTTGCAATATTTCTGTAGGTAATCTTTAAATTTCTTCCAATCTTCTTCCACCAACTCTTCTCCCTGGTCACGGATTCTGCCAGTCATTTCCGCCAATTCCATATAGTCCATCAATTTCATCTGCCATTCCTCCAGTGTGGGTAGCTCTTGTGTCTTCCAATACTTTGCGATGAGTATTCTTGCTGCTGTTGTTGCATACATAAAGAAAGTTCTATCCTTTTTTAACACCGATTGGCCGACTATGCCCAGGAGAAAGGCCTCTGGTTTCTTCAAGAAGGTATATTTAAATACCTTTTTTAATTCATTATATATCATTTCCCAGAAAGCCTTAATCTTTGGGCACGTCCACCAAAGGTGAAAAAATGTACCTTCGATTTCCTTACATTTCCAACATTTATTATCAGGCAAATGGTAAATTTTTGCAAGCTTGACTGGGGTTATGTACCACCTGTATATCATTTTCATAATATTCTCTCTTAAGGCATTACATGCCGTAAATTTCATACCTGTGGTCCATAACTGTTCCCAGTCAGCGAACATAATGTTGTGTCCAACGTGTTGTGCCCATTTAATCATAGCAGATTTCACCGTTTCATCCTGAGTGTTCCATTTCAGCAGCAAGTTATACATTCTTGACAAATTCTTAGTTTTGGGTTCTAACAGTTCAGTTTCTAATTTTGATTTTTCCACCTGGAAGCCAATTTTCTTGTCCAAATTGAATGCCTCCATTATCTGAAAATAATGAAGCCAGTCTCGCACTTTGTTTTTAATTTTTCAAAACTCTGCAATTTCAGTCTATCTCCATCTTGTTCCAAAATTTCCCAATATTTCGGCCATTTGACCTCCATATTGAGCTTTTTCAAGGCTTTCGCTTCCATTGGTGACAGCCAACTTGGAGTTTTGTTTTCCATTAAACCCTTGTATCTTATCCAAACATTAAACAGTGCTTTCCTGACAATGTGATTTTTAAATGCTTTATGTGCTTTGACCTTATCATACCACAGATATGCATGGCATCCAAATACATTGTTAAAACCTTCTAGGTCCAAAATGTCAGTGTTTTCAAGAAGCAGCCATTCTTTCAACCAGCAAAAGCTGCTGATTCATAATAAAGTTTAAGGTCTGGCAGGGCAAATCCACCTCTTTCCTTTGCATCCGTTAGTATTTTAAATTTTATTCTGGGCTTCTTGCCCTGCCAGACAAATCTAGAAATATCTTTCTGCCACCTCTTGAAACAATCCATTTTGTCCACAATTTGCAAAGTTTGAAACAAAAACAACATTCTAGGCAATACATTCATTTTTATCGCAGCAATACGGCCCAGCAGTGAAAGCTTCAAATTTGACCAAATTTCTAAATCTTTTTTCACTTCAGCCCAGCATTTTTCATAGTTATCTTTAAATAAATTCCCATTTTTTTGCTGTCATGTTAATCCCCAGGTATTTAACTTTCTTAACCACTGTTAAACCTGTCACATTCTGAAACCTCTCTCTCTCCATTGATGTTAGATTTTTCTCTAAAACCTTAGTTTTTAACTTGTTCAATTTAAATCCTGCAACTTGACCAAATTCTTGAATCAGTTCTAAAACCCTTTTAGTACTAGATTCTGGCTCCTGTAACGTCAGTACTAAATCATCTGCAAATGCTCTCAATTTGTACTGTTTAGCTCCAACCTGAATACCTTTAACCAACTGGTCCCTTCTAATCATGTTCAGCAAAACCTCCAGGACCAAAATAAAAAGAAGTGGGGAAATTGGGCAACCTTGTCATGTCCCTTTTTCTATTTTAAGTTCTTCCGTCACCACATTATTTACAATTAATTTAGCCTTTTGTTCTGAATAAATTGCACTTATACCATTCTCAAAGCCTTGGCCTACCCCCATACCCTGTAGATTCTTCTTCATAAAGCTCCAAGAAATATTGTCAAGAGCTTTCTCCGCGTCCACAAATATCAAAACTGCTTTAGTATTTATATTCACTTCTAGTTTTTCCAGAATATCAATTATATTCCTCAAATTGTCAGACAAATGTCTTCCTGGGAGAAAGCCCGCTTGATCTTTATGAATCTCTTCCATCAACACTTTTTTAAATCTCTTAGCCAAAATGTCTGCAAAAATTTTGTAATCCACATCGAGTAATGATATAGGGTGGTAGTTCTTAAGCTGTGTCTTTTCAGTCTCTGTTTTCGGTACAAGTGTAATATATGCTTCTTTCCACGACTCTGGTGCTCTTTTCCCCTCCATTATTTCATTGCAGACCTCTTTCAAAGGTTGTATTAACCATTCTTTCAAGGATCTGTAATATCTAGAAGTCAATCCATCCGGTCCTGGAGACTTGCCCAATTGCATATTTTGGATGGCACCTTCTATCTCCTGTTCAGTTATTTTATAGTTCAACATTAGTTTATTTTCTTGAGAGATTTTTTGTAATCCATTTGTTTTCAAAAATTGATCTAGATCAGTTTCTTTCAGTGGCCCTTGTGTATGTAGTTGTTTAAAGTACCTCTGGAAGCAATTTCTAATCTCTGCTGAGTTCTGTATATTCCTTCCTTCCACTTATAGGTTCGTGACTGTATTTAATTTTTGTCTTTTTTTCATTTGCCAAGCCAACAGTTTACCACATTTGTTAGCCGACTCAAATGTCTTTTGTCTCATTTGTTTAATTTTCCATTCTATTTCCTGATTCATCATTTTCATATATTGTACTTGATGTAACTTTAATTCTCTCAAAATCTCTTGAGATTTTGGATTTGTTCTCAATCTTTTTTCACTTTCCTTTATTTTCTTCAATATCTCATCCTTCTCATTTTGAATTCTCTTCTTTACTGCATTCTGTTGTATCAGGAACCCTCTCATAACCGCTTTACTTGCGTCCCAGATTACTCTTTTTTCCACATTGGTGCTCAAATTTATCTCAAAATAATCTCTCAAGGTTTTTTGGGCCTTCTTAAGCACTTCTTCATCTCTGAATAAGGTGTCATTCATCCTCCATCTAAAGGAGCCAGTTGGTGTTAGTTTCATTTCCATCTTGACAGCATTATGGTCGGAACAAGTTTCCGGGCAGATTTCCACCTTTCTTGTCTTTGGTGCCATTCCTCTAGTTATCCATATTTGGTCAATTCTTGTCCATGTCATTTTGGCTTCAGAAAAGAAGGTTCCCTCTTTAGCCATGGGGTTTCTTGTTCTCCAGATATCAACTAAGTCCAAGTTGTCTGTCATCTCAAAAAAGGTTTTCGGTAGTCTACCATCCTTAGTGACTACCTGTCTTTGTGCCTTGTCCATATGCGTAGATACCACTCCATTCATGTCTCCCATCAAAATCATGTTGTAATCCAAATAGTCCATCAAAGTCTCATGCAACTTCTTAAAAAAATCAGATTTCCCTTCATTTGGTGCGTAAATTCCTACTATCAAAAATTTTTCTCCTTGTGTTTGAATTTCAATTGCCACAAATCTTTCTTGGTCATCTTTAAAGATAAATTTCGGTGATAGTCTGTCCTTTGCATAAATCACAACCCCTCTTTTTTTAACTTTGTCCGATGAAATAAACTCCTGACCAAGTCTTTTATTTATCAATAATTTCCTGTGTAATCTTGTTATATGTGTTTCTTGTAGACAAATCAAGTCCAATTGTTCCTTTTTTAATAAATGAAACACAGATTTCCTTTTCCGAGGGGAATTGAGGCCATTACTATTCCAGCTTAGTAGTTGCAGGGCCATGATGTAATTATTTTAGTTCTCCTCCAACAGCACCTAGTGCCTGTTCCTGTTCCGTCGGTGGTATCACGTTTTTCAGGCGGTCTTTTAGTTCCAGAGATAGTCCTGGTGTGTCTAAAGTTTCTCTTACAATTGCTCTTAACTCTCCTGTAGCTTTCTTTTGTAGGTCTTCTCCGTGGTCTCTCCAGAATTTGTCTTTGTTGTCTTCCGATCTTATTTTCCTCTTCTTTCCTTTGTAACTAAAGGATAGGCCTTGAGGAAACTCCCACCTAAAGTTAATTCTATTACTTCTCAACAAGGTAACCAGGTCTTTGTAGTTAGATCTGAGATCCAGAAGGTGTTTCGGAATGTCCTTAAATATCTCCACTTTTGACTGTTGTATTTCCAGTGTCTTCTGGAAATGCAAACTCAAGATCTTGTCCCTCTCTTCTTTTGTTCGGAGAGTAATCAAACAATCTCTCACCTTCTTTCCTCCTCCTTTTCCAAGTCTAAAAGCATTCACTATTTTAAAGCTGTCTTTTGCCAATTCTGGATTCCAAAAATCTATGAATTCCTGTGTAAGAAAATCAACTAAATTGTCTTTCTCCACTTCAGGTACGGCTCTGACCCTTAGGTTCACTTGTTTCTCCTTCAACTCAATCATAGACAGGGTTAACTTATGGTCTTCAAGTTGTTTATGTAGCGGTGGTATCTTCTCTTGAACCTCTGCAATAGTAGCTGTAGCAATTTCTTTAGCCTATTCGGCAATCTGACGTGTTGAGGCAGATTCCTGTAATAGTTTCTGAATAGTCTCTGTATTAGTATTTACTTTCTGTCCCAAATTATTAATACTTACTGTATTTTGATTAATACTTGTTGTATTTTGATCAATCTTATCCGATGCCTCTGCTACTTGTTTGCTTATTCTATCCAAAGATTCATTAATTTTAGCCAGTACCTGAGCAAAGGCATCGTCACTTGCCATACCTTTAGTTTTAGGTTGTGCCGATGAGGTTGCTATTGGAACCCCAGAGGGGCCAGATGTCGAGGCTCTCCTTTGCAGTCCACCGTCTGTACGAAATAATCTGCCAGACCTTGTTGCTTGTAACGAGTCTAACTTCTCTTTTCCATCTGCCATACCCCTCTAGATAAAACTCAAGGTCAGTCACACGGTTAGATTCAAAGTTGTTTTGAAATGGAAAGTTCCAGGAATACAGTGTGAGAAATTCCTCAGGCCAGCTGCAGTTGTAACTAGTTGTAACAAGTTCCAAATTCCACTAGGGGGACACTGTAACAGTCATAAAGTTCTTAAAATAATTTACTTCTTCCTTAAGTCCCCCAATTCACCGGAAAGATAACAATCTATCTTAAACAGTTACTTTGAGACCAGGAGATACCTATCAGCAATATTGTATCCAAATTGTATTTCAGATGCAGGACTAGCTGTCAAAATATGTTCAAAGACAGTACATTCTCTTAGACTTTTTACTGTCACTGGGAACCCGTTCCAGGGGGTTTGAGCGGTGGTTTTTATCTCCTCTTTCTCACTTCTTCTTAAAAGAATAACGTTCAAAGCTTCCCCCCCTCTTCCCTCAAATTGAGGGGGGGAAAAACCCGGTTAGATGATTGGATTGTAATCCTTTTGTGCGTCTTTTAAAGCTTCCGCTTTCAAGTTCAATGCTTTGTTCTATCTACAAGAGCGGGAGGCAGACTTCCCTTTTATACCTCTCCGCTTTGGCCAATTACTTTCAAATTTTGTACAGTTCCTTAATTACGTAGTAATCCTACTCACGGATCGTTGTTTTCAAAGCCAAATTTTCAAGGAAGAAAGGCAGCGCTCTCCGGCAACAGCTACGCGACTTCACTCCACAGAAGAAGCAGACGACTCACAGCACAGCGCCACTTCCCCGTTCCGTTCCGGAGCCTGTTGCCAGGTTCCTTCACGGATTGGGGGGGGCGCAGACAGTGCCCGCCGAGTCCCAGGTTCACAGGCTTCACCCGCCTGTGATTTCAGGGGTCCCCGCTGCGCCGAAGCGGTATCCGACCCTGTTTCTGTGGAGCGGGTTCCCTCCGAATTAGAGGGAATCCGCCATTACCGTTGGTGCCACCTCCGGAAGTCCTTACATTTTCATTTCTCAGGGGTGGGGAACCTTAGGCCCGGGGACTGACTGTGGCCCTCTGGGACTCTCTGTCTGGCCCTTGGCACACACACCTCGGGCCACACCCTCTCCCAAGCCACGCACCTGTCCCCAGGCCACACCCCTCACCAACCCTGCTTCAGTCCCTCCTCAAATGTTTTTGCCTGGCTGAAATGTGTTCTTCAACTCTGATAAGATTTCTTGCTTGTCTGAGTGGAAGGTGAAGAGCAGGATGTGAGTGTGTGTAGAAATTACCCTAGAGCTCAACGGTACGTTTATCTTCCTTGTCTTTGGTGATCGCTCGTAGCCAAGTAAGATTGTCTTCCATGAACATGGTCTCAATGGTGAGTTCGTAAGTGACTGTGGAGGCCAATTCTAGATCCACACGTCCTTCCACAGTGGGGACATAGGTTTCTGGGAGGGAGTTGATAATGGTGAGGGTTTGCCAAGCATGCCTTCCTCTTAGCACGTTTCTCCCTTGCGTCCTGAGTTCAAGAGTTTTCAAAGCCCACGACGCCTTTGGTAAAGGCTGTTCTCCAACTGGAGCGCTCGCAGGCCAGTGTTTCCCAGTTGTCGGTGTTTATACTACATTTTTAAAGATTTCCCTTGAGTCTTTAAATCTCTTTTATTGACCACCAGCATTACAGAGAATATTCTCACCTAACACCACCAGTTTTGGCTTGTGCATTGTTTTGAAAACGGTGAACCTTTAACGGTGAACTTAATCAAATTTATCCCCCCACCCCAAGTTTCATGTAATTTAGCTTTAGATTCTATGCCTATTTACACTGAAGCAAGACCACCCCCCCCGCATGAAACCTAATCCAAAGAAAGTGTCCATAGGATTGCAATCATAAGTCAAAAGCATGCCATTCTCCTGGCCCTTAACCAAAGCTGCATGTCTGGGTGTTGTCTCTTACTTCCAGGGGCTGTTGGCCTGTACAATATTGGACTAAACTGCTGCCTCAACTCCTTGCTTCAGGTCTTCTTCATGAACAGACAGTTCACTAAGATACTCCGGAGGTGAGTGAGGATTTCCCCACCAACTGGTGCAGTGCTTTGGATCAAAATCTCTTTCTCTAGAGGGCGGTGGGGTGGGGGGAATGCTTAATTCAGTTTGCCATATTTAAAGGAGTAAAAATCTGGACAAAAAAGTTGTTGGTTGTTGAGCTTTTTTGGCGATGACCAAAACCAGAGCCGCCCGTGTGCACAAAATAACAACAACAACAATAATAAAAATTAATAAATAAAATAAATAAATAAATTGAAGATGAAAAACCAAACCTCCCCAAACTTGCTATAACTTGTAAAAATGCACATAGGCCTCCCAAAAGAGGACATGTCTGGGAGCTCTTCTTGGAAGCAACAGAGCACAACGTCTCCACCAAGGAGGAGACAGGGAACTCCCCTGAGAAGGAGGCTAGTACACCATCACAGGAGCCAGATATATGGAGAAACGTGACTCAAAGAAGTAGGAGGCCCGGGGTTCGCTCTGATTGTTTAGAAATACACAATCGCTTTGAGGTCCTCTCCCCTAGCATGGAAGACGAAGAGCAGACTCCATTTGAGGATCTCTCCCTCATTACAGTCGATCAGGTATATGAAGACGAGCAGCAAAGTCAGTCCTCAGGGAATGTGCAGGCGACCTTGGAACGGACAGCTCACGGAAGAACCCCGACCAGACCTAAGAGGAGGCATGTAGTGGTGATAGGGGATTCCCTACTGAGGGGAACAGAAGCAGTGATCTGTGGGCCTGACAAGATGTCTCGGGAAGTGTGCTGTCTCCCCGGGGCTAAGATCCAAGATGTAACTGAACGACTGCAAGGAACCCAAATAAAACCCACTGACAAATACCCCTTCCTCTTGGTTCATGTGGGAACCAATGACACTGCAAGCAATAGCCTCCAGAAGATCAAAAGAGACTACGAGGCTCTGGGCAGGAAATTGAAGCAATTAAATGCACAAATTGTCATCTCATCTGTCCTCCCAGTTGAGCAGCGTGGCCCAGGGAGAGAGGGAAAAATAGTGGAAGTGAACAGCTGGCTTCGCAAATGGTGTAAACAGGAGCGGTTTGGATTCTTAGATCACGGACTGCAGTTTCTTGAAGATGGACTTCTGGCAAGCGATGGGCTGCACCTCACAACGGTTGGGAGGAATGTTTTTGCCAAAAATCTCAGAAACCTCATCAGGAGGGCTTTAAACTGACTAATGTGGGGGAGGGAGACAGTGCTCCTGAAGGTAGGAGTCTATCAATTGATGAAGATGATCATCCAAATGTCATAGACCAAATGGAGCAAACAGCACGCAGACCTAGTGGTGGGAGGAAAAAATCCTTAAATAAGAGACACAGGGGGATGATTAATGGACTTCAATGTCTGTACAGTGGTGCCTCGCAAGACGAAAAGAATCCGTTCTGGGAGTCTCTTCGTCTAGCGGTTTTTTCGTCTTGCGAAGCAAGCCCATTGACGGGATTAGCGGATTAGCGCTATTAGCGCTATTAGCGGCTTTTAGCGGCTTTTAGCGGCTTTTAGCAGCTTATCAGCTTATCGGATAAGCAGATAAGCGGCTTAGCGACTTAGACAAAGAGGGGGGAAAGGAAAAAAAAACCCCAGGAACTCGCAAGACATTTTCGTCTTGCGAAGCAAGCCCATAGCAGATTCGTTTTGCGAGGCACCTCCAAAACGGAAAACTCTTTCGTCTAGCGAGTTTTCCGTCTTGCGAGGCATTCGTCTTGCGGGGCACCACTGTACACTAATGCGCAAAGCATGGGAAATAAACAAGATGAGCTTGAGCTCTTGTTACAGCAAACTAAATATGACATAATAGGCATCACTGAAACCTGGTGGGATAAGTCCCATGATTGGAATGTAATAATGGAGGGATACAATCTATTTCAGAGAAACAGACCAGACAAGAAAGGAGGAGGAGTGGCGTTATATGTCAGGGATGTGTATACCTGTGAAGAGATCCAAGATTTAGAACCTCAAAGCCAAAGTGAGAGCATTTGGGTCAAAATTAAGGGAGAGAAGAATAACAGTGACCTCATTGTGGGAGTTTACTATAGATCCCCAAGCCAAACGGAGGACATAGATGATGCCTTCCTGGAACAGATGGCCAAGCATGCAAAAGGAAGGGAGATAGTAGTAATGGGGGACTTCAATTACCCGGATATTTGTTGGATGTCAAACTCAGCCAAGAGCATAAGGTCAAACAGATTCCTCACTGTTCTTGCAGATAACTTCATTGTCCAGAAAGTGGGAGAAGCAACAAGAGGAACAGCCATTTTAGATCTGGTCCTAACCAGTGTTGATGACCTGGTTAGTGGGGTAGAAGTGGAAGGATCATTAGGCGCGAGTGATCATGCTCTTCTGAAGTTTACTATACAGCGGAAAGGAGCAGCCAAGCATACTAGGACTCAATTTCTTGACTTTAAGAAAGCTGACTTCATAAAACTTAGGGAAGTGCTGGGTGAGATCCCATGGACAGTAATACTAAAAGGAAAGGGAGTTCATGATGGCTGGTAGTTTGTTAAGAGGGAGATAGTAAAAGCACAACGTCAGGCAATACCAATGAGACGGAAACATGGAAGGTGCCTAAAGAAGCCAGGGTAGCTATCTAAAGAACTTTTAACTGAGTTAAGATTAAAAAAGGATGTGTACAAAAAATGAAAAAGGGGGGAAACCACCAAAGAGGAATTCAAACAAATAGCCAGCACGTGTAGACGCAAAGTCAGAAAAGCTAAAGCACAGAATGAACTCAGGCTTGCTAGAGAGGTTAAAAGCAACAAAAAAGGCTTTTATGGGTATGTTCGTAGCAAAAGGAAGAACAAAGAAACAGTGGGGTCACTCTGGAGGAGAAGATGGTGAAATGCAAACAGGGGACACAGAAAGGGCTGAACTCCTCAATGGCTTCTTTGCCTCAGTCTTCTCCGATAAAGAAAACAATGCCCGACCTGAAGAATTTGGAGCAAATGATTCAGCAAAGGAAACACAGCTCAGAATAACTAAGGAGATAGTACAAGAATACTTGGCTAGTTTAGATGTATTCAAGTCTCCAGGGCCAGATGAACTGCATCCAAGAGTATTAAAAGAACTGGCAGATGTAATCTCAGAACCACTGGCAGTCATCTTTGAGAATTCCTGGAGAACAGGTGAAGTCCCGGCAGACTGGAGGAGGGCAAATGTTGTCCCTATTTTCAAAAAGGGGAAAAGAGAGGACCCAAATAATTACCGCCCAGTCAGTCTGACATCAATACCAGGGAAGATTCTGGAGCAGATCATTAAGCAAACAGTCTGTGAGTACCTAGAAAGGAATGCTGTGATCACCAATAGTCAGCATGGATTTCTGAAAAGTCAGCATGACTTATTTCTGAAAAATAAGTCATGTCAGACTAACCTGATCTCATTTTTTGACAGAATTACAAGCCTGGTAGATGAAGGGAATGCAGTGGATGTAGCCTACCTTGATTTCAGCAAGGCATTTGACAAGGTGCCCCATGATATTCTTGTAAAGAAGCTGGTAAAATGCGGTCTTGACTATGCTACCACTCAGTGGATTTGTAACTGGCTGACTGACCGAACCCAAAGGGTGCTCATCAATGGTTCCTCTTCATCCTGGAGAAGAGTGACTAGTGGGGTGCCACAGGGTTCTGTCTTGGGCCCGGTCTTATTCAACATCTTTATCAACAACTTGGATGATGGACTCAAGGGCATCCTGATCAAATTTGCAGATGACACCAAACTGGGAGGGGTGGCTAACACCCCAGAGGACAGGATCACACTTCAAAACGACCTTGACAGATTAGAGAACTGGGCCAAAACAAACAAGATGAATTTTAACAGGGAGAAATGTAAAGTATTGCACTTGGGCAAAAAAAATGAGAGGCACAAATACAAGATGGATGACACCTGGCTTGAGAGCAGTACATATGAAAAGGATCTAGGAGTCTTGGTTGACCACAAACTTGACATGAGCCAACAGTGTGATGCGACAGCTAAAAAAGCCAATGCAATTCTGGGCTGCATCAATAGGAGTATAGCATCTAGATCAAGGGAAGTAATAGTGCCACTGTATTCTGCTCTGGTCAGACCTCACCTGGAGTACTGTGTCCAGTTCTGGGCACCACAGTTCAAGAAGGACACTGACAAACTGGAACGTGTCCAGAGGAGGGCAACCAAAATGGTCAAAGGCCTGGAAACGATGCCTTATGAGGAACGGCTAAGGGAGCTGGGCATGTTTAGCCTGGAGAAGAGGAGGTTAAGGGGTGATATGATAGCCATGTTCAAATATATAAAAGGATGTCACATAGAGGAGGGAGAAAGGTTGTTTTCTGCTACTCCAGAGAAGCGGACACGGAGCAATGGATCCAAACTACAAGAAAGAAGATTCCACCTAAACATTAGGAAGAACTTCCTGACAGTAAGAGCTGTTCGACAGTGGAATTTGCTGCCAAGGAGTGTGGTGGAGTCTCCTTCTTTGGAGGTCTTTAAGCAGAGCCTTGACAACCATATGTTAGGAGTGCTCTGATGGTGTTTCCTGCTTGGCAGGGGGTTGGACTCGATGGCCCTTGTGGTCTCTTCCAACTCTATGATTCTATGATTTCCTGGACTTATGGCAACCCTAGCTTAATTTAAAAATGGAGCATTTTTTCCACCCTCCAAGGGCAGTGGTTTGGATTCAAATCACTGTGGTTTTGTTTTTTTTAAGCAAGTGATTTTAAAATCAACATTTGTAGACTTCTACTCAGGAGTAGCTGAACCCAGGTACAGACAACTTGTACACAGGTACTAGATAGCGTTTCCATGTGCTTCTCTGGTTCGCCAGAAACGGCTTAGTCATGCTGGTCACATGACCTGGCTCCCTTGGCCAATAAAGTGAGATGAGCACTGCAACCCCAGAGTCGTCCCGACTGGACCTAATGGTCAGGGGTCCCTCTACCTTTACCTTTACTAGATAGCATATAAAGGCCCCTTAGACCATAAGAAGAGCCCTGCGGGATAAAGACCCATCTAGTCTGCTTTCCTGTTCTCACAGTGACCAGTTGGATACCCATGGGAATCCAACAAGCAGAACCTGAGTACAAAAGCCCTCTCTGCACTTTTGATTCCCAGTAACTGGCTTTCAGAGGCATATCACCTCCAACAGTTGAGGGAGAACAAGCCATCGTGGGTAGTAGTTACTGACTGACCTCCATGAATTTTTCTTATCTGTTTTTAAATCCATGCAGGTTGCCATAGCCACATCTTGCAGATGCAAATTCCATCGTTTATGGAGTGTGGAAAGCCAACCGTGGCATCGAAACCTTTGCTAGGTTCCTGCTTAAACTTCCATTTAACGAATGCATTTGCAAGTCATTAAATGTGTGATTACACTTAGTTCTTAAAAAAAACCCCCAAACCTTTCTGTTGTGACTTTTCTTCAAGGAAGTGTTGTTAAGATTGCAGCCTTAAAGCATGAGGCCCGGTGCTTTCTGACTGTAAAGTGTGGTGATAGCTTTCCTTCTTTCTGTTGCCAGGATCAAAGTGCCGTTTGAAGCTGCGGAGCAGAAAGCAAGCGTCCCTTATCAAATGCTCTTGCTTCTGGAGCAGATGCAACAGAGCAAGAGAAGATCTGTGCATCCCTTGGATCTTGTCCGCTGCCTCTCAATGCATAATGTGAAATGTAAGGAGCAAGTGGAGTCTTTCTGGTTCCTGTAGGGAGGTGTCACTTGCAGGGTGGGGGTTGCTTATAGTTAATAACTGCCCTCCCCCCATAGAACGCGTGCAGAGGTGTTTTGAGAAACGACTTCAGAAACATTACTCAGGCTGTGTTTGTGGATTGATGGGGCAAGAATGGAAGGTTGGCTGCTAAAAATATATATAGAGCATTGGAATCTGGAGGAAAGGGGCGAAAATAGAGGAGTTTGGGAAAGGCATAAACAAGCCGTTGTGCTAAATTTTGCTTGTGCCTCTTCCTTTTGTCTAGTGCTTGTTCTGTATGATGCTTCTCAACTCTTCTTGATCCTCTGGAACCTAATTAAGGACCAAATCACCAATGTGAATCTGGTAAGAGTCCGGATTTTGCAAAGGAAAACATGTTACTTCCACGTTGTATGCAGACACAATGAGTTACCTGCAGAGGCCCTTGAAGTATAGCCAAGAATACTTTTGTCCCTTGTTGAAAAATCAGAACTTATGATGCAGGCTTATGTCCGGAGCCCTGCCAGAGAGTTCTGTATAACTCAGCAAATACATCAGTTAAGGTAGCAGAAATGGGATCAGCTCCCCTGGATCTCTCCCCACCACAGCTACTATTTAGGAAAACATGCAATTGAAATCATACTATTATTCTAACTTGTAATATGGCTCTGGGTTGTGCCCTTTTAATTTGCAGAGTTCCCATCACACATAAAATACAAAACCCAGAAGCACGTAACAAAGACTTTGATAGCATAAACTTAAAAATACTGAGTACACGACTCTCTCCAGGATCCTTTAATCTGATTCACCTTCCCCTGCCCTGCTCTCCATTTAAAGTACACTGTGATCTCCTATTCTCTTTATTAACTTTATAAACAGCTTTTTCATTCAAAAATGGTGTATTTAATTAAAAAATAAGATTAATCCAACCATTCTTTTTTTGGGGGGGGGACACCCACAGCCTAGTAATAAAACAATAGTAAACATAGACAAGAAAGCAGGATAGCCACCATCTTGGATGGCTTTCAAAGAAGATTAGACAAATGTCTGGGTTAGATCTGCTGAATAGAGGATTCTGTAGTGAGGCAGATAGTTGGGCTTGGTGGTGGCTTTCTGCTTGTTTTCACTCTAATGGGAACCAGTTTGAGGCCTGTCAGTGGAATCACGCAAAGAGCAGTGCTTGTTGACAACACAGAGCACATTATTTATTCGCTTCTGGTTTTCTCCTCCCCTCTCTTTAAGGTTGAAAGCCTGACTCTCCTGCACACCATCCAGCTGCAGCAGAACCTAGTGTGTCAAAAGTGCTCAGCCCAAATGAAGAAGGATAGCAACTTGCTGATGTTCCCACTCCCAATGTTTGATTCTGATTCTCACCCAGTCAGGACATTGGTATGTGAAGAGGGTCTCCATCTCATTGTGCTTCATCCCATTTAAGCAAATGGGTCAGAACTGGGTTTCTAGTGTAGTGCTTCCTCCTGTCCTGTAGGGGGTGTGCGCATATTGAAAGCTTAATATCAACACAGTGTTTCTGCTGGGGAAAGGCTCCAGAAATGGAAAGTGGGGCAGAGGAGGCTAAACAAACAAACAAAACTCCAGAAAGATGGGTTGGGGAGGAAGGGGAAGACTCTTGCTGTACTCAGAACTCGTTGATAAATGGTTTCAGATCATTTTATAGGGCTCCACAACCAACTGCACCACCTTGCTTGCTGTTCCTGGGGAGCAGAGCTTTTCTGTAGAGGGATGTGCTGAATGGAGTTCTGATGTATGGAGAGAGCGAGAGGCTGAGAGTGGAGGAGATGATCCCCAAACTTCTAGAAAAGTGCTTCTAGTTCTTCAGCATGTCCAACCTTTGGGGACAAAACAACTTCTGGGGCTGCCAGTGTCTATTTCAGTATGTGACAGGGATTCTGCACAAAATGGAGGCAACTGCCCATACAGTCTCTGTCCGGCATCACACTGCCATTACTGTGGTCATGGCTTCAAGGTGATGCTCACCTGTGTCAGGTGTGTGCATGTGGCCAGGTGGGCCAAAGCAGTGGCCAATAGGGCAAAGTAAGAGGCAATGATGATGATATAATATTAAATTTACATACCACTCTTCACCTGAAGATCTCAGGGCAGACAGATGTGGGAGAACTTGGCAAATATGGCCTGGCATATGGGTGATGGTGGGTACTTACCTTGTCTGAAGGTAGACTCTGAGGCACAATAATCCAGTGTAGTAGCATATCTGAAATCAGGCCAGAGCCAAAACGGAAGGATTAGCAGAAAACCCCATGGCTGCTGCTCCAGACTCCTTGGATGCAAGTGTAACAACTTTTTAAAAACCTATGGCTCCTACTGGGTTGAAGACCTGTGTATTTTCCAGAAATACACACAACATGCAATTGGTACAGACACCTTGTTATCACATCAGGAGCAGGGGGGCTGTTAGATAAAGGCAACTTGTAGCCCTCCAGATTCTTCTGGATTCTCACTCGCATCAGTTCCATCCAGCAGGAATTCCTCTGGGCACGTGGGACTAATCTCTGCTCTTTGCCTTATTCAATTCTTCTAGGGAGATTCATTGCGTTGTTTCTTTGTGCCGGAACAGCTGGTGGATGAAAATGCATGCCACTGCGAACAGTGTGGCTTGGAAACACCACATCTACGGGTAATGTTGCCTTTGAACGTTAATTGGCAATTCAATCCTTGGAGCTTCATGTTGTTTCCATGTTGGATGAGGATATTTGTTCATAGAAGAATCATGGGGTCTGGCTTTTGGCCATTATTGGCAGGGCATTTTCTTTGAATTCAGAAGTTCCCAGATTCAATCTCTGGCATCTCTAGGTAGGGCTGAAATTCTGGAGAGCTGCGGCCTGTCAGGGTAGATGAGACTCAGCTAGATGGAGCAATAGCCTGGCAAGGCAGCTTCATGTGTTTCCAAGGTATTTACACCCCAATTCACAAGGTGGTTCCCACCCTGTATGAAGTGTTGAGGTGACTGTGGCGTTCACACAGGGTCCCTGGACGTTTGACGGTCTATTGATCCCTGTGCCACCACTGTGATCACTTCCCCGCTGCCACCAACCCATTTCTCTCGTGTACACACTGAGTCCAGACAGTTGTTAACATTAAACCAAATAAACAAGTTTATTTTATAAGCATTAACAAGTTTATGGTTTCAGATAATTTTTCTTGTCAGTTTCTTAATCTTAGTTTCTTTACTGACCTATACCTTTCTAATACCTTCTAACTGATTATCTCAACTGTTTTAACTGACTCCTCTTAACATATTCTCTCACATCAAACTAGCCCAACCCCCAGACTTATCCTCCCTCTCCCTTCTCTAACTCCAGACTCACTTCTTAACAACTCTAACTCCTCCCCTTGGGTTCCTATTGGTTAATCATTTTACACTTAGTGAACCTTTTCCTTATGACCCAGTATGATGTCACACACCTAGGAGGGCAAACGCCACAGTGACTAGTGGCAATTTGCTAAACGCAGCATTGGGATCTAGGTTTTCCGAAGGGTGAAAAGGGCGTGATTTCCCTGGATCAGTAGTCCCTTGCAAGAATGCTTTGCAACTATTTTATGCTGACCTCTGTATTCCAGCCTTTGTCTTTCATTGTTGGTGTGCATCGATTTTGCAGGGCATGAGAGTTACACGTCTGCCACAGACATTGATGCTGCACCTAAAGCGTTTCTGCTGCACAGAAGGCAGCCAGACCCGGAAAATCAGCCATTCCTTAGCCTTCCCACAGAGCCTAAATTTCAGTGAGATCCTGACGCCAGAACAGTACAACCAGGATGCACAGGAGGTGGGACACTTAACCTGCATCATCATTCGCTTCGGACTTAGAAGGCATAATGAAATGGCCCAGAGCGGATGTGGAGAACTTCTGGTTCTTCCAACATTGATGAACTGCAATTCCCATCAGGAAGCATGGTCAATGGCCTGGGATGAGGGGACTTATAGTTCAGCAATGTCTGGAGGACCACAGGTTCCCAACCTATGGGCTAAAGCAGGAGGGTGCCTTGCCTGGACTGAATGTTCAGGTCCTCTGAGACGGCATCTGTTTCCACCATGGTCAACCAAGTGCTTTCATCACATTCTGGGATAACTTATTCAAGAACTGCAGAGCAATATTAGTCCCAAGAGTGGAAGTTTGCATTTTGTCCACCCTTTTTTCTATGGACGCTGTTCTAGATGCTCTCAGTATTATGAAGCAGGAATTAACAGGTCCCAGAAAGGGATGTCATTTCAACTTCAAGGTTGCTATACTGTTTGTTCTGCAACAGTATTTGAGGAAGACATTGTTGTCTCCTATCCCCACCCCACAGCAGAAATTCCCCTCCTTAAGAGATACGTTCAAGGAAGACATAAGGATGAAGCGCTTTGGTCGGTGGGGAGTCAGAGAAGCACGATGGTCTATTCTCTAAAAAAAGCGGGGAGAATAGGTAGTGCTTTTTCTGGGGGTATTCAAGGCTCTGCAGTACTGGCACCTCCCCCCCCCCAATGTTAAAAGTGTGGCACTTACTGTAACAACTTCATGGTGAGTACCACCACCTTTTTCTATTAAAAAAGCACTGGGAATAGGGAATTAGAAGTGCTATGCAACTTAAACAATGGAAAATGGAAAACATTTCTCTAAATTTGAAATGGAGATTAAGCCTGCCGAAAATGTTGTTTTGGGTATATTGGACCCCAAAACATTTATTTATTTGATTTGCATTTCCTCCAAGGAGCTCAATGTGGCATTCATGGTTTCCTCCCTCCCCATTTTATCCTCAAAACAATCCGTGAAGTAGGGTAGGCTAAGAGACAGTGACCAGTCCAAGATTACCCAATGAGTTTCATGTCTGAGTAGGGTCTTGAACCCAGGTCCTAGTCCAACCATGACACTACACTGGATCTTTATCTCAGGAAGGCACTGTCTAATACAGAAAGATACTGGAGGTGTAATGCTGGAAAGGCCTCATTGAGGCATATGATGTGGTCCTGTCCAGTGATAGTAATTCCCTGTTTTGTATCTCTCCTGTCTTCCATTGAAAATATCTCTCTATGACTCTTTCCAGGATGATGGGTTGTATGATCTGTTTGCGGTTGTTGCACACTCGGGATCAGCTAACTTTGGTCATTACTCTGCATACATTTGGAGTCTCACGGAAAGCAGGTGGTATTGCTTCAACGACTCGAGCGTCTGTCAGGTGAGGAAGGCAGCCTATATGTGGCGTTGTGCCGGCTTCCCTTCCCTTCCACCTCTCCTGGCAAAATCAGGGTCTGAGATCTAACCACGATGTGTGTCAGCGCATTGAAAAAGGTTGCAAGCCATGCTGGACGATGGTCCAAATCCAGACCTAATTGTGCACAAACAAGGAATGGGCATTTGAATGGATGTCAGAATGCACTTCCCATTCAAAGCCATGTAGCACTACAGATAGACACCTCTGATTTATGCTAGTGGTTGCTGATCCAGCTAGGGCCAGTTGTGAATAACGGTGCAATCCTATACATGTCTACTCAGAAGAAGGTCCCATTGAGTTATGGGACTGGAGCCTTGGGCAATTTTATAGATTTTATATATAAAACGTGGGTTAATTGGCTTGAGTCTGAAGCAGCCCTAATTAAAAGATAACCAAGTCCAGTAGCAGCAAAAATTACATAGAATCATAGATTTGTGGAGTTGGAAGGGATTCCGAGGGTCATTTAGTCCAACTCCCTGCAATACAGGAATCTCAGCTAAAGCATCCATGACAGATGGCCACCCAACATCTTTGGGTAATATTTAGAACAAGATGTGTGTAAAAGGTCTTAAACCTCTGCATAGTGGTCTGTGAAAAGATCTTTACTTTATAAGTGAATTACACATCTGCTTAAAAGGTTAACCCAAGATTTTTTCAATTAAAAAAAAAATACACACAGAGTCATCTATCAGCTGTGTAACAACTTATAATAATTCTCTCCATCTATTATAAGAAAAAAAGTTTTAATATTAGCTCTATATTTTATGTGCTTTTGCAATGGATGTGAGTGGGGTTTTGAATCTGTCTCATTCGCTTGCTCCTTGTACTGTGTATTCTGCAGGTATCCTGGGATGATGTCAAATGTACCTATGGAAAAGCATATCTCCGCTGGTAAGGCGGGCCGACTGTTTTTTTTTAAATATATATATAATATTTATTAATTTTCCAACAATTTAAACACAACACTACAAAAGAAAAAGCATAAAAAAAGAAGACAATGCAATACAATACAAAAACACTACAAAACACTAACACATAAAACTAATAAAACAAAAAACAAAACCCATTTAAAACACATCAAACCATTTCATTATCTTATCTTTCGTTCACTTGTTTCCATGACCTCCTCACACCTCCCTTTTTGTATTCCACTTCTGTTAATTGTTTCAGCAATTCCTTTCCATCTTCCTCTGTTTTCTATCCTATAATTATCTTAACACATTCTAACCTTATTTTCCCTTTAATACTCTATTAATCTATTTATACTTAATTCCTTATAACATTTCTACTAAAGCCATATAACTTCATTCCAACATTTTTCTAACATTCATTAATTTTACAGTATTTCTGTAAATAGTCTTTGAACTTTTTCCAGTCTTCTTCCACCGACCGACTGTTTTTTCTCTTAATCCTACTGGAAGACCTGGGGGGCGGGTGCTGGAGGAGGCAGTGAAATGAGTATGGCTGGCTGTGTGGAAAACAAAATAAAAAAACCATTGCATTTTGGTTTGGAATGAGCTGGTTTCAAGATGAGCTTTTTCCACCCTAGGCGTTTATTGTTGGGAAGAAATTGGATCAATGGTCCAAGTAGGTATAGGGCATCTTCTTAATCCTGTGTACTCTGTTGGATAGAGATTTGAGGACTAACTACAGGTTGACCACTGTGCTGTTTGGTTTTGACTTGCTTATTTTCTCCTTCCTGTAGGGGTGAAACAGCCTATCTCCTGGTTTACCTGAAAAGGAATTGTGGGAAGCTCTGTTCTGATTGACTCAGGGCAACCACAGGGAGGTTGCAATTTTTTTTGTCCAGATTCTCCAAATACCAGATGACTGACTGTCCATCACATTTGTGCAGGAGAGTACAAGCGATATGTGAACTCAAAGCACCAGGAAGGGAGACCTTTTGGAAAGAAGGCTCAGAAACACACACTTTTATCTGCAATCTGTCTTTGGAAGTTACACAGTGCCTCACTTTCAGACCCTCTGCAGCCGGCTAGTACAGGAGACAGGGCCAGTGGTTTAAGTGTCTTGAGACTTGTATTTTCACGAGGATACTGAGAATTGTTCTAAGAGAGCTTATACTACCCTGCCGCCACACAGTGGTCAACACACGTTTCATAAAACTAGTTCCCAGGATTTTCTGCACAGTTGAGCCAGCTTATATGCAGCATAGAATTACTCTTCATCTCCCCATCCCAACCTCTCTGTTCTACCTCAGCCGTGACACTTAGCTGCCCCTTTATAAAGCAGAACCTGCAGGGGGGTAGAGACGATGGCAGATCCTCGCATATCACATGCAATGGGCTTCTGGACCCAAGAAGTACAGAAGTTGGGATCTGCTGGGCATATCAAAACCAGCTGCAATATTCAGTCTCCTTTGCTCACACACTAACATGGAAGCATTTACTTATAGTAGGTGGTGCAATTTTATTTCAGCCATCTGCGTGTTAGATGTTTCTGGGTATGGGTGTCACTAGTAGATGGTGCAACTCATTTAAAAAACGACTCAAGCATTTGTCCTACACAGGGTTCAGGCACTCTTAAGCACATTTGATTTCAGTGATTACAAAACAGGCAATTTAGCATGAGACCACACAATGTAGTTCTGTCTAGCACAGAAACATCTGTTTGGATAATCTTATTTTCCTAGTATAGATAGGAGTTGCATAGAATCTCTGTTAGCATCTTATGCCTTATTCTAGATGTTAACTGACATTATTATTTAGTACATATTTTATATAAGCTGCTTGCATGAAAATAAAGCAGTTTATTGTGAAGCAGCCCTTCTGTTGGCAGATTACCTCATTTAACTTTAAATTAAATTGACAACTTGGAGAAATGTGCATTTCTTGCGATGCCACAGGAGTATTTGCTTTTATTTATTGAGTTTTTCTGTGTTTTGCCTTGCCTTGTAAGGCAGCCTAAATAAAATAAAAATATCAATGGGCTGCAATAACAACTCGAGACTAAGACTTATTTTTCCAGGCTATCAGCTAAACTATTTTATATTTATGCTCCCTGTATTGTATTTATGCTCACTGGGAATACTTATTAAACCAACATGTGTGCCGTTTTAAATAGGTGCCTCTTATTTCTCCTCCACTTCTGCAGATGAAATCAAAGAATCATTCACACGGCTAGAGTAGCTTTCATTTGTGCTGAAATGTATTTTTGATACTGTGAGTGCTGTGGAACTATGGTGGCTCCTTAGAATGGGAGAGGGGTGGGGGGGTGAGTTGTCATTCATCATCTGGTGGCTGATAGTTTGGGTGCTCAGCAAATCTGAAACAAAACCAAAGAGTCATTGTCTTGAGGCATTGTAATAATAATAATAATAATAATAATAATAATAATAATACATTTATTGTCATTGTACATCCTGTGTACAATGAAATTAAACAAGCCCCCCCCCCAAACATTCAATCTCTTATCGAACAACGCACCACCTCACAAGTCAATTGCGCTATGTTATTTTCCGTTCAACAGGCTAACAGCCCACAGATAGAAGCTATTTTTTAGCCTGTTGGTACAGCTGATTATCCTATATCTCCTGCTCGAGGGTAGAAGATTAAAGAGGTGATGGCTGGGGTGTGAGTCATCCCCGAGAATTTTTCTCGCTCTCCTAAGGCAACAATCCCTTGCAATGTCATCTAGCGGACTCAAGGCACAGCGCATGATATCATGTGCTGTAGTCACCATCCTCTAGAGACCAGGCCAGCATACCACACTCTGATACAATATGAAAGGACACTTTCTATTGTGGACCGGTAAAAGGAGTTCATCAATTGTTGTTTAACATTATTCTTTCTCCAGACCCTGAGGAAATGGAGTCTCTGTTGGACCTTTCTGACCACCTGAGTTATGTTGATTTTCCAAGTGAGGTCCTCACTAAGGTAAACTCCCAGGAATTTAAAGGAGGAGACTCTCTCCACACCACACCCCCCGATATACAACGGGGCAGGTTCCCCTCTCTTCCTCCGGAAGTCCAACACCATCTCCTTTGTCTTACTAATATTTAAGTGCAAGTTATTCTCTAAGCATATTGATTAGTTGCCAGCCACTGTCTCATAAGACCATTTCACACAGTACATAGTAACCACCCCAAGTTTGCCACTGAATGCCCACTCAGCAGGGAGGCTGAAAGTTGATCCTGCATTCCCAGTTTATGCACATGCAGAGAAAATCAAATGAGATGATCTCTCTAAATATGGGTTGCTAGCCCACTACCAGTTCCACTCCTTCCTAGAGGCTTCTAAATACTGCGGGGAACATCCTGGAATTCTCTCAATGGTACTATAATTGGCTTTACTTGGGGCAGTTTCGAGGGCAGTTGTAAAACAATGCATAGGGCCAGCTAGTTTAATTTCCCACAAAAGGAAATTATGCATTGGCTGAAGGGAGCATAAGATTTTTATTTTTTTTTGTATGAGATCCATTGGTTGTCAGTTTGTTTCTGGGCAAAAAAATGAATTCAGAGTAATGGCACATACCTTTAAATCCCTTTACAAATATACTCAGAAACGGAGTAGCAACTAAAATATGTCAGATCTTTTCTTCCTTTTGCTCTCGCAGTATGAATTCTTGCATGAACCACTTTTATGTATCCATATGTATACTATTTAAATATGACTTACATTTCCGCTTTTGAAAAGCTCATGTTTTTGTGAAGGCCATCAATGGATTTCATATCCTCCTCAGACAGCTGGAAAGTAAATGCCTGTCAGGGGGAGAAAATAAAATGCTGAGGTGCTTTTTTACCTCATGTCTTCTTTTTGCACCTCAGAGCTGTGCACCTTTTTCCAGCAACAAAGATACCAAAGTGAACTTTGCTACCACCTTCCAAAGTTTATTTCCTTCATTTAACAGCTTCAGCCCAGATGTCCTCCCACTGAGGGAATTTTATATGCATAGTAATGTAGGTTTGCAATAGAACAGGAGTGGGGAAACTGTGGCCCCCCCAGATGTGGATGGACTCCAACTCCCCATCAGTCTCAGCCATCATGTCCAATGGTCAGGGATGAGGGAGGTCATACTCCAGCGAATGTAGTTCAGTACTACTTCTTGCAGTTCATAGCTAAACTACTGAACTTGCTTCCATGAGAGACAGTGACAGCCACCAACTTGGATGGCTTTAAACATTAGACAAATTCATGGTAGATAAGAATACCAATAGTAGTGTTGGGCGTCAGAGAATCCAACTCCCCATAGTAGGTTGCCAATAATGGATAAGACAAGGAAGTTCTTACCAATGTTGTTTATTCAATAGTCATAGAGAGAGGCTTAGAAATTCAGCCTCTTGTAGTACAGTGGTACCTCAGGTTACATATGCTTCAGGTTACATACGCTTCAGGTTACACACTCCACTAAGCCAGAAATAGTGCTTCAGGTTAAGAACTTTGCTTCAGGATAAGAACAGTAATCGTGCTCCGGCGATGCGGCAGCAGCAGGAGGCCCCATTAGCTAAAGTGGTGCTTCAGGTTAAGAACAGTTTCAGGTTAAGTATGGACCTCTGGAACGAATTAAGGACTTAACCCGAGGTACCACTGTAATGGTTTTTTCTCCGAGTAAATCTTCACTCCCCTTCTCCCCAATCGTCAACAGCACCACCCACCTTACGGTTTCCACTTAGGGCCATCTGTCTCAGAGCCCTTTGCTCTCCTACTTTTAAGACTCGCCGGCTTCTGGGAGAAGGGGTGTGTGGAAGGCTTTCTAGTGATAACGTGTCAGCCAGTTGCTCCGGCTCTGCTTCCTCCTCTCCTCCATCCATCATTTCCCAACTTTGCCCCTCATCTGCCTCTCATCTGTGACCTTCTGCAAACCACTGTTGTAAATCTATACTGTCTTCCTCATCTCTGGAAGGGTCAGGCTGGGGAGGCGGTCTCCACCATTCCTCTTCCTGTCCATTCCCTGACAGGTAGCTAGTCATGATGGTTCCAACTCTGCCCTCATGGCTGGAAGCAGTGATGCTTCGGAATACCCACTGCTGGAAACTCCTCCAACATATTGAGTCCCCAAATCAAGATGTGCATCTTCCCTCCCACACGAGTCATGTGACCTGTGAGATCACAGTGTCCAAATGACGGGCTTTTTCAGTATTGTTTTTTTAATGGATTTATATACACTGATTTACCTGGGCATTTTCCTCAATTCGCTTTCTGGTGTAGGTCTTCACTAGGACCACCAGGCCGCGCTGCAGTTGGTAGCGAATAGCCACGAGAGCTGGGGTTTTGTTGTACTTCTTGGCGATCGCAACCAACAAAGGGTCTTCAAGCAGGGGAGGAGCGTCTGGATTTAACCTGTTGGAGAGCAACATGTGGAGAAGGTGTGTTTCTGGTGTCAAGATGCACAAATGTACACGCACAACTATAGGATGGGGGACACTTGGCTTGACAGTAGTATTAATTAATACAGTATTGGTCTAGTCCATGCAATGTACACTAAATATTTTGTATTTAAAGCTTGGTTAGTCTATTTGAATTAATATAAGTTTTTAGTATTGTGCTCTACCCCCTCTATCAATAAATCGCAAACTCATAGGTTGCACGTGGATCATTCTCTAGCAAAAATGGTAGCATTCATGCACAAAAGAGAGGTTTTTTCTTTGCTTAAATACAATCTGTATTGGGGGGGCAGGCGGGCTAAGGCAGGAAAGAAAGGCCCAAAGAATCCTGTGTGCCTGCTGGAGAGTTGATGTTCGAATGAAATGGAGGATCCTGGAGGAATGCACAGCTCATTGTCTTGAAGGAGAACTCAATATTTGTTGCTGGTCCCACTTGTTAAAAATAAGCATTTAAGTGACTTCCAATATAGATAAAAACAACACAAAGCCACTTCCGCCTTCAGAGGAGGTGGGATTGCGGGCTGCACGCCCCCACCACACGCGCCGTGGCTGGCTCTCAGCCTCCACCCGATTGAGGGAATCCCCGGCTGCGTCATTCCCTGAACAGCCAATCGGCTGGCTTGGGGTGTGTAGCCTGCCCAATTTAACACAGGGGCGGCCAGGGATCTCCCTTTTTTGCCGCCTCCATCTGCTCCGGTTTCCCACCCTCCCGTCTTTGACCTTGTATGGACCTTGGTTGGTCACCGTTAAGGGGCCTGGTAGGAAATTTTCCACTTGGCAAATTGGCACCAGCCGCTTGGTTTTTTGCCTGCCTCGTAGCAAATCGTCACAACTTCCTTGGTATTGGCGGTTAGGCATTGGTATTGGTATTGTTATGTAGATGAAGGGAGAGGAAGTGCCATCACCTCCCCCGCATATTGACGGGTAGCCTGATAAAGGATTCCGGGGGCGTGGCCCTGTCTGAAGCCTATAGAGATGAGGGCCTAAGGCACGCCCCCGATTGGTGACCCCGGGGGAGATCCTAGTTGACTTCCCGGACTTCAAGCAAACAGGCTGAAGCTGGATAGTCGGTTAGGACCAATGCCTAAGCCAATACCGTTCATCACCTGTAACCAATAAAGTTGTGGCCTTATTTAGCTCATTAACCTTAATTAATTGTGCCATGTGTCTTTATTTCCACTGGGGGAGGGCGGGAACTCGCCATGCAATTCAAACTTCTGAGACACACAAAATAAGCTATGTAAAAAGAGAAATGCTATAATTATTTACAGTAAATGCAAGCCTGGATGCAGGGTCCTTTCATCTCTGCCATTCTACTGCTTAAAGCAACATTAAAGATAATGTAAATATGACTGAAAAACAGCACAAAATTTCAGAAGCAGAAATTATTAAAAAGTCCCCTGCCTGCAACATTTAAAAACATGTTTGGGAGAAGTCAAGCAGTTACTAAAGAACAACAACACTTCAGCAATGGGAAGGTTTCTGAGAATGTCTAAAATGGGAGGGGAAGAACATTGTAAATCTCTCTCTGGAATGAATTCCCCAGTTGTGGGGCCACTATAAAAAAGGCCCTGGTGCTGGTATCCACCACGAGGATCTTTATTAATTGTGGGACCAAGATTACAATCTTCAGAGCTGGTGTAGATGCTGGGGAATAGTGGGCATAGATGGTGCCTGAGGTGGTCCCGAAATGTTTTGGCTTCATCTCTTACCAGCTAGGGTCTCTTTGGGAACCCAGGACACAATATCCTTCCATGATGATATTGTTTGACTTGCAGAAGGCCAGCATCTTGCTTTGGTTCCGATAAGGATGGCATTCAACCTGCAGATTCAGAATCCCCCAACACAACCCAAAAGTGAGAATTCAGATGAAAGAAAGAATACAGTGAAATAAAAGAAAGACAGAAAAGCAGAACCATGCTATTATTTCTCGAAAAATCTGGCTGTTACCTTTCTTAAAGTGTACTGTGTTTTCTGATGCATCAGAATCTTTAGATGACCATTCTTGCATTTGTGGTTTCCATTGCCACGCTCCTCGTCCGTGAAATATGTGTTAACCAAAGATGGGGGACAAGGCTTATTCTCCCTCAATCTCTTGTCACTCCAGCCCTGTTGGAAATATTCTGGGCACACTGTCCTGCCTGCAGTGTATCTATTCCTGCCCACTCAGTCTCTGAATTTTCAATTTTGAGCAGAAAGGTCTGATGGGGGATTTACCTGGCTTTCCATCAACTTGAGTAGATGATCTGGGACTTTGTTTTATCAGGGTCTCAAAAAACTCAAATTTCGAATCAAATTGGGAGAGAAGACATCGGAAAATAAAATTGGTGCTGAAGGGGGCACAAGATTTTTCAAAGGGGGCAGTTTTATCTCACATGTAAGGAAGTAATTATATAGTTCTAAGTACTCCTCCCTGTGTAAATGCATTTTGTGAAAAGTGTCTTTTATTGAAGTCACCACTGTGACTCAGCAATGGTGGAAAGTACGGGGGGAGGACATGAGAACTAATTGTCTGGGGGGGACTGTCTCCCCCCCCTTACCCTCTCTATTGCCTTTTATGAATTGGATAGTGCATCAAGGCTGGGCAGACAGTACAAAGAAGCCCTGATTTAAGTGAAACTATCTGTACCACTAGGGATGTGGGTGGCGCTGTGGGTTAAACCACAGAGTCTAGGGTTTGCCGATCAGAAGGCCGGCGGTTTGAATCCTCGCAACAGGGTGAGCTCCCGTTGCTCGGTCCCTGCTCCTAGTCATGCTGACCACATGACCTGGAAGCTGTACGCCGGCTCCCTCGGCCAGTAAAGCGAGTTGAGCGCCGCAGCCCCAGAGTTGTCCACGACTGGACCTAACGGTCAGGGGTCCCTTTACCTTTTTATCTGTACCACTGTCTCTGTGGTACTGGGAGATCATAGCTGCACACATCTCATTGTCATTCCATCACTCCTGCTTAGCTACCAGATTGAATGCCTTGGTATGATGGCCTGGGAATCCTATTCAGAGGCTGAACCGGAGGAATCCCAGCCTGCGCAGGAGTCCCCGCCTCCAGGGCCGGCTGAACTGGGGCAGGGCCTTGATTCTGAAGCGCCTGCACCTGTGCCAGATCCTTAGGAGCCGGCACCAGGTGAATCCATTCTGGCTCCAGAGGTGGTTGAGGACTCAGTGCCTACAGGTGAGTCTCCCCCTGGGTCCAGTAACCCTTCAGCCTCTCCTGAACTGCAGAGGCTCAGGGCAGAGAGGCGAAGGGAACTGGTTTCTCCCAGGAGGAGTGCTCGCCTTAAGGCCAGGAGAGGCGGGTCTCCTGGGGGCCGGGACCACCCCTGGCCTCAGAGAAGATAAAGGCCAGTCAGCCCGGTCCCAGGTTGCGGGAGCAACGTCGTCGCTGAGTACCTGCTCCTACCCGGACCCAGACCTGACCTTCCAGTGTTCCTGTCCCCACCCGGCTTCCTGCTTCTGACCTTCCAGTGTTCCTGTCCCGCCCGCTTCCAGCTTCGACCTCCAGTGTTCCTGTCCCCGCCCGGCTTCCTGCTTCGGACCTCGCCTCGCTCCTTGTGAACTGTTTCCAGGCTAGTGACTCAGGACTGGACTTTGACTACGACAACGGTAACCTCCCCCCCGGGACCAGCACACTTGGACTAGTATACTCTGGTCTCATCTGGTTACATGATATACACCAGTGCCCAAGTGAATCAGGGCTGCTTGTGTGCAACAGCTTTGCCCAGATGCCTAACTCAAAAGCCGTTCGCTCCCCAACTGAGAACTTCCAGAGTCCCCACAAGAGGCTGTGTGGGCCCTGACTGCTTGCAGGCCTTCTTCTACCTGAGATGCCTGTTTCAAACATTATGGATTCTCCACACTTCCTTTTGTCTGAGGTTTCAGAAGTCTTGATTAAATGAGAACTCATTACTGGTTCCAGGAATTTAGGGGAGTCCACCCCACAACTCATATCTTCTTGTGACTGGATCGGCAATCTTATAGCCTTAAGCAAGTTTTTTAAGGGAATGGCTGTGTTCATCAAAACAAAGGTCCTCTCACAAAAGAGCTTAAATAAAGAAGCTTTCAACAGCGTTTGGAACAAACTACTACAAAAGGCAAACACGCTTGACCTGGTTTATCACTGGCTTGTATTTCAACCCTGGCTTGTTCAGGATCAATTCCAGCTGCTTACGGGTGAAGTTGGACACTCCGATGGACCTCACCAAGCCGGCATCTTTGCATGCCTCCATTGCCTGGCAAAGAAAGCACAACATGTTTGTTGAGTGGTGTTTGTTGAATAGCTGAGGCCACACTCCCCCCCCCCCCCGATTAAGATTGGAGGCTAACTCATATACTCCCAAGAGTGTGCAATAATTCACCAGCTTTCATAGGTGCCATTGTGTGAGTCATTGTTCTGGACATGCCTCCTCTGGTGGAAGGCTACTGTGCTCTGTATCCGAATGACTCAAGGGCTGGATTTGCTAATCCCAGGCACCTACCTCCCATGTCTGACGAAGATCTACGTTGTCAAAAATTGGTTTTTTGTCTTCTCCCATGGGAAATAAATCTGGTCCAGGCTGGAAAAGAAGGAGGCGGAGGGAATAAATGCACTTCAGGCCTAGAAGTTCTCTTATCTCTGTAATACTATCTAATATTAATGGACAGTAATAAAAAAGAGAGTTCACCTTGCAGGGGCCGATACCACAGTGCAAGGATCTGTGGGAAACTCAAATCACAAGCACCACATTTCACATTCTTGTTTATTCAAGAGGAATAAAGCATTACTTTAGCCAGGAAAAAATATTTACGTTGCAATATTAACTCAGTATCGTTTCATTTAATCCAGAGGTGTGGAATCAGTGGATCTCCAGGCTTTGGTGGCCTCCAAGTCCCATCCGCTGCAGCCAGCAAGGACAATGATCAGGGATGATAGGAGTTGCAATTGAGCAACATCTGGAAGGCCACAGGTTCCCCAAACATGCTTTAATTCTTTCTGTGCCCCATAGAACAAACTGTCTTCTCTATCTGCACAGGTCCTCATGTCTCCATTCCCGTTTTTCTTTCCCTCACTCCCTCGTTGTCAGACAAATTTGCCCCAGGGATCCTCACCAGAGGGAGTCAATTGCTCTGTGAGAAGAAGGAGTCGGAAACTGAGATCAGGCAAAACCAAAAGCTGTTTATTCTCGAGATAGTGCTGTACGGGTAACGCCCCAGCTTGTGCTGTAAAGAGGGCTCTGTCTTGTTTACATCAAAGGTACTTTATACCCATCCAAATTTCCCTCCTACACAGGGGCGTAGGAAGAGGGCGGGGCGGGCTGCCCAGGCGCCATCATGTAGGGTGTGTGTGACAAATTATCAAGGAACAATTACTGCCCTACTAGGGCGGTTCATAAAAACTTTTTTTTTTTTAATGCCTGCTCCAAAGGTCTTATCTTACTACACTAGGGATTATACAGCTATATATGAAATTTCATGTATATCAGTTAATATTTTGACTCTCCTTCACGAAAATAGCTGTTTACTTGGCCGTTTTCTTATATCGTAAAGGCTGAAATTTCAGTTCAGTGTTTTCCTTTTCAGATAATATAGAGCATGGTGAAATCACAATAAATAAAACCTCCCCTTCAGTAGTTCCAAGCACTCCTACAGGTTCCACATAATATCTGTACTGCGTTGTTTAGTGTGGCAGCACCTGCACTTTGGAACACCCTGCCTATTGCAATAAAGCACGTGCCTTTGCTAGACTCTTTTCAGGCACCTGCTAAAAGAATTATTATTAAGGCAAACATACCTTAGGAAGTTGAAGTAATTTTAATCTTAATATTTTAGCTTTTGTATGTTTTAAAGTAGGATTGCTAATTTTTATTGATTTTACTGCTGTGGTATTTTTTGTTTTTTTGTTTTAGTAAACCACTTTGCAGGTTTTTAAAAATAAATTTTATTAAATAAATAAACAATAAATATAAATAAAATAACACAAGCCAAAACACAATCCATCCTGTAGATTTAAATATCTATCCACAGTCGCCTACTTGTTATCAGAGGCCCAGAATCCACATTCCTTTGTAAGAAAATATGAAATAAAGGCAAACCATTTTTGCAGGCAAAATAAATAAATAAATATTAATGTGTGTGTGTGTGGGGGGGTGTGACAAGAAATTTTCCGTACTGGGTACCACCTGACCTTCCTACGCCTGTGCTCCTACATTCTCCTATTGGTTAGGAGATTGCAGTTTACAGACTTCCTGGTCCGCCTATTTCATATTTTCCCCTTGATATACAGTGGTACCTCGGGTTACAGACGCTTCAGGTTACAGACGCTTCAGGTTACAGACACCACAAACCCAGAAATAGTACCTTGGGTTAAGAACTTTGCTTCAGGATGAGAACAGAAATCGTGCGGCGGCAGCAGGAGGCCCCATTAGTTAAAGTGGTACCTCAGGTTAAGAACAGTTTCAGGTTAAGAACGGACCTCCGGAACGAATTAAGTTCTTAACCCGAGGTACCACTGTATAGCCCTTTTAAGCATACACAATAGCTTTCTAACTGTTCTCCATTTTCCTTCATGGTCCCAAGTCACCCACAAACCGTCCTAATACTTTATAAGGCATTATGTTTTGGCTATTACGAGTTTTCTCTTTCTTTGCAAAGCAAGTAGTTACAACAGCAAGGCACGGTCATTTCTGCTAAGCTTTCCTTACCCGTTCATCCTACACTTGCCAAGTCTGGCTCTGCACATGATTTCTTTCTTATGATGCCGATTGTGGTTAATGTAATCACTATATGCAGATGTTTTCTTTAACTGGCATGGTTTCGCCTCCAAAATCTGGGAGTGATCATTCTTTGATTGAGATATGTTCTAACAGAGAATTGTCAGCATCTCTAGGAAATGACAATTCCCAATGTTCCTTCAGGGAATAAAATATTTTTAGTAGGCTCTCCCCCCAATTCAAATATTGTACTCAATACTTGCATTATGACATCAATAATTATTTACCTTCATAGAAAATGGATTGTGAATTATGAACAGATCCATGTAGTCAAACTGGAGTTTCTTCAGCGATTCTTCTAAGCATTTCCGAACCAGCTCAGGGCGGTGGAAGGTACTCCAAAGCTGTCAAATATATAAAGAGTTTTATATTTTCACAGAGCCATAGAGTTTTTGGGTCTCGGGACCATATAGCTGCGGCAGATGACTATTCTAGTGTGCACAGTGTTAAGGGCAAAGTCAAATATTGTTCTGAAGAGTATTCTGAATTGCTGTGGTGAGGTAAAGTAATTAAAAAAATCATTATTGCTAATAAACAATATTTTTACCATTTATTTATTAAATTTCTATATTGCACTTCATCAAAAGTTCTCAGGGTGGTTCACAAGATAAAAGCACAAGATAAAAGCACAAATAAATAGTCAAAACAGAATCCTTCCTCCCGCAAACAGGTTTAAAAAGGGTGTAGAATATTAATCTGTCCAAGGCCTCATTAAAGGGGAACATTTTCACCTGGCGCCTAGAGGTGTATAATGAACCTCCTTGCAGAGAGCATTCTCCCAACAGGGAGCCATGCAGAAAAGGCCCTGTTCTTGTTTTGCCGCCCTCCGAGCCTCACATGGAGGAGGCATACAAAGAAGAGCCTCACAGGATGAACACAGACTCTGGGTAGGTTTATATCGGGAGGGGCATTTTCCTCTGTTTTGTTAAATAATGTCTGTGAAATTGCATCATGATGCAGGCACTATATTCTAACCTTTAAAATAAAAAATAAAAAATACCAAACTCACTTTTCCAGTGTAGAAAATGTCTTCCCTTTTTATTGTTCCGTCTGCAATCTTCGCACGAACGGCCTGCCCAACGTGCTCCTCAGTCTGGTATACATATGCACCATCAATAAGACGGAAGCCGAATTCTATTGCTATCTTTGTAGCCTCCTCACACTTACTTTTTTGAACCTGCCAGTTGAAAAGGTGAAAATGTTAGTCAAGGTCTTTGCTTCAGTGGGGAAATTTATATCAAAAGGTACCTGTAAGTCACATTTATGTGTGTTGGATGTTCGATATAATATTTTGCCACCAGATGGTGACATGGAGTCCTATTTTAACTACCTGTTTTCCCTGTTTAAATTTACAACACTTTAAACTGAAACACTTATTTGATGCGTGGAGATCCAGCCCTGATGGTGCCTGGGTCCTCTCCAGGGTGGAGGACCTAAGATAGTTAGGTGGCGCATTGCAAGCCTCGTTGTGGCAACTCCTGCAGCCAAGGTGGCGCCAAATGTCTTGCTCTGCTTCCCACTGGATCACATCAGCGAGGATGAGAGGGGAGCCTTTTCATCTGGGCAGCCCAGGACCTCCATACTCACTGCCCAGGCTTGCACCCCAGAGAGGTCACTTTGGTGCTGCTAACACAGCAATTTTTACTTTCCCCCGGAGGCACACTCCATTGTGTCTTAGGGCAGACAGATGCCAACAAGAAGGATGGAGGGGTTCACATTATTAACCTGCTTCTCCCACGGCCATAGCCTTGGATTCCAGCAGAAATCAGGCTTGGCTCCATCTCTCAGCTGCCCAGCCTGCTTTCTGCTTCCAACTCCTGGATCTCTCTCTCACACACACCCTAGTTTTTGTCTTTCTAACTACCCACCCATTTGCCCACAGAGCTGCTTCATTCATTACCATAACTATTCATATTTAAGGGGCCATTTCCAAGAGACTTGCATACCTGTCTCTTCATCAGCATGTATCTCTTTGTAGAAAATAGATTCTACCCTCACTTAGTATGTGAATAGAGCAGACATATGAATTGGAAAAATGGAAAAAGGGAAATTCCTTCGAAAAACTGAGTGGTTGCTTTTATTTGGTAAATTCATGATGTTCCTAGAAATTAATTTGATTACAAAACAAGAACGTACATTGATTCCCTCAATTTGCGTTGCTGGTGATATGGAATGGACCAAAGGAAGACGGTTTGGAGAAAGAATTGATTCTATATTTATTGTTAGTGTCCAGAATAGTTAGCTAATGGCTGGTAATTTTGGATAATATTGTTACTCCCAACAAAACTAATAGTGGGCACTTATGGTTCTATGGATAGATTTTTTAAAAATATCACTAGAAAATATCACTAGAAATTTTGCATTGGGGACTTTGAACCCTGCAGCAATTCACACTGGAAACTGTTTCTCAGCTACAAACCATTCTTGGCTGCTGTGACCCAAGAAGTTCTCATGCACAATTGGCTTCTCAGATCAGGTGAGGTATCGCATGCGGTGCTTTGCAATGTATGAAGCACCCAGCAGCTGGCAGGCATTTTGCTCTTCAAAAACAAGTTACAACAATCTGAGAGTTAAATGTTTTACTTACAGCATCCGGGGAATAGGTTCCAAACCCCAATATGGGGATTTTGTTCCCATCATTCATTGTAATGCCACGGTCTTTGCTAAGTGCCATTTTCTGCTTCTGTGCTTGTTCAGTTCTTGGCTCCAGGCTGAAACTGATCAACACTCTTGAAGGAAAAATTCGAGTGAGAAGAATGAAGTTCCTGTTTCCAATGAAATGTCTTCTGTTGGCACGATAGGAGGGGAGTGTCTATGCAAATGCCCTGAAGAAATGAGAGAGAAGGGCAGGGAAACTTCCTAACCTATGCCCAAATTTTTATCGGTAACTTTCAGCAGAATGTCCTTTGGTACACCAGCAGCTTTCCTTGCTGACTTCTCAGCATTGCTTTCACAGAATAGATAATAGCTATCTTCATCGTGTTCTTCTTGTTCTTCTTTGCCTTCCAATAAAGGAAAGCAGAGGGGTGAGCAGACTTAAGCATTTGTCCCACGCAGCGTTCAGGCACCCTTAAAAAACTCTTGTATTTTGATAGCAAAAAAAAGCCAAAAAAAAAAAGCCAAGGAATAAAAATATTATGTTTAAAACAAAATTTACATACATTATTGCTAATGATTTATATTTTAATTTATTATAATCTTTTAGCTAGCATATTTCCCTTTGTGTGTTACACAATGCCTGTGAAATATGCATTTTAAGGAAACATCTTCCTTAGATATGATGAAAGGGAAGTGACTAAGCCAGTGTTCTGTTGAAGCTAGAAAGAAGGGCAGGGACACTCCCTATCTTGCTCCAGACTTTGGATTAATTTGATTCCAATGAAGAGTTGCAGTGCTTACAAATGGCACATGTTAACTATACCGAAGTTTCTTAATTTTCACCGCAGTGTCTTCTGAAACACCTATTGCTTTGATTGGTGACTTAGCATTGCTTTTGCAGGGCAAATGATAGTTGACTGATGGGGAAAAAAAGATTTAATCTCTTTATTATTAATAGTGTTCTGATAAAACTATTTAGAGACCTTCATAAACTTTGACATGTTAACTGTTAGATGTGGGAGAAGCAGGCCTCAAAGCTAAGCAGATCTCCAGGCAGAGGTATTGAAATGAAACAAATATACTCAGAAACAAAATAACCAATGAAATATGTGGAGGCGTCTGTTGACTTAACAAAGCAGAATGCTCTGTATGCCAAAGGAGGGGGGAAAGGATGTAACAGACTCTCCAAGTCAGAAGCCATCCTAGTTTCTGATTTGATCCTGGAATGTCCCTCTTTTCCTTAAGGTAAAGGTAAAGGGACCCCTGACCATTAGGTCCAGTCATGGACCTAGTTGCGTGGACCTTAGATCCAGTTGCGGCGCTCATCTCGCTTTATTGGCCGAGGGAGCCGGCGTACAGTTTCTGGGTAATGTGGCCAGCATGACTAAGTCGCTTCTGGAGAACAAGAGCAGCACACGGAAACGCCGTTTACCTTCCTGCTGGAGCGGTACCTATTTATCTACTTGCACTTGACGTACTTTCGAACTGCTAGGTTGGCAGGAGCAGGGACCAAGCAACGGGAGCTCACTCCATTGCGGGGATTCGAACCGTCGACCTTCTGATCGGCAAGTCCTAGGCTCTGTGGTTTAACCCCTTATTTTTAACAGAGGGTATGGAGTTATGCAACCCCTGAGCCAAGGAGATTATTAACTGTACAAACTTTAGAAGACATCTGAAAGCAGCCCTGTGTAGGGAAGTTTTTTAATGTTTAATGTTTTTATATAGATTGAAAGCCGCCCAGAGTGGTTGGGGCAACCCAGTCAGATGAGTGGAGTTGGCTCCTATGCCTGAGTCATTTAGTCAAGGTGCTGAAATTTCTCTATTAGCAAACCTTAAGTTCACCAAATGGGGCTACCCAGGATACCCTAAGGAGAAGACCAGGCTATTGCATTCCTATCTTTACAGTGTGGATACGAGTTCTGATGATGGCAATCCATGCTCAGATGAAAGCTGCCACAAATACAACTCTACCCTTCCTTGTCTTATTATTTCAAGCAGTTGTACCAATACATATATTGCTAGATAAAGAAATAGCATTGTTTGTCCTCTTTCTAACTAAATGGGCTTTGCAGATGTACAGACAAAAGTACCTACATCTTTAGGTGACAGCCCCTTCATAGTACCACAGTTTTCAGGAGTCCCTGGGCAGAGGGAATGACCAACAGTGTATTGGAGGGGGAACACAGGGGAGTGTAGATCCTTCACCTTTTCCAGAGCAGATGCAATGACCTCATCAGATGAAGTTACCGGATAACTGATGGAGCTTTCTTGGTCTGACAAGTTAGTGATGTGGTAGGAAGGGTTTCAGAATTCTCTTTTGTTTGTGATGCAATAGATTAGCATAGAATAAATTAGAGAATGGGGGAAATAATGTAGCAGAGGCTGTATACTTTCTTTTCTTTAATGAGGTTACGACTTCATGATAGAGGTTTAAATGGTAATGCTTTTTTGCAAAATTGTATGCATTTCTACATGAAATCTATGGGTTGCCTGTCAGTTGTCTAAAGATGATTAAAGCTCAATCTGTTTAAAATTCAATAGAAAACTCAAGTCAGAAAAATGAAGTTCCTGTTTCCAGTGAAATGTCTTCTGTTGGCATGATAGGAGGGGAATGTCTAAGAAAATGCCCTGAAGAAATAAGAAAGAAGGGCAGGGAAACCTAGGGCCAAATTTTTACCAGTAATTTTCAGCAGAATATCCTTTGATGCCCCAGAGTTTACATTGTTGACTTAGTAGTACTGCTTTCACAGGATAAATAATAGCTGTCTGATTAATAATAATAATAATAATAATAATAATAATAATAGCGTTCCAATAAAGGAATGCAGAGGCCTATTGCAATCTTTGATCAAGAGACATCACCTCTTTGTTAAATTAGTAAATGTTAAACATAGGAAAAGCAAGCCTAAAAGCTATGCAGACCTTTTATTCAGGCTGTAGTATTGAAATGAAAACACGTATGCTCAGAAACAGAATAATAAATGAAATATGTGGAGGCATCTGTTAACCCAATGAAGCTGGGTGTTCTGAGTGGAATGTGGCACTGTGTGCACAATGCTCAGCCTGAATGCAGATTAAAAGGAAGAGTGTCCATAGCCTCAGCCTTTACTGGAGGGTTCAGGTTGTGCAAAGCAGGGGCTGAGTGGGAGACAGCAAGTAGCAACAAATTATTACAGAAAGGACATATTGAATATTGTTACAGATTCCAGAGGCTAGAATGCATGCGTATAACATGGTCAGAAGTCATTTCAGGCCGTGGTGGCAGACAATCGAAACCCAGTTCTCTTTACTCCTCACAGCCAGCAGAGGACCTCACAGCCAGCAATGGTCATTCCTGCCCATCCCTTCCTCAGAAGTGGAAGCAGCGACTTTGTAATTTAGAAGTTTCCCCTCATGTCCTGCTTCCCACAGGCGTCTGGTTGGCTACTGGGAGAACCAGATGCTGGACTAGATGGGCCACTGGCCTGATTCAGCAGGCCCTTCTTATTTTCTGAAGGTATTTCAAATCATCTTGGCAATAAATCTCAGGCTATGCAATTGCTTCTTTTTATGGAAGTTAATCCTCCCCTTGTGCTATTTTCAGTATACGAATCACCCCCTTGTAAGTGCTATTTGACATATATGCAGTTATCCTGAGAAAGTGGCAATCCTCTGAATTTTGTGATGCAGTTGTTCAGTTACAGAATAATTGCAAAAATGTATATACTGTGGTAAAGTATGCATTAAGAGCATATATCAGTGAAAACACCATGCAAACATGCTTTATTTTAGCCAAAAGTGCAAAGAAAAATGTGTATGGTAGGAGAAATTTGCAAGGATGCATTTTCAAGAGATTTTCAAAAATCCCAAACTGATTTGGGGATGTGAGGAACTGAAGAGTGGAAAATGAGACACTGGGTTGCTGGGAGGAATTGATACTGACAGATTTGCCCACCCCCTAGTTAGAACAATTTTTTTCCATGCAAAAGGACCCAGGTTCAGAAGGGGATAAATTGGAGATGGGGGATGGGTCCTTATTCCACATCTGGTGGGTAATATTGTGGGTGACCAGCAAATCTGAAACAAAAGAAAAGAGAGGGGTGTGGAAGGCGCAGAAGGAACAAAAATAGATCTGTTGCCAGCCATTGGGTCATGAGAACATTTCACACAGTGCATTGTAAGCCCCCCTAGTTTGCCATCAAATGCCCACCCTGCTGACTATCTGGGAGGCTGAAATTCAAAATGCACCCCACTCCAACAATGCATGGGGATTCGTACAAAGTCTCCATAATTTCTATAATTCTATAATTTCTATAATTCTATAATTTCACCTTATTCTCTATGAATTTCACCTTATTCTCTATGAAGAGAAGAGATGGATGCCAGATAGTTTCTTCCTTTTGCTCTCACAGTGTGAATTCTTGCGTGCACCACTTTTATGTATTTATATGCTTACTATATCAATGTGACTTACATTTCCGCTTTTAAAAAGCTCATGCTTTTGTGAAGGCCATCAATGGATTTCATATCCTCCTCAGAGAGCTGGAAAGTAAATGCCTGTCAGGGGAAGAAAATAAAATGCTAAGGTGCTTTTACCTCAGGCCTTCTTTTTGCACCTCAGAATTGTGCACCTTTTTCCAGCAACAATGATATCAAAGCAAACTTTGCTACCACCTTCCAAAGTTCAATCCCTTCATTCAACAACTTCAGTCCAGATGTCCTCCCACTGAGGGAATTTTATATGCATAGTAATATAGGTTTGCAATAGAACAGGAGTGGGAAAGCTGTGGCCCCCCAGATGTGGATGGACTCCAACTCCCCATCAGTCTCAGCCATCATGTCCAATGGTCAGGGATGAGGGAGGTCATATTCCAATGAATGTAGTTCACTACTTCTTCATGCAGCTCATAGCTAAACTACTGAACTTGCTCCCACGGGAGGCAGTGACAGCCACCAACTTGGATGGCTTTAAACATTAGACAAGTTCATAGTGGATAAGAATAGCAATGGAAGCTAGTCATGATGGCTGCACTCTACCTTCACGGTCTGAGGCAGTGATTCTTCTGAATACCCACTGCTAGAAACACCTCCAACATCTTGAGTCCCCAAAACAAGTTGCGCATCTTCCCTCCCGCATGTGTCATGTGACCCGTGAGATCACAGTGTCCAAGTGACGTGCTTTTTCGGTATTGTTTTTAAATGGATTAATATATACTGCTTTACCTGGGCATTTTCCTCAATTCGCTTTCTGGTGTAGGTCTTCACCAGGACCACCAGGCCACGCTGCAGTTGGTAGCGAATAGCCACGAGAGCTGGGGTTTTGTTGTACTTCTTGGCCATCGCAACTAACAGAGGGTCTTCAAGCAGGACAGGAGTGTTTTGATCTATCCTGCCGGAAAGCAACATGGAGAGAAGGTATGTTTCTGGTGTCCAGAATATATAAATCTCACTCTAAAATTAATACAGTATTGGCCTAGTCCATGCAAAATACACTAAATATTTTGTATTTAAAGCTTGGTTAGTGGATTTGAACTAATATAAGTGTTTAGTATCGTGCTCTACCCCCGCCACCAATAAATCGCAAACTCATACATTGCATATGGACTATTCTGTAGGCAAAATGGTAGCATTTGTGCACAAAAGGGAGGTCTTTTCTTTGCTTAAGTACAATCAGTATTGGGGGGGGGGAGGACCTAAGGGGGGAAAGAAAGGCCCAAAGAATCCTGTGTGCCTGCTGAAGAGTTGATGTTCGAATGAAATGGAGGACTCTGGAGGAATGCACAGCTCATTGTCGTGAAAGAAAACTCAATATTTCTTGCTGGTCTCACTTGTTAAAAATAAGCATTTAAGTGGCTTCCAATATAGATAAAAACAATACAATTTAAAATTCTGAGACACACAAAACAAGCTATGTAAAAAGAGAAATGCTATAATTATTTACAGTAAATGTAAGCCTGGATACAGGGTCCTTTCATCTCTGCCATTCTACTGCTTAAAGCAACATTAAACATAATAGAAATATGATTTAAAAACAGCACAAAATTTCAGAAGCAGAAATTATTAAATAGCTCCCAGCCCGCAACATTTAAAAACATACGTTTGGGAGAGGTCAAGCAGTTATATATATATAAAAACACTTCAGCAATGGGAAGGTTTCTGAGAATGTCTAAAATGGGAGGGGAAGAGCTTTGTAGATCTCTCTGTGTAATGACTTCCCCAATTGTGGGGCCACCACAGAAAAGGCCCTGGTGCTGGTATCCACCATGAGGATCTTTATTAATTGTGGGACCAAGAGTACAACTTTCAGAGCTGATCTGGATGCTGGGGAATAGTTGGCATTGGTGGTCCCCAAACATTTTGGCTTACCATCTTGGGTCCCTTTGGGATCCTAGGACACTATATCCTTCCAGGATGATATTGTTTGACTTGCAGAAGGCCAGCAGCTTGCTTTGGTTCCGATAAGGATGGCATTCTACCTGTGGATTCAAAATCCCCCAACACAACCCAAAAGTGAGAATTCAGATAAAACGAAGAATACAGTGAAACAAAGGAAAGACAGAAAAGCAGAAGCATGCTATTATTTTTTTGAAATATCCCAGTGTTTCTTTTCTTAAAGTTGGTTTTGTTTTCTGATGCATCAGAATCTTTAGATGACCATTCTTGCATTTGTGGTTTCCATTGCCAAACTCCTCCTCTGTGAAATGTGTGTTAGCTGAAGATGGGGGACAGGGCTTATTCCCCCACAATCTCCTGTCACTCCAGCCCTGTTGGAAATATCCTGGGCACACTGTCCTGCCTGCAGTGTCTCTATTTCTGCCCACTCAATCTCTGAATTTTCTACCTTGAGCAGAAAGGTCTGATGGGGGATTCTCCTGGCTTTCCATCAAGCTGAGCAGATGCCTCTATATCAGGCTTCCTCAATCTCAGCCCTCCAGATGTTTTGAGACTATAATTCCCAAAATCCCTGACCACTGGTCCTCCTAGCTAGGGATCGTGGGAGTTGTAGGCCAAAAACATATGGAAGGGCCGAGGTTGAGGAAGCCTGCTCTATATCATCCGGGACTCTTCTTTATCAGGGTCTTAAAAAAACTTCGGTCTCATTGGTTATATGATATACACCAGTGTCCAAGTGAATCTGGGCTGCTTGGGTGCAACAGCTTTGCCCAGATGCCAGTGTGGTGTAGTGGTTAAGAGCGGTAGTCTCGTAATCTGGGGAACCGGGTTCGCATCTCCGCTCCTCCACATGCAGCTGCTGGGTGACCTTGGGCCAGTCACACTTCTCTGAAGTCTCTCAGCCTCACTCACCTCACAGAGTGTTTGTTGTGGGGGAGGAAGGGAAAGGAGAATGTTAGCCGCTTTGAGACTCCTGAAGGGGAGTTAAAGGCGGGATATCAAATCCAAACTCTTCTTCTTCTTCTTCTAACTCAAAAGCACTTCGCTCCACAGTTGAGAACTTCCAGAGTCCCCACAAGAGGCTGTGTGGGCCCTGACTGCTTGCAGGCCTCCTTCTACCTGAGATGCCTGTTTCAAAAATTAGGGACTTCTCCACACTTCCTTTTGTCTGAGGATTCAGAGGTCTTGATTAAATGAGAACCCATTACTGGTTCTAGGAATTTAGGGGAGTCCACCCCACAACTCATAACCATAACTTCTTGTGACTGGATCTGCAACCTTATAGCCTTAAGCAAGTTTTTCAAGGGAATGGCTATGTTCATCCAAACAAAGGTCCTCTCACAAAAGAGCTTAAATAAAGAAGCTTTCAACCATGCTTGGAACAAACCCCTAGAAAAAGCAATCACACTTGACCTGGTTTATCACTGGCTTGTATTTCAACCCTGGCTTGTTCAGGATCATTTCCAGCTGCTTCCGGGTGAAGTTGGACACTCCGATGGACCTCACCAAGCCGGCATCTTTGCACGCCTCCATTGCCTGGCAAAGAAAGCACAACATGTTTGTTGAGTGGTGTTTGTTGAATAGCTGAGGCCACACCTTTTTCCAGATTAAGATTGGAGGCTAACTCATATACTCCCAAGACTGTGCAATAATTCACCAGCTCTCATAGGTGCCATTGTGTGAGTCATTGTTCTGGACATGCCTCCTCTGGTGGAAGGCTACTGTGCTCTGTATCCGAATGACTCAAGGGCTGGATTTGCTAATCCCAGGCACCTACCTCCCATGTCTGACGAAGATCTACGTTGTCAAAAATCATTTTTTTGTCTTCTCCCATGGGAATTAAATCTGGTCCAGGCTGGAAAAGAAGGAGGCGGAGGGAATAAATGCACTTCAGGCCTAGAAGTTCTCTTATCTCTGTAATATTATCTAATACTAATGGACAGTGATAAAAAAGGGAGTTCACCTTGCAGGGGCCGATACCACAGTGCAGGGATCTGTGGGAAACTCAAGTAACAAGCCCAGGTCTGTCTCCCCATCTCTCCAACCCTTTTTATTCTTCCCTCGCTCCCTCGCCAAGTCCTGCTCTGCACACAATTTCTTTCTTATGATGCCTATGTGGTTAATGTAATCATTATATGCAAAGGTTTTCTTTAACTGGCATGGTTTCTCCCCCAAAATCTGGGAGTGATCATTCTTTGATTAAGATATGTTCTAGCAGAGAACTGTCAGCATCTCTGGGAAATGCCAATTCCCAATGTTCCTTCAAGGAATAAAATATTTTTAGTAGGCTCTCCCCCCTCCTCCCCCCAATTCAAATATTGTACTCAATACTTGTATTATGACATCAATAATGATTTACCTTCATAGAATATGGATTGTGAATTATGAACAGATCCATGTAGTCAAACTGGAGTTTCTTCAGGGATTCTTCTAAGCATTTCCGAACCAGCTCAGGACGGTGGAAGGTACTCCAGAGCTGTCAAAATTATAAAGATATTTATATTTTCACACAGCCATAGAGTTTTTGGGTCTCGGGACCATATAGCTGTGGCAGATGATTATTCTGGTGTGCACAGTGTTAAGGGCAAACTTAAATATTGTTCTGAAGAGTATTCTGAATTCTGAAAGCAATTTTAAAACCATTATTGATTATAAATAATATTTTTACTATTTATTTATTAAATTTCTATATTGCCCTTCATCAAAAGATCTTGGAGCAGTTCACAAAGATAAAAGCACAAGATAAAAGCACAAATAAATAGTCAAAACAGAAGCAACAGAACTGTAATCCATCCTCCCACAAACAGGTTTAAACAGGGTGTAGAATATTAATAAGCCCAAGGCCTGGTTGAAGAGGAACATATTCGCCTGGTACCTAGAGGTGTATAATGAACCTCCCTGCAGAGAGCATTCCCCCAACAGAAAAGGCCCCGTTCTCGTTTTGCCGCCCTCCGAGCCTCACATGGAGGAGGCATACAAAGAAGAGCCTCGGAGGATGAATGCAGAGTCTGGGTAGGTTTATATAGGGAGAGGCATTTTGCTCTGATTTTGTTAAATAATGTCTGTGAAATAGCATCATGATGCAGGCACTATATTTTACTCAATTTTTGTAAAACATTTTGCCAAACTCACTCACTTTTCCAGTGTAGAAAATGTCTTCCCTTTTTACTGTTCCATCTGAAATCTTCGCACGAACGGCCCGCCCAACGTGCTCCTCTGTCTGGTATACATATGCGCCATCAATATGACGGAAGCCGAATTCTATTGCTATCTTTGTAGCCTCCTCACACTTGCTTTTTTGAATCTACCAGTTGAAAAGGTGAAAAAGTTAGTCAAGGTTTCTGCCACAGTGGAGAAATTTATATCAAAGTAACACTGATTGTCGGTGGACATTGTCAAACTAGACCTGAGTCATCAAATAAAAATAAAGAAAAAACATGCGAAAAAGTGATTTATATGCGTTGTATTATGCCAAATAACATTGTGCCACCGAATGGCATGCAGGATTTAAAACGAGCAATCAATTAACTTGTCAGTTATTTTGGTTTAAACAGTGGAACACTGTTGACACATACAGTTTGTAGAATGCTCTTTTTAAAAAATCTTTTAATGTTTGTGAAAGACAGTAGATGAGATATCCAAGAAGGGATTGAGGAAGTCTCTTCGTCAGCATGTATGTCTTTGTATAAAATAGATTCTACCCTCACTTTATATGTGAATGGAGTAGATATGAATTGGAAAAAGGGAAAAAGGAAAATTCCTTCAAAAAAACTGAGTGGTAGCTTTTATTTGGTAAATTCATGATATTCCTAGAAATTAATTTAATTATATAATAAGAATCGACACCGATCCCTTCATTTGCATTGCTGGTTATATGGACCAAATGAAGATGGTTTGGATAAAGAATTGATTCTATATTTATTGTTAGTGTCCAAAATAGTTAGCTAATGTCTGGTGATTTTGGATAATAGTATTACTCCCAATAAAAGTAATAGTGGGCACTTATAGTTCTATAGAAAGATTTTTTTAAACATCACTAGACATTTTGCACTGGGGACTTTGAACCCTGCGGACATTCACACTGGAAACTGTTTCTCAGCTACAAACCATCCAAGTCTTGCACAAAACATTATTTGCTCCTGAATCTGCTGGCTGAAGACCCTTGTTGAACAAGAAGCAGCGCTTTATGTGCTGCAAGGCATCTGTTGCATTCTTGGCTGCTGTGACACAATAAGTTCTCATGCACAATTGGCTTCTCAGATCAGGTGAGGCATCTTGTGCTGTGCTTTGCAATGTATGAAGCACTCAGCAGCTGGCAGGCCTTTTTCTCTTCAAAAACAAATTACAAGAATCTGAGAGTTAAATGTGTTACTTACAGTGTCTGGGGTATATGTTCCAAACCCCAATACGGGGATTTTGTTCCCATCATTCATTGTAATGCCACGGTCTTTGCTAAGTGCCATTTTCTCCTTCTGTGCTTGTTCAGTTCTTGGCTGCAGGCTGAAACTGATCGACACTCTTGCGGCAAAAGGAAAACTCGAGTGAGAAAAATGAAGTTCCTCTTTCCAATAAAATGCCTTCTGTTGGCACGATAAGAGGGGCTTGTCTAAGCAAATGGCCTGAAGAAATGAGAGAGAAGGGCGGGGAAACCTATGGCCAACCTTTTATCAGTAACCTTCAGCAGAATGTCCTTTGTAAACCAGCAGTTTCCTTGTTGACTTAGCAGCATTGCTTTCACAGGATAAAAAATAGCTGTTTTATGAAGGCCTGAAAGCTGGGTGTTCCAAGGGCCAGAAGAACACACAGAGGATGTAAGGAAAGAAAGGACCGTATGAATAAGATCCCAAACTGCCTCTGGCTGTGTACACTTTGCCAGCACATTTAAAGCACATTTGATGTGCACAACATTCCCCAAAGAATCCTGGGAACTGAGATTTGTTAAAGATGCTGGGAATGGCAGCTTTGTAAAATGTCTTCTGTTGGCACGATAGGAGGGGAGTGCTTAAATAGCCTGAAGAAATGAGAGAGAAGGGAGGGGAAAGTTTGGCCAACTTTTTATCAGTGATTTTCAGCAGTATGCCCTTTGCTACACCAGCAGCTTTCATTGTTGAATTAGCAGCATTAAAGCTGTATTATTATTATTATTATTATTATTATTATTATTATTATTATTAGCATTCCAATAAAGCAATGCAGAGGCTTATTGCAATCTTCAATCAAGAAACTTCACCTCTTTGTTAGATCAGTAAATGTTAGACATAGGAAAAGCAAGCCTAAAAGCTATGCAAACCTTTTCTTCAGGCTGTAGTATTGAAGTGAAAACACACATGCTCTTTATATATATATATATATATATATATATATATATATATATATATATATATGGAGGCATCTGTTAACCCAATGAAGCTGGGTATTCTGAGTGCCATTGAACACACAAAGGATGTAAGGAAGGAAAGGAGCATACAAATAAGATCCCAAACTGCCTCTGGCTGTGTACACTTTGCCAGCACATGTAAAACGCATTTGATGTGCACGACATTCCCCAAAGAATCCTGGGAACTGAGATTTGTTAAAGATGCTGGGAATGGGAGCTTTGTGAGGGGTAAACTACAGTTCCCAGAATTCTTTTCGAGGGGCCATGTGCTTTAAAAGGCTCCAAATCATAGGATCACAGAAATGTGGACTTGGAAGGGACAGTGAGGATCATCTATTTCAACCCCTTGCAATGCAGGAATCTTTTGCCCAACGTGGGGCTCAAACCCACAACGCTGAGATTAGAGTCTCATGCTATACCAACTGAGCTGTCCCTCAGGGTGTGTTTGCTTACACAGTTATCTTCTGGTTTGGAGTAAACACCGTCAGAATGCAATGCACCATAAGAAATGTTAGGATGGATAAAGGATGTGGAATGTGGCGCCGTGTGCACAGTGCTCAGCCTGAATGCAGATTAAAAGGAAGAGTGTCCACAGCCTCAGCCTTTACTGGAGGGTTCAGGTTACGTAAAGCAGGGGCTGAGTGGGAGACAGCAAGTAGCAACAAATGATTTCAGCAAGGACGTTTTGAATATTGTTACAGATTCTAGAGGATAGAATGCATGCGTATAATATCATCTGCTGTGAAACAGAGTGACATAGTCAGAAGTCATTTCAGGTTGAGCTGGCAGACAATCAAAACCCTGTGCTCTTTCCTCCTCACAGCCAGCAGAGGACCTCAGAGCCAGCAATGGTCATTCCTGCCCATCCCTTCCTCAGAAGTGGAAGCAGCGACTTTGTAATTTAGGGAAGCTTTTAATGTTTAATAGGTTATTGTATTTTAATATTTCATTGGAAGCCGCCCAGAGTGGCTGGAGAAACCCAGCCAGATGGGCGGGGTATTAATAATAATAATAATAATAATAATAATATCTGGTTGGCCACTGTGAGAACAGGTTGCTGGACTAGATGGGCCACTGGCCTGATTCAGCAGGCTCTTCTTATTTTCTGAAGTTATTTCAAATCATCTTGGCAATAAATCTCAGGCTATGCAATTGCTTCTTTTTATGAATGTTAATCCTCCCCCCTTGTGCTATTTTCAATATATGAATCACCCCCTTGAAACTGCTATTTGACACATTAGAAAGAACTAGGGATGCAGGAGGAGTTCAATTTTGTTCACATTTTAATGACAAACTACACAGCTCACACTTTTTGAACCAATATGCAAATTGAAATGCATATCGAAATTTCTCGGTTATGCTGAGAAAGTGGCAATTCTCGGTATTGTGTGATGCAGTTGTTCAGCTAGAGAATCATTACAAAAATGCATATACTGGGGCAAAGTATGCATTAAAGAACATATATCAGTGAAAACACCATGCAAACATGCTTTATTTTAGCCAAAAGTACAAAGAAAAATGTGTATGGTAGGAGAAATTTACAATGATGAATTTTCATCAGATTTTCAAAAATCCCAAACTGATGTGGAGATATGGATAACTGAAGTGTGGAAAATGAGCCGCTGGATTGCTGGGAGGAACTGATACTGACAGATTTGCCTATCCCTAGTTAGAACAAATGTTTTCCATGCAAAAGGACCCAGGTTCAGAAGGGGATAAATTGGAGATGGGAGACGGGTCCTTATTCCACATCTGGCGTGTAATACTGTGGGTGACCAGCAAATCTGAAACAAAAGAAAAGAGAGTCAACACCCAGGGGTGTGGAAGATTCACAAGCAACACACATTGATCTGTTGCCAGCCATTACTTCATGAGACCATTTCACACAGTGCATTGTAAGCTCCCCCCCTAGTTTGCCATCAAATGCCCACCCTGCTGACTATCTGGGAGGCTGAAATTCAAAATGCACCCCACTCCAACAATGCATGGGGCTTTCATACAAAGTCTCCACAGTAATTCCTTCTATAATTTCACCTTATTCTCTATGAAGAGAAGAGATGGATGCCAGATCTCTTCTTCCTTTTGCTCTCGCAGTATCAATTCTTGCGTGAACCACTGTTATGTATCCATATGCACACTATTTAAATATGACTTACATTTCCATTTTCATGAAGCTCATGCTTTTGTGAAGGCCATCAATGGATTTCATATCCTCCTCAGACAGCTGGAAGGTAAATGCCTGTCAGAAGGAGAAAAAAATAATAATGCTGAGGTGGTTTTTACTCAGGTCTTCTTTTTGCACCTCAGAGCTGTGCACCTTTTTCCAGCAACAGAGATACCAAAGCGAACTTGCTATCACCTTCCAAAGTTTAATTCCTTCATTCGACAGCTTCAGTCCAGATGTCTTCCCACTGAGGGAATTTTATATGCATAGTAATGTAGGTTTGCAATAGAACAAGAGTGGGGAAACTTTGGCCCCCCAGATGTGGATGGACTCCAACTCCTCATCAGTCTCCGCCATCATGACCAATGGTCAGGGGTGAGGGAAGTCATAGTCTAGCGAAGGAAGTTCTTCATGCAGTTCATAGCTTTAAATATTAAACAAATTCGTGGTGGATAAGAATACCAATGGAAGCTAGTCATGATGGTTGCACTCTGACTTCACGGTCTGAGGCAGTGATTCTTGTGAATACCCACTGCTAGAAACACCTCCGACATCCTGAGTCCCTAAACCAAGATGTGCATCTTCGTTCCCTTACTCTTGCATGAGTCATATGACCCATGAGATCACAGTTTCCAAACCACGTGTTTTTTCGGTATTGTTTTTAAATGGATTAATATTTACTGCTTTACCTGGGTGTTTTCCTCAATTCGCTTTCTGGTGTAGGTCTTCACTAGGACAACCAGGCCACGCTGCAGTTGGTAGCGAATAGCCACAAGAGCTGGGGTTTTGTTGTACTTCTTGGCGATCGCAACTAAGAGAGGGTCTTCAAGCAGGGGAGGAATGTCTGTATTGCACCTGTTGAAGAGCAGCAAGGGGAGAAGGTGTGTTTCTGGTGTCAAGATGCACTATTATACATGCACAAATATAGGATGGGGGACACTTGGCTTGACAGCAGTATATATGAAAAAGATCTAGGGGTCTTTATAGAAGACAAGCCTAACATGATTCACAATGTGATGCAGCAGGAAGAGAAGCTAACACTATTCTTGGCTGCATCAGCAGAAGTATACTGTCCCGATCAAGGGAAGTAATAGCAGCACTCTATTATGCATTGGACAGATTTTACCTGGAATATTGTGTCCAGTTCTGGACTCCACAGTTTAAGAAGCATATTGACAAGCTGGAACATGTGCAGAGGAGGGCAAACAAAATGATAAAATATCTGGAATCTGAGCCACATGAGGAATGGTTGAAGGAGCTAAGAATGTTTAGCATGGAGAAGGGTAGACGAACAGGTGATGTGATAACCATCTTCAAATATCAGAAGGGCTGCCTCATGGAAGATGGAGCTCGCTAGTTTTTTATTGCTTCAGAGGGTAGGATTTAAATCAATGGATTCAAATTACAAGAAAGGAAATTCTGACTAAAAATTAGGAAGAAAATTCTGTCTGTAAGAGCTGTTCAACAATGGAATGGACTCCCTCAGATGGGTGGTGATGAGGGGCAGTATACAAATCTAAGTAAGTAAGTATTTTGTATTTAATGGTTGGTTGGTTGGTTGGTTCTTTGGTTGGTTGGTTGATGTGAATTAATATAATTTTTTAGTATCCCATTCTCCACCATAAATTGCAGTCTGAGTGGGACTATACATAAACAAAAGAGGGGTCTCAGCAGGCTTGAGGGAACCCCAAGCTTTGCATAAGTACAAAAATGTACTTGGGGGGGGGGGACCAAGAAAGAAAAGCAAAATGTGGGGCCACTACATAAAAGGCCCTAGTACTGGTATCCACAATGAGGATCTTTATTAATTGTGGGGCCCAGAATGCAAACTAAAGAGCTGATCTGGATGCTGGGGAATAGCTGGCATAGGTGGTACCTGAGGTGGTCCCCAAATGTTTTGGCTTCACCTCTTACCATCTTGGGTCCCTTTGGGATCCCAGGACACAATATCCTTCCAGGATGATATTCTTTGACTTGCAGAAGGCCAGCAGCTTGCTTTGGTTCCGATAAGGATGGCATTCAACCTGTGGATTCAAAATCCCCCAACACAGCCCTAAAGTGAGAATTCAGATGAAACAAAGAATACCGTGAAATAAAGGAAAGACAGAAAAGCAGAACCATGCTATTATTTCTTGAAATATTCAACTGTTACCATTCTTAAAGTGTGTTGTGTTTTCTGATGCATCAGAATCTTTAGAGGACCATTCTTGCAATTGTCGTTTCCATTGCCACGCTCCTTATCTGTGAAATGTGTATTAGGTGGATATGAGGGACAGGGCTTATTCCCCTACAATCTCCTGTCGCTCCAGCCTTGTAGGAAATATCCTGGGCACACTGTCCTGCCTGTAATGTCTCTATTTCTGCCCACTCAGTCTCTGAATTTTCTATGTTGAGCAGAAAGTTCTGATGGGGGATTTGCCTGGTTTTCTATCAAGCGGATCAGATGATCTGGGATTCTGCTTTATCAGGGTCTCAATAAACTGAAATTTCCAATCAAATTGAGCAGTGGAGACATCAGAAAATAAAATCGGCACTGGGGGGAGGCACAAGACTTTTCAAAGAGGACAGTTTTATCCCACATGTAAGGAAGTAGTGGTATATTTTTCAATAATCCTCTCTGTGTAAATGAATTTTGTATGTGAAAAGTGTCACCACTGTGGCTCAGCAATGGCGGAAAGTATGGGGGGAAGACAAGAGAATTAATTGTCTGGGGGGGACTCTATCCCACCCCCTTACCCCCTCTACTGCCATATATGAATTGGAAAGTGCTTCAAGGCTGGGCAGAAGGTACAAAAAAGCCATGATTCAAGTGGGACTATCTGTACCATTAGTACTTCTAGGAATTTAGGGGAGTCCACCTCACATCTCATAACCATATCTTCTTGTGTCTGGATCTGCAACCTTGTAGCCTTAAGCAAGCTTTTTCAGGGACTGGCTGTGTTTGTCATAACAAAGGTCCTCCCACAAAAAGCTGAAATAAATAAGCATTCAACAAGACAGCTCCTCTTCCCCCAGGGACAGAGTTGTGGGAGGGCATCCAGGACCTTATTGTGATCTGGCAGTGGGTGGAGGGATGCCACCCATGACATTGGGACTCCCAGCCACGTCACGCCCCTGGTTGACCAATCGGGTTAGCCAGGGGTGTGGCTGCTTGCCATTTAAATCGTGGCGCAGTTGGGGGGACGGCCTCCACTCGCCTCCTCATTGGATCTCCCAGCTCACCCGCCCTCTTTTTATGCGTTGCATGACTTCTGCCTTGCTGCCTTATTTTCGGGGCCAGGTAGTAATTTTTCCTCCATTCTGAAGGAAATCAGCCCTGAGTGCTCACTGGAAGCACAGATCCTGAAGCTGAGGCTCCAATGCTTTGGCCACCTCATGAGAAGAGAAGACTCCCTGGAAAAGACCCTGATGTTGGGAAAGATGGAGGGCACAAGGAGAAGGGGACAACAGAGGACGAGATGGTTGGACAGTGTTCTTGAAGCTACCAGAATGAGTTTGACCAAACTGCAGGAGGCAGTGGAAGACATGTCCGACGAAGTGTCGGACATGACTAAACAACTAAACAACAACAACAAAAGGAATTTTTCCACTTGGCAAATTGGCACCAGCCATTTGGTTTTCCCCTGCCTTGTAGCCACCGTCACAACTTAGGCATTGGTTAAGCCTTGTTCATGGGAGGTGAGGTTGCTGCCCCTCCTCATTAAAGTTACCCTGTTAAAGGGATCTGGGTGTGTGGATCCT